TTGTCAGTGTCTGTATCCCTTGGTGTACCCAAGCCAAGCATTGTCTCCTGGCGCGGAATCAGTCTTTTTCAGGTCATTCTTGGCGAGTATTCAGGTGCCTTCAGGTCAACGTCCGGGCTTTTGCATATGGAATTGTCATAACACACCTTATCACATTCCAGGCGTTGCTCAAGATCAGCTGTCACTCAACCTCCGTCATATCCATTGTGCAGTCATATAGCACGTCAAGGTCTATGCCGTTTCAGGCTCCGGGCGTCACGCACATGTCGCTACTTGCCCAGGGAATAATTAAGCCGTGTCGGCTGGTCGACAGCAACCCGTGGCTGAATTACCGGTTGGTCCCAATACCTCGTCGACACCCTTGGCCAGTGCAGAGCCGCCTCCCAAGAGCCGAGGAAATACTTGGTCGATACTATGGCATACAAATAGCCCCATCTGGTGACTCCAACTCCAATTTTGGTCCTTGACTACAAGCTGCGAGTCAAACTGCTCTGTACGCGTGGTTTATCAAGACATCAGTAACTACGCATATCTTCCTAGAACAGAAGGGAGACCATCGATGTCGGGCTTAGATTGTGCTCTGTTCTTCTGAGACATTGCATATTCTAGCCGTGTCTTGATGGGGAGATATTGTTTCCTCGATCCGAATATCCATGAAAGCCAACACTGTCATTGGTTGACATCGTAAAAGTTGAGTTCATTACGCAACACGCCGCATTCTCTCAATTTGCGGAGGAGAAAACTGCAAGCCCCAAGAAAGTCGATGTCGGCTATTTAGCCCTGTCAGTTGTTCATTCGTGGAGTTATTCCGCCTCGCTAATTTGCATCGCTGGATGTTCAACTGACGGCTGAAACCCCATTTCGATACATGTTTGTGTGCGGTAAATGCTATCAACGAGAATTGGTCGCGATTTATACACATATCACTGCAAGAGCCACACTAGACTTTTGACCCTGTGATTGATCAAATACCCCTGGCCGGACGTGCCTGTGGTTCCAGCTTTGTCAAACAAATCCCTCCCTGCCAGAAGCTGCACAGGATTTTAGCTTCACAATAAACTCATATGGATGACTATGATCGAAAAGGTACGAAAGAAATTCAGCGCCATGCATCCCAAAGCAAATCAAAATCTCCCACAACCATCTTTTACCAAATGTCAGCCATAAGGGGTCAAGTACGCCAGAAAGCCAAAATTCGGCAACATCAACAGGACTTCGAAACAGCGCGACGACTCCTCCTCTGTATTTTCCAAACATCAAGGTCTGCTTATGGTTTCCGTTCCTCCTTACGATAATTCGCAAATAACCATCCCTTCTTTTCTGTGTCGAAAGCGAATTCCGCTGGACAGCGTCCTGAGTGTGTGTGTGTTTATCCAATCCAGCCCCTTTCCCAACAGTAACAGTGAGCGGCCACCCGCAACCGCACCGGCCCACGATAGAGTCTTGACGGCGCTGCTACATATGCACCGTCGCCAGGCACCTGTTCAACTGTCACCACGATGAGTCCGCCACCGCCCGGGCCTGGTTCGTGCGCTTCCGCGGCAAGTTCATATTCGCATCTGGCGCGTCCTGCTTCATCTGCTGGCGGCTCATCTCGACTCTAAAAGTGTTTTACAGACAAGCGGACGGGCGTGAGAGGGAGGCATGCCAATGTTGCGAATCGGTGTTTCCCATGGTGGCTTCCATGCTCTACGGTCATTGGCGGATATCGAGATATTGTGACGCGCCCGGCTGCCAGTGAGCCCGGCTGACCAGGAAGAGCTCATGAAGTATGAAGGGAATCACAGTGATAAACACGCTACCCAGTGTCAGGAAGTTCGCCAAACATGCAAACAGTTCGGGGCAAGGAAACATCTACTTCCTGAGTAGGTGTTAGATTCTATGGATGCAGATAAGGAAATGACCAATAATTTGTTTTGGGGACATATCTCTGACCGGCTCCACCATGAAACACGGCCAGACGCAGAGCCGTGCATAACACACAGTTTGCTTCATGTGGTCTCCCTGTCTGACGGAGGAGAGAACTATGTCATCGAGATGCATCTTCTCGTTACTCGATCATCGACAGAATCTGGAATTTTTTTCACACCCTCGAGAACAAGCGAGGGAGTCTGCTGGTAGAGGCTCTCAGGAGTTCGAATTTGAACATCTTACTGAGGGAAGACAAACCAGGACACGGCTGTTGGACTATATAATTCACGATGGAGGGGTAGAGCTCAGAGAAGAAGAATTAACAGACTACGAAGACGGTACGGAGTTCTGAAAGATCATCACTTTATGGATTCAACTGACTTTTGATGAGACTCAGATAGGTACATGAAGAACGACAAAGCAGTCAAAGCTGTTGAGGAGCCCATTGACCACCGTGGAAGTCTGGCTATAACTGAAGAAAGCGACGGCTTCAAACTGTTGGGACCGTTTGGGGAATCGATTCGTCCCATCATGCCGCGAACGGAGTTGCTTTCACCACTATCAGAACGAAAGCTCGTAGAGCTTTTTAATCTATCGGAGTACGGAGAAGAGTTTATTCTACCCATTATGCCGATTTGTGTGCAATCTTGTCGAGTACTAGGCGGGTCGGCGCAATATCGCGCGCCGCTCGGCAATAGATCTGCGTTGTTAATTTTCTTTTTTTCTTTTTTTCTTTTTCCAGTAGGTAGGCTCCATGAGGTTGGTATTTGTTTGCTTCAACTAGAGCTCATCTGTTTAGTATACTAACAATTCCTTAGGGGTTCATTCCACAGTACGATTACTGTAACCCCAACAGGTATGGTATCTCCGGATGGCTGCCACTGCTCCGTCACAATGAACGGAGGTCAATTCAAGTGTCATAACGCGATTGTGGAACTTGGGCAAGGCGTTACCCATATGTACACCAATCTCCTCCCAGGGAGCGCTGAAGGCTCACAGGTGATCGGAGAATAAGTGATTGTCCGCGGAAATCCCTCCCCAACCCAGTGTTGTCCACCGGCGCGTACACTCTCTCGCCCCACTGCTCTGCTGCATACCGGTGGTTGGCAGAGGTAGCACACATATTGTCGCGCTAGGTATATACCCGCCCTCCCTAAAGTGAATGACGATCTGTCATATAATACCACTTACCGGCACATTTCATTTGGAAACAATCATCCTTTTCTTAGTCCCCCATTGTCCATGTTGGGAATTGGCGGAGTTCAAGAAATAGAAGGCCGATGACCTTCGGGTACTGCACAGGTACCAAAAATTCAAAACAAAAAACGAACCAACGAAGAAATTATCGAGATGGCTCCATCGCTCCAAATATGACGGCGATCAAACCAGGAATTGATACACTTGCCCAACAAGCCTACCTTCTCCTATAAGGCACTCAATGTAGGATGTCCAGTTGTGAATCTCAGTGTGGCAGGATGCTGACAACACGCCGTGAAAGGTCAAACAGGCAAGCGAACGTCGAAGATTCATGAGCTATCTTTCCAAGAGTTCTCGTACGACTTTACTGAATTCCGCGATGCACATGCAGCCTTGCTGGACGTTCTGATACTCCCAACCGGAAAGAACCTCACGGGGTGCAAAACGATCGTGCCAGAGAATTGGAAGAACTGGACATCGGAGAAAGACAAGGTCCTCGGATTTATCTGGAAAAGTGTAGCTTTGCTGGAGAACCAACGACAGCGTGTTACATGTGGCCAAAATATCTTGAGAGCCACTTGAGCAGCTTTCTGGTGAATCGGTTGAAGATCCAGAGAACGTTGAACGATGAGATCCTGAACCTTCTCACCCAAAATGCATCTGTGATGGAGACCATATGGCAGCTTGATACAGTTTGGTCGGAAGGGGCCAAGGGAAGGTCAATGCAACCAGACCTGGTGGATATTGCATTCCTAATCCCAGAAGAGGCTTGGTTGGTTCGCTCACACTCCAGGCGAGAGCACAGATCATGCAGTTTAGATCTTGATCACTTGCTAATTTTGCATTGTTTCTATTACAAATACGACCTTTTGTTTTGGCACTTTTGGCGGCGGATTCTATGATAGAGCTCTTTCTGTGGTGTATCACCATGGGATCGATGGGGTCTTGACGGAAAGAGAGGATGTGAAAAACTCACTGATCAAACAACCAATCTCTTCCAAGATAGCCATTGGTCGGAATATTTTATTCACCTGAGATTGACTATATCGGAAGTCCTTTAAGGGACTACGAATAGGAGCATGTCAGTTCCAATGCTGAAACGATCTCGTTGAAATTTGTATTCATTCTCATTGTGAATTTATTTGGTTTCTAGTGTTGATGGTAGGATACCACGCCAAACCAAATTCAGAGACTCGGTCTGGCTGTTGTCCTCTTCTTCAGACTAGAAGGAAGGCAAGCTGGCTGGAAGAAGGCTGTGGCCGTGTTTTCTAATAGAAAGCTTTTGTTAGTCTAGCGGCGAGGTCTTGAGAATAGTCCCGTGGCTCTGAACAATGCCTCAGGCAACGATGAGGCAACAAGGCACCTGAGACAGTGCAACCAGGCAAACGCCTCATTAAGTTGTCGAAAGGCCTACACCTAATCTGCCCCTCCATCTTCTGTGGATTGTCAATCATGGTCATTAAAGTAAGCTAGTTCAAGCAGTGATATCCTTCGATATTGATCCCCGTATCGGTCTCTTGACTTCTCTGGTTTCTACAACTGACTATTTTCTGGTATCGCGGTATATAAAACCCTCTGCATGTAGTGTCTTCCTTACTTCTGCGCTTCATTCTAGAACGAATAAAAAATAACATGAACTCGGATACGATCATGGGCGCAAAGGTACCTGGAAAGGTCGAATAAGAACTACGATGACGCCGATGAGGACCTACAGAACCTTGCCATCATTTGGCTCCGGTCTTACGAGGGAGACAGAACTCTCACTTCCATCACAATCAATTTCATTCTTCTACCGACAGGTGCTATCTCAAGGAAAGTCCACACCAGTCTTCATAAGCCACCGATATGGGCCCGAGTCCCAAGAGGTGTAGGTGACCTTAGCCCATATTCAACTAGATATGAGCCTCGATGTATTCCACAGCAGTGCGGACTGACTCGGTCAATCAATGATTCACTCTTTTACTGGGCTTGCAAACCTACTGTTGGTGATCTCACGCTGGTCCTCAGTGGGAATGTTGATGTTGAATTCCTACTGCCTGTTAACGAGTGTGGTTCCTTTGAGTCATACAGAACTTACCTTCTCCAATTCGCGGAAGATTCCCCTCAACTCCTGGCGAGTCGCGCCCAAGTCATCCACGAAGTCTGCGGTGTCACGGATCTAACAATTTTAACTGATATCGAAGCTCTCAAGAGCAACTGTGACGACATACTCTCTTCTCTTCCAAATCGAGCGCAAGCGCAACGATATGACGGACTCGATTGATGGTGGAAGACATTTTGGGCGTTTCAGGACGAATTATCCGATTATTCAGTTGGATTGACTTTGGACCTTTTAAAAATTGATGATTCCGACAAGAGAGTCAGGAGCAGGTCCCATGTTTATAGTCGATCCTGTTAGACAGGAGTCCTGTGAACGGTAGTATAGAGCGGGAGTAACATTCACCATGTGTCACTATGGGAAGTTCCAGGACAAGGACCAGGATGTCAAGCAATGTAACTCCTAATGTGAGTTTCCAAGTTTAGGCCCATCGTCTGTTGGGTACTTAAACTAGGACAAACGCGTGGCTCTTCACTACAGTCTGTGGTGCAGGGACTGAAAGGTGACACAAAGGTTAGGGATCGCAAACACACGTGACTGTCTTGGATCTTTCTTCCAGCGCACACTTTCATCCAGCACACTTTCGTCCTTCCTGCGACGAAATGTTTCCCTCCGTCATATCTCGGCTCCTCATGAATGGAGACTTGTCTTCAATCAAGCAGTACCTTCCGAAAACCCTACAGCTTGAAGACAGTCCCATATTCAATTTCATCGTCCCGATAGCAACCATCCTGGGCACCGGGTGGGCTTTGTGGAATCGCGGCTACCCATTCCTGGAAAGTTACATGGTAAATGCACGGATTTTGGACACCGACCCCTTGTACGATGACATGGTTCGATGGATGGACAGCCACACTTCGTTTATCTCCTTTGATGCTAGAGGCGATGGCCAGAACGATCCACTGCTACAACGCAGAGCACAGAATCCCAGGATCCAGTACGCAGGAACGGCCTTTTTCCACCTGTCTAATTCCGAATCTCGCATGGTTACTACTGATAATCCGCTCAGCTCAGGGTTTCACTTGGTGCCTTCCAAGGGCTCATGTTTCTTCTGGTTCAAGGGGACTCTAATGCACCTCAAACTTGTGCCGACGGGAGGACCCGAGGCCACCAAAGCCGTCAGCATCCACGGTATGACGCGGTCGGTTGCAACTCTGCGCTCCTTTCTAGAAGAGGTCCGCGTGTTCAGCAAGCATCAAGCGACCTCGTACGTCTCTGTCTACCGCATCGCTCCCGGTCGTGAGATCCCCCACTGGTCTCGCGTTACGTCTCGTCCCGCCCGGAACATTTCCACTGTCATTCTCGATGAGGACAAGAAGGATGCTATCATGAAGGATATCAAGGAATATTTGCACCCGCGCACCCGTCAGTGGTATTCCAATCACGGAATCCCGTACCGTCGCGGATACCTGCTGTCGGGACCCCCGGGAACCGGCAAATCCAGTCTTGCGGGTGCTATTGCCGGCATGTTTGAGCTCGACATTTATGTTCTAGGCTTGAATGATCCGGAAATTAGCGAGAATCAGTTGACATCGTTGTTCTCGAGAGTCCCGCCTCACAGTGTGGTACTGGTAGAGGATGTCGATGCTGCCGGAGTTAACATGTCGAGACCCCGGAAAGGGCCGACAACTGCGCCGGTGAATATAAATCAATTCGGGATCACAGGGTTCAATCATACAACGCAGTCCCTGGCCCAGCCTGTATCACTCTCCGGGTTACTCAATGCCATCGATGGCGTGGCGTCGCACGAGGGCCGGATTCTCATCATGACGACAAATGCCCCGGAAAGTCTGGACCGCGCGCTCATCCGTCCGGGTCGCGTCGACTTGCATCTCAAGTTCACGCTGCCAGGACGGAAAGAATTCCAGGAGCTGTTTCGCAGCATGTACAGTGGCCTGGAAAAATTCGAAGAAGAAAGTTGCTCCGGTCGGGATATTGATGCTTTGAGTCTGCAGTTTGCAGCTCAGCTCCCCGAGAATCGCTTCAGTGTCGCTGAGGTGCAGGGGTTTATACTACAGCATAAGCTCCATCCAGAAGAAGCTTGTAAGAACATAGCGGAGTGGATTCAACAGCGCAATCTAGATCAAAAGCAGAGCGCTCGAGATGATAAACAGCACTCCTTGGGTACCCAGACAAATATTCCAGACAACGATGAGCACGACTTGGATACCCCGTCCACTCCACCCAGCCCGGAGCGTCGGCCGAATAGCCAGGAGGCTCATATGGATGACGAGGAGTATACCTTGCAGCAGCTGGTACATGGGATGGATAGTTCGGAGTGTCTTCAGACGAATCGCCAGACAATCAATATTAATGGCCTTATGGATGCAATCGATGAGAACTTTCCGCGTTCTCTATCTTGAAAATTGGATTGCTCGCAAAACATAGAGATTTGTTGCTTTTGGCTATTTTTCTTTACACTTGGTTCTTTCTCTATCTTCAACAAAGGTTGGTCCTTGTGAAAAAAGGTGTTTTGTTTGCTTTTCAGCTTTCCGTGTGCGGGTATGCATTCCATTTGTATGAAATCGTCTAATCACTTCAGCAATTTGTAACAAGCACTAGAATGAATCTGAACTTTTATTCATATCAAACTATAACAGACCTCATACTATATCGCGCTTTGTAGATGCCACTGTCTGATTAGATCTAGTCCCAAATGGTAATGATTGAACATTCATCGACTAGATGAGGCAGAGGGTGTTGCGCATGTTAGAAAAGGCAAAGAAATTGAATAGCTTAATCGCCAGCACGGCTTGTTTATACATCTGTAGTGGTAACTCTGGCTTGGATGAAGTCAATGTTAGGAGGGCCGTATGTTTATCATACGCTTGTTCGGTAACCGTGATGAAGAGCTTTTGCTAGGTCTTTTTCTAGGTCTAAGTAATATGATGTTGATTGACGCCACCGGGTTTGAGACGGATCCTCCAAATGCCCCACGATTGACGGATATGTTGAGACAGTCTCCACCTTCCTGAATGGCCCAAAATGCGAGAATGCCGTTTCTCCTCGGAGATTAAGGTTTTGAAATTTGCGAAAAGTTTACTAGAAGTACTTGTTCGATTCCAGAGACTCTTGAACGTGTGTCTCTTATTTTATCAACAAAAAATTCCAACAGAAGTGCTTCTTATTGCCCTTATTCTATCGAACCCCTTCAGATATCTCATGATGCCTGCTCATTCAAACAACACTGTGCCAACCACGCTGGCTCAATTTCAAATCCTCACGACCACATATAAGACAGTCCACGGTCACGATATAACCACTGATATACTCATCCCTCGGTCGTTATCTACAAATACACCACAAACACCGCGTCCCATTCTTCTGCGATACCATGGAGGAGGGCTGATTGCCGGATCCAGCTTGTTTCCAGCCTTCTTCAACCCATGGTATCTCGAGCTGGCAGAGACTCACGGGACAATCATTATCTCCCCGAACTATCGCCTGCTGCCCGAGGCAACCTTCGAGGATATTATGGGTGATATCGAAGACCACTGGCAGTGGATGCACCGCCCCATGCCGTCCTTTCTTGCCACCCAAACAGATGGCCGTCTTGCTGCGGATCTGGATCGCATTATTACTGGCGGTGATAGCGCCGGCGGGTATTTGAGTCTGCAGACTGCGCTCAATCATCCAGATATGATCCGAGCCGTGACGGCAACTTACCCGATGGTCGTCGTGAAGAGTGACCAGATGGTTGGGGACTATGAGAAACCGGTATATGGGTTACCTAGTTATCCCAGATCGACCCTAGCGGACCACCTAGCTAGTGTGGAAAAACAAGAGTCACAAACGGGACAAAAGGTTATAGTGACAGCTGATCACGGCGAGGAGAGATTGAAGCTTATGTTCGCCATCTGTCAACATGGGCTTGTGGGGCCTCTGTTGTCGGCGGATCAGAGGATGTATCCTCTAGAGAGACTAAGGCTGGGCGCTCGATTTCCAGCTGGTGGGATTCTGATTCTTCACGGATGTCAGGACAGCGTTGTACCGGTCCAGGAGTCGTTTTTGCTAAAGGAAGCCACGCAGAAGGCGCAGCCTGATCTGGCTTTCAAATTGGTCACCCGAGAAGGAGAGCATGGATTTGATCACGCGGCGAGTTCGAAGGATGAATGGTTGCACGACGCTGTGCGAGAAATCGTTGATAGCTGGCTGTCATAATCTACTGTCTGTCTGTTATACGTACTCCTGGGTTAACTGGAAATAGACAGCCTAAAAAGCTCAGCTTAAGAGGATCGGGTTAAAGGATTCTAGGCATGTATCCCGAAATATTTTAGCCAAAACAGTCAGGTAGTTAGATTCGGCTCAAACCATCTATTGTCTGCTACGTATGCATATGAAATTTAGGGAAGTTCTCAAACAATCCCCTTTCTTGCGTGTAAAGAAATGAATCCGTGGAACAAGTACGTGAAGTCCGGCCCAATTCCTAAACAACTAACAAGGTGTTCCGAGCTACAAGAGCGAAACAGGATCGACCTCCAACAAATTTAGCGTCAACACAAGGACTGGATGTATGGAACTATTACTAGCTTTAAGTTACTCATAGCTTTGTGGATTAAAGCTATACCTTAAGACGCGATATACCTCAGCTAAATACTGGTCAGACCCACTCAACCTTCCTGTTTGAGCGAAAACCCTGATCTGACGCTCTGCGAAGGGTCTACAGACTCGAAGGTCAGAGATCGGAAAGCTCTGATGTCATAGGGTGTAGCTTTCGCCTAATCGGGACCAAAGCTCTATAAGGTGAAGGCCCAAGCGAGCATCATAGATATCGTAACATTTGAACGTGCAGTATTATATCAGCCCAGTTGCAATCTCCATCCCTTTTCCAGCATCGAGCGTAGCCACGAAGGACTGTGTCCATAACTGCGAGCGATCCATACCTCTACTAGTAGGTCGATGGCTCGAAGGACAGCCGGCAAGCGATTCAGGGAATAAATTGCTTTGAGTCTTTGCCGCACTTTATCCCGCAGCCGGCCATCGTTTATTCTGAGTTCTGATGCCGCCGTGACCATCGGAAGCGTCTGAAAATTTAAGTAATTCGACGATTCGGGAATTTCCAAGAGCTGATTAGTTGCTCTGATAGCGTCTCGGTGAATCAAATCCTCCATGGCGAGGTCCGCTAGTGCCGGATTTCTGAACTGGCCATGATCTCCGCTGATTCGATAAAGCAAAATGAGGCCGTGGCTTCGAAGTGACTCATACAAAAGTCCCAATGGGCGATTTATGGCCGACAAGGCCCATCCCTGGAGTTGATGTTCCAGAATACCCTCCTGCTGGCGGTCGTGTGTTTCCGAGTCGAGAGCTCGTCGACAATACCGGCCCACATTCGCGAGGATGTAGAGAAGCTCGGTGCAAGAGCCGTACATGGGGTGGTGCCAGCGTCCCATCTTGTGCACTGCGATAGGAATATCTAACGAATTCGGAAGTTGCGGTTGTTGAGAGGGATCTATCAAAAAGGCGGTGCACATGTCCATGTAGAGATACATGCCAAAACACAACCGGGCCAGATAGTCATTCTCAGCGTCCTGGGAGATTTCTCGGACAAGTCGTCTGGCTAGTATGCCAGCCGCAAAGATGTGCTCATTCCCATAGTCCGCCATGTCGTCGTGATCAGCGCCATGCGATAAGGCCAACAACATCGCTGTCAACAGGGAAGCTCGCGGTTCCGCCTGTGGTCGTTCCAGTTCTGCCTGGAACGACACCAGTGCCTTCCCTCTCTCTTCTAGGGCCGTCACCGTCGCCTTAGGCGAGTAGTATACTTCGTGACGCGCGCTCACGGACTGGATGATGTGTACGAGGGCAGGCGATTTGGCGATGTATTCTAAGATTGGGAACGAGTACGGATTGTTTTCCGGGTCAATGACTAGGGTTTGACTGACTCTTTCCAGCCAGTATTGCAGCAACCGTCGATGAACGACCAAGTCTACAGCCGACAAGGACCGGGGGATCTCCTGCTGCCATTGTGTCAGGCGCAAGGGAGCGGTGCAGATTAACCCTTGCCGCATGCAACGCTGGCACACCGGGTAAGTCTCGTCGCACTTCACTCGCTTCGTTTTACATTGCCGACAACCGAGCTTACTCTTGGATCTCGTGGATCTCGTCAGAGCGGCACTGGCCGGCGTGGGCACGGATGCGCCGGCGAAGCTAATCACTGGTTCAAACCGCACGCGATACGTCATTGGCGCATATCAGAGAGGGATTTGGTTCTATGGCTGGAATAATGGCTGGTCGCACTGTAATGCGAGTTTTAGTGTGGTGCCACTGCAGGTTATGTAGGATTCATGTAAGGGATAGCCGTGCTGGAAGCCTAAAGTGAACAATTTCTACCTAGAGACGGTGGGTAGAAGGCACCTTTGCCTCCGCCACAGTCATCATGTCCAGTTCAACTCTCATTTGTGGAGTAACTCGCAATCTGGCTCTGAAAGGAAGGTCTGGTGGGTCGACACCCGCCATTAAGGGGTTTTCTCGGGGAAATATTCTCGGACGATTTTCAGTCAAGTATAATTCCAGTACTGGGATAAGCGTTTCTTAGATCCTGGAAGAAAAAGTAAATAAGTGTTGCGCCGTTGAGATTGCATATTGAACATTTCATCTGAATTGATCATCGTTGTTCAACCTTTCTAACATACCCCCGGAACCTGATAGATGGATCATATCGCGTCCCAACTGCGGGATTTACTTCCGCCAGACCGTGTTTTCAGCAGGTCAACTCCCGATTTCGAAGAGTACTTGAAATTCTATAACCAGTCCTTGACAGAGTTGCCTCTGGCTATCGTCCGACCGGTGACTGAGAATGAAGTTACACGCGTTGTTCGCTTTTGTTCCACGATTGGCATACCAATGGCGGTGCGTTCCGGCGGACATGATTTCTTCGGACGCTCGCTAACAGCCGACGGTATTCTTCTCGACATGCGAAGGATGAAAACTGTATCCATTGCTTCCCATCGCGCAAGTGTGCGAGTTGGTGGCGGGATCATTGCAGGGGACTTGCAGGAAGAACTCGACCGCCATGGTCTGTTCACCCCGACCGGTCAATCCAAGACCGTCGGTTACGTTTCCTGGGCTTGCGGTGGAGGCTATGGATTCTACGTTGGATCGTACGGGTTTGGAGTTGACCAGATCCTTGAAGCGAAGGTGGTGACGGCAAGCGGAACGGTGATCGACACTCGCGAGGACGAAGAACTGCTATGGGCACTCCGAGGCACCGGGGCAGGCACTTTTGGCGTCGTAACCGAGTTGACGGTCAAGGTCTACCCCGTTCCAAAGCTTTATGCCGGGTATTTGGCGTTTCCACTCTCCGAGGCCGCCGCGGTGTTTGATGGGTTCCAAAAACTGGTGACGACCGATTTCCCGGACGAATTCAGTGGCGATGCCCTGGTTGCCCATCCAGATATGCTGCCGCTTGGGCTATCAGAGCCTTGCTTCGCCTTTCTCTGGTGCTGGGCTGCAAGAAATGGAAACCTGGAGCCTGCGAAGGGCTTTCTTCGCAGAATGACAGTCCTTGGGAAGGTTCTCGCAAACACGGTAGAGGAGAGTGAGTCAAAGATAAAACTATCTGCTGTCGCAGTTACTGTATATAGATGCTAACCCAGTTGTCCTCTCAGCTAGCCCGGCCGTCTACGGAGTTGGCGACTCGTCATCGCCCACCTTCTTTCGCAGCGTCAATATTCAACAGCTTGACGCCAATATTGGAACCATATTCGCGCAACATTCCCCCGTACATCCATTATCAGCCGTTATCATACACAACAATCATGGGCCGTCTGTAGGGGACGAGCACCGCGATGCTGTCAACTGCTGTTTTGCCAACAGGTTTCCGCATATCATCCTAGGATTCCACGGAGGCACTTATTGTGGGGCAGCTTCCAATACCACTGCTCTACATGAAGCCAGAGATTGGGTAGAGCGGCTCAAAGAAGAGGCCGATAAGAAGGGACTGGCATTGACGAAAAGATTCCCCAGCTTCTGTCCGCCGGAGGAGGTGAATCCTCTACAATGTTTCAATCAGCAGACATTGGAGAGGTTAGAAAGCCTGAAAAGAAGAACCGATCCAAGTAACCGTTTCCATGGCGGCATATGCAGGGATTTCGGGGTGATGTAGCCAGCAAAGGATAAAATTAAAACATTTAGTATGACAAAAGATAGCGTTATTATTCTATAGGGATAACTTTTGATAAATCAGGCGAGAATCTGTCCTTGTAATTTCTTTTTGTTCTCGTAAAAAAGGTTCCGAACTTCGATATAACGTTCTTGGAAGTTGGGACCCATGAATGTAGACATAGGACGTTCGGGGTAATAGAGTTAGAGTGAGGTGAATAAAGCAAAAGTCAAATCATCCACAACTTTGCAGAGCCAACTCGGCCATCGCGTTCTGAAGCTCTCAGGAAAGTGGAGAAACTAGAGTCATCGCGCGCTAGCAGTTTCCCGAAATTAATGACCGTGTTCGTGCGGATTATTTGTAGAGGAGCATGGTACGGAAGGAAATAAAAAAACACACTTGTCTTTCTCTTTTCGTGGTTTATGACAACCACTTTATAATGGAATCTCTATACGACACTGCACGGGGCCTTTTCCAATCCCATGGCTTGAAGGGACCATGTCTAAACCACGCAGCTGTGGGCGCCGTGAACCGCGAAGGTCTGAACTGCCAGAATGGAAGTCTCGCCAGTAGGCTAACACTACCTACAACAATAGGAACTTTCATGTACATTGATTCGTTTGGGGAGACAACGGATGGCACATGTGCCGAGGCAACCGATCCCCCAGTGTATGCCATTGCATCTTGTACGAAGCTCTTAACAACCATTGCGGCCTTACAATGCGTCGACAGGGGTCTCCTGGAGCTTGACGTTCCCATCGGCAAAGTACTTCCAGAATGGGAGAGCCCGAGAGTTCTAGTAGGGTTTGACGTTGATTCCCAGCCTACACTAGAAGATGCAAGACGCCAGATCACTTTACGGTAAGTATACGCAACCAGAACGATAGTCCTGCAGTGTCCTGATGAATAGAGTCGTCGCATGTAGGCGCCTCTTGACGCACACGAGTGGGATGGCGTATACGCTTGAATACATCTCACCCGATCTAGTGCGTTTCCATGACTTGGTTAATAGCAAACCCAGGACAGGCTCAACCGTTGTACGTTTCACATTGCTAGCTACGCCCTGTGCATCGCGGCGATTAATCAGTGGTCACACTAGGCCGACTCGTATGCTACCGTTCTTCTCCACCACCCCGGGAAATGTGGGAATATTCCCCGTCCATCGACTGGGCAAGTAAAATGGTGAGGTGGCCAGGCATCTCGAGCTAAGTTAAGATTCTAAACTGCGCATAGGTCAAACGTGTCAACGGCATCAGGCTAGGCGAATACATCCAACGCCACATCTTTCAACCTCTCGGAATTAGGGACATGACATTCCGCCTTGAGAAACGTGATGATATGCTAGGTCGCATGGTTCAATGCTACGAACGCTCCGATGACGGGGAGCTCAAAAAGGGTCACTGGAGCATGCGATCAGGGGTGGCCGTTGAAGACTTCGGGGGTCGTGGGCTATACGCTACAGTTCCTGATTTGCTGAAGGTCTACAGTGCTGTACTGCGTCAAACATTTCCGCCTACTGAGTCTTGACATGTTCAAACTCATGTTTACGCCCCAGCTGGAGACTAAGGCCGGGCTCGATTGTCTCGAGACTAAAGAGCCTTTTTACACCAACAGTATCTTGAATTCAGTTCCCCTCGACATCCCAATAAGCTTCGGACTTGGTGGACTACTGAACCTCCAGCCAGTCGAAGGACGACGGGGGGCACTCTCCTTGACATGGTCCGGAGTGACTAATTGTTACTGGGTATAGTGCATCCTCTTTATTCGAAAAGCCAACATTGATGACATGTAGTGGATCGATCCTCAGCATGGCGTCGCAGGAGTATACTTATCCCAGTTACTCCCCCCTGGCGATCCGGAAACTGTGCGTTTTCTCACCAAGTTTGAGGAGATGGTATATAAGTCGGTTCGTTGCAAGTAGAAGTGAGGAATCTATCTATGTACAACTGGTTTCACCTTTCTCTAGCAATCCATTACTCGGTCAAGAATGGCTGGCAAGCAGTGACAGACTTCGTATCATGTGAGGTATTAGTCGTTCATCCTTGTTTAGAAACGCTACGTTCCGGGGGCCTTTGACCAGCCGCCCAAACCGACGCTGGCCCGCCCACATGTTGAAACTCATGCGGTTCTAATATAATGTTGGATATTATGTTATATATTTGCAATTTGTCTCACCGAGTATGCATGCATTTTACAGCTCATTCAGTATTTGGGTTTGAATTGGCGATCTGGTCAAATACGAAGTTTTATTGTGTTGCAAATTTGTATATCCCATAAATAAACACAAGAGGAACGACGAATCTAGACTCACAAAGCGTGGCGGTTTATCATGCGAAAAAAGAACCCTTGCGATGTTGAAGGACTGTCAGGTTTTACAAACGGGGATGGTCTCATCATCATTGTATTGCTTTAAGGCTGTTACACATGAGGTAGTCGTAGCTCACGATATGCATTGATCCGAGCAAAATAACAAGTGCACTATACAATTACAGATTCTCCTAGTACCATCACTTAGAATGTTGGTGAAATCTGAAGCTCATACGCAACAAACTGCTAACGATAATCCGATGAAGAAATTGAAGTTATTGAGGTTTATTTAACACGCCAGACACTGATAAACCTTCCTGCAATATTTCACAAACAAGTCGATATAATATACAGTATCTCTAATATTTCCAGCAGCTGTACTAAGCTCTTGTCACAGCGTCAAAGCGACCGATTACCTCTTCACTAACTTACGCAGTCGAAGAAGGCGCCGCCCCGGTAGGAACCGCCGAACCAGAGGGCATACCAGAGGGAGCACCACCCTCGCCGCCGCCACCACCGCCCATGAAACCAGAATCCTCATTCTCATGACCACCGTTCTCATCGTAGTACGCCGCAATGCTATAGTAGCTGTTATCCGTGTAATCCGCGGTAGTGTTAATACCGATCTGGATCCACGCAAACAGACCGTCCGACAAGCCGTCTCCGAGGTAGATGTACTCGGGGAACGGGTCGTAGGCGGAGCTGGCCTGCTCGACACTCCACATGTCCTCAGCGTTGGAGGTGATGGCCTGCGTGTTGGTGGTGTACGGGTATGTGTCTTCGACGGCGGAGCGGAGGACTTCGTTCCAGAAGAGTTGGCCGATGTGCGCGACGTTGCCGGTGCCGACGACTAGGGTGTTGTTGTTGGGGTGCATGGTTGCGTTCAGGTGCGTGAGGAGGTGGGTGTGCGTGGCGCGGCCGTCGTAGTGGCCGGGGAAGATGGTCGAGAAGGTCACCACGCCGTCGGCGTCGGTTTGTTGGATGCCGCGCAGGTAGGTCGAGTCGAGGCCGTCGGCGGCGTAGTTGCCCGAGGTGGAGATTCCACTATGGAGGCTAGTCAGTGGGTGTGTTCTTTGTCTTCGCTCTGCGAGGTGTGGTGAATATTGGCTCACCTGTAGACACCAGTAGCGTTGGCCTGCCAGACATCGACAATGGCGCCAGGAACAGGACGGCAGGTGTTCACATCGATGTACTGGACCTCAAGGAAGCTGTCGACACCGTCGGAGTACTTCTCCTCGCGGACATCCTGGCGCATGATCTCACCCCAGACATAGTAAGGGCCGTCGGTGATAGTAGGAGCCAGGATCGCGCTAGTATTACCACCGAAGATCTCGGACTCGGGGGTGTTGGGCGAGAAGTCAAGCAGTCCGGTACGGTTGTGGTTGATAGCTTCCCATTCCTCGAGGGCAGCAAGGTCACGACGCCATTTCTTGGGGTCTGTAGCTGTCAGTCTCTGTGGTCTGATGGGACAATGTCGAAAAATGAGGGAGGTGAAGGGGTGAAGGAAACATACTGGCGGTGATGCCTCGGGCCTGACGAAGCTCTCGCGCGGTACGAGCGCGACGAGCAATGTTGCGCTGCTGCAGCTGCTTGGCGTGAGTGGTAGTCGAGCAAGCGTCCAGGGCGCGTTTGGATCTGGCAGCGTGAGCGTCGCGAGCGCGGATCTCCCGCTTGAGGACCTCGTGGTCGTGCTTTTCGCCCGGGTGAGCGACAGCCAAGGTAGCGGCAGTGAGGGTGAGGAGCTTAGAGAAATGCATTTTGAACTTGCTCGGTTAGAGATGCTTTGCTTGTTTTCTCTACCCTTTTGGCAACCGTCCATCCCCTTTATATATCTGCCAGGCCTGACAGAAGACCACTCCCTGACTTCTTCATGACTAGCCATATCTTGGTCAAGTGAATAGACTACTCCCTATCCCCACCAAGGGTGATGTTTAAGAAAAAAAAAATGTTGAATAAAGAATCACGGAAGCAACCTAAACTGCCGCGTCATTCTCCGTCTCAACTCCGACTGGCCAGACACTCCTATCCTAATCTCCACACTTCCATAATCCCTGCTCAGACCTCCTACACTAAACAGCGTGCTGCGTAATCCAGCCCAGCCGACAAGGCACCCTCCAAATAACTTCTCATCCCGCCGGAATTCTGCACCACGCACGACCAAAACTAAACGACTAGCAGCGTAGCCAAACCGAACGGGTTCTTGGCACCGCGTACGTGGGATCCGCATCCGCCGTCAGAAACCAGAAACGATCGACACTCCCTACCAATCAGGTTTCCGCGGTTCTTGCTTATGGTGGATCCGGGGATATTTAGATTGTGAGCTTAAGGCGGCTTGTTTCAGTTTATTTTTGCTTCGCTTTGTGGTGCTTTGCCTTGTGTCTGTCGTTCTGGACTGCGGATTAGAGATGAGGGAGATGAGTAGGTAGGGCTGGGTGGCGCACGTGTCGACGTACTGTGTACGTGGAAAGGCTTGGCGGTGGGATAGCGGCGAGTCTAGATCGTGAACTATATATATTGTCGCGGTGAAGGGCCAGTGGAATATCCTTGAGTTATTAACATTTGCTTGACGCCGTACTATAGGAACAAGTGACGAAGTTGGCATAAATTGAGTTGCGTGTGTTAGTAGATGGATTGTACATCGAAATATATTTGAACCATTAAAGCGAGAACATGCAAGAAAGTATGCACAGTGAAGGGGTAGAGGGGCAAGACGGAACGGAGGAGAACTCATAAATGTTTGTCGTACTCCGTATAGTATAGGCTAGAGCAACAAGAGCTCAATTGGTTGGAAACAGATTATACCTGTATACTCTTGATCAAATCCGGCACATCGGTCTACTTGAATCTACTAACGATGGGTTCCTTGGCATTCTGGATGCCTGAGGCACTGACATGTAATGTTTCTTCCTAACTCCTGGATCCAGTCCTTTTCAATTCAACAAACTAGACCTTCAGATCGCTTTATAATTTGATTACTTTGGTCACTGCAGTGGCTAGTTTCCAACTACAATCCCCACATGTCTGGAAATGGCGGCCCTGCCACGGTTAGTTGCCCGACGCACCAGATGAGCCAGAAAATAGCCCACTAGACACGAAGGGCCAAACAAACGCGGAATGTGTGGTAGGTAGCCTCAGGCATTCAAACCTCAAGACCAACGCCCTGCCCTTCCACCTTCGCCGCCACCCGCCGGAAATACGCCCTTTTCACCCACTTCCAGCTCTCAGCGCCCAGAAAAAACAACACCGTTCCAACAATAACAATCGCCCACTCCCAGGAGATGCCAGTATGCCGAAACACCTTCGTATTTATAACAGGGATATAAAGCAACGGAAACACCATCACAAACCCAGAAATGTTAGCCCAGAAAAGGAACGGGTTCTGCCAAATATCCCGCGCGAATTGTGTCCAGCTATGCGAGGACGACGGACGCATATTGAAGAACGACCGCCGCATGTCGATCATCTCCCAGGCCAGGAAGAGCACGAACCAGGTGAGACACGCGAATGTTGTGGCGCGAGCGCGGAAGGCGATCTCGCATCCCTCGAGCTCGTTGTTGCAGTCGTTGCCGAATTTGCCTTTGCCGAAGCCGTACATGACGAGGGTGAAGGCGCCAAGGCATAGGGCGGCCACCCATATTCCGTAGACGATCATGTCGATCATGACTTCGAGGGTGAAGATGCCTTTTTTGATCTGCGTGCAAGATTAGGTTGGGATCCATGTGTCGGGGTCAGAATGGACATACGCTTCGCGGTGGTCGGGACATGATGTCAGCTGTTGCTTGCTCGAAGCCTAGTCCCATGTCTGGCAACCCGGAAGTAATCATGACCAGCCAAACAATTTCGACGGGACTTAGTGGGAAGACCGAAAGATCCTGTTCGTCTTTGAATGCAAGCCCGACGAGGAGAACGAGAGCCTGTGCAAAGTTCTGGGACAACACGTGGAGGATAAACTTTTGAATATTGTCAAACATCCGCCGCCCTTCCTCGATAGCATTAAGAATCGAGGCAAAGTTATCGTCAGTTAGGACAATATCCGAGGCGTCTTTGGCGACATCGGATCCAGCCTGGCCCATTGCAATACCCACGTCTGCATCTTTCAGGGACGGAGAATCGTTCACACCATCGCCAGTCTAATTCATGCCCAGTTAGTGATCCCATAACTGATAAGTCGGGTGTGTATTATGGGGACCTACCATGCCCGCAAATTTTTTCCGTCGATGTAAAGCTTTGATCATTCGCACTTTGGTGCTCGGAGCGCATCGCGCGATTACCAGAGGCAAGGTCGGCAAAGCATCGACCTCATCATCCGACAATTTATCAAATTGATGAGCCGTCATCACCATTGCATCAAGAACATCCTTGCTTAGCTCGTTGATGCGTGATGGTAAAATCCCCACGTCCAAGGCAATCGCTCGTGCTGTTCCAGGATGGTCTCCCGTCAACATATGGACAGAAATGCCGGCTTCATGACAACGACGGACAGAAGGCGCGGATTCCGGTCGCGGAGGGTCGTATAGACCGATTAATCCACGAAATACCAGGTCGCTCTCGACGGTATCTCTTTTAATATCTTCGGAGTCGTCGATCGACTCGTGATATTCCCTGCTGGCGAGCGCGAGCACCCGAAGGCCCAATGCAGCAATTGCCTCCATATTAGCAAGAATATTTTCTTTAATTTCTTCGGTCATTTGCTCAGCTTGGCCACCAGATTGGGTGTGAACTGATGTACAGGATGCAATGACTCTTTCAACTGCACCTTTGGTAAACACATAGCTCTTGCCGGTCAAAGCCTCTTCAAAAATCACGGACATCCTCTTGACATCCGAATCAAACGGGAACTCGGCCACCTGCTTCCACGAGGGAATTTCACCCTCGGTGAAGTTTAGGCGATTCCACCCGAAGCGGGAGGCCAGGACCTGGATCGCGATCTCGGTGGGATCTCCTCGCGCTTTCCATTCTCCGGAGTCCTCTTTGAAAACCACAGCGAGGTTAGCAAGTGAAGCTGTCTTGAGGTATTCCTCTAACTCTGGATTTCCTTCAAGGAACCGTTCCGCCCTGTCCAGTTTTTCTTCCTCAACAGAGTTCGTGAAATCGATATGTCGCGGCTCCTTTGGGTCATTGCTAAGTCCCCCAATCGTGGGATTGTAGGGCTCGCTTGACTCGCCGACCGAATATGTTCCGCGGGCGGGAATCCAGATCTTTTTGGCCACCATTTTCCCCTGCGTCAAGGTCCCAGTTTTATCGGAGCAGATGTCTAAATTATGTTAGTACTATGCAACTTTCCCAGAAAGGAGGTCATACCAGTAACCGCCCCGAGTGCCTCTAAAGAGTTCAAGTTCCTCACGATGACCTGCCTCTCGACCATCCGTTTCGTTCCAACAGTCATGGTGATGGTCAGGACCACAACCAATGACGAAGGAATCATGCTAAGTCCAGTAGCCACAGCATATATAATGACTTCTTTCTGGCTATTGAATCTGTTCGCCGCGAGCACGATAATCGCGCACAAAACCGCCGTGAAGAAGAGGAATATTGCAAGCCTGGAAAGCTTCCGTTGCAGGGGTGTCCCAACATTAGTCCCAAGAAAGCCTCCAATGAAGGATACGATGACCATGAAAACAGCGACAGTATAGCTCCAAGCACTTGCAGAGCCATCCGACCTGCGCTGCACCTTCAATCCACCAGACCCCTTTTCCCGAAGCGCCGCAGCAATAGATCCAATCTCGGTATGCATGCCTGTGCCAAACACAACGCCTTTTGCCCGCCCTTTTGTCACGGTAGATGAACTGTATGCGATATTCAACCGGTCGCCGGGTCCGGTGTCATCTTCGAAAGTGTCTGACACCAGTTTTCGAACGGGGAGGGATTCGCCGGTAAGTAAGGCTTCGTCTGTCTCGAAATTCAACGCTTCTATGAGTCTTCATATAGTCAGTATTCCTCAGCAGGAGTGTCAATGTGATAATATGCGTACCTAACATCAGCGGGGATTGTATCACCCGTCTTCATCTCTACCAGATCACCCGGGACAATCTCTGCCGTCTGCGTCGAGAGCACCTGCTGGTCCCTAACAACCGTAGCTGTGGGCGAGCTCAATGTGCGAAGAGAGTCCATGGTCTTTCCAGCCTGAAACTCTTGTATAAATCCCACGACGATGTTGATCAGCACAACGGCTGCCAGAACGCCACCTTCAATCCAGGCCTCGATACCTAGACTCACCGCCGTCGCCAGAATGAGGATCTAAATCAACCGGTCGGTCAGCGTCGCTCGGAACATCTAAAGTAATAGAAAGACAAACAAAAGTCATGGCGTTGGCCACCTGCTTGAGCAGGACTCTGACGGCACTGGTGGACGAGGCATTCCCAATGTCGTTACGCCCGTACTGATCCAGCCGACTTTGTGCATCAGAAGCTGTAAGACCACCCTGGGCGCTCGTGTCCAGCTCATCGGCGACTGTTTCCCAGGCCAGTGCATGGGCTGGACGGCTTAGCGGTTTGTTGCCGTACCCTGTGACGCCACTCGTACTGGCTGGTGCTTTATCTTTCCCCATGATGTTAGACTCGCTTCCGGACGCAAGCAAGGGAGTGAAGAACACATGCTGCTGGCGCTCTTTATATAGCTATGAATTATTCAACGTGCAAGTAACAATCCGAGGAGAAACATGCCAATGATAATTCCGTTACACAATTCTCAGATCTCACTCCGCTTGGCTGCCGTTTCGGGAATAGCGCACACCGTCAGAATGAACATCGATCGACTCAGGGTCCTTTGTTCGCGTTCTGATAGGCACGCCCGGCAAATGTGGGCCTGGAAGTGTATCTCTCCTTCGAGTAGCCTCTTCAGGAAGTAAAGAGGAGTGGGGCAGCGATTGCCGATGATTGAATCCTTTCATCTTTAGCCTCAGGACAGGATTGAACCATGTTTCCCAATGACCTGCTTCTCCGCGAACACTGCATGTATACACCAACCAACTCGAATATGTAACGTATTGTGTAATCGTAACCAATTCATCCTCTCGGCAATGTATAGGGTAGTTCTGAAATCGGCTAACGAGGTGCCTGTGTTGCAAATTCCGTCAGCATATCAGCAACCAAATGAAGTTGAGTTTGTTCCACAGGGATTAGAGAGTGGATTAACGGACTTGGAGGAAACTGGAAATATCTTACAGTTGCAGCGCTTCTCCGAGAACAGCCATCGTGAAACAAGAGCTCGTCTTAGCTTCGCCTTGCGGCTACTGGACTCCAGCACCACGTTGAGGTACGAGCTCGTCGCTGGAGGCCTAGCCTTTGAAGACTAGGCGCTCATGGAGCTCGAGCCAAAAGGTCAACCCTCTCATGAGACTTATACTAGCTCACGCTGTTCTCGAGGAACAGGATCGCCAGACCTGTCTTCCGCTGTTCGCTAAAACAGGATATATGTCTTCCGCAGATTGCTAAAGACAGGATCTAGAGACTTTGTCTGCTATTCGCCAAAAGATTTATATTTTCTCCTCTACAAAATGCCGAGCAAATTGTAAAGCAACGCGTTGGCTGTTCGCTAACGCTTGTACGTACCACGTCTAAACAGATCGTGCCAGATGCTTTGAGAAAACATAGCAGAACAAGGAAAGGAACGTGAGAGAAGGAAGTGCCTGTCGCACGCCACCCGTATCTATGTCTTTAGACTGATCGGGCTGTGGGTGCTGAAGACCACCTCGAACAGGTTCGTTCTGGCCGAGAGGTCGAACATCCTCGCTCAGACCCCGCTCGCCTCCGGGCAGCTGCCTGTGGGGTTGCTGGACCTGAACTGGGACATCTTTCGCCTGGCTTTGAGCATGATCCGCCCGTCGCCTTGCCGCCATTCGTGCGTGAGATGTCTACCGGCTGGTGTCTGCTGCCCTTCGGGCTGACTCCGCATAGCACGGTAGTCTCGTCGCCGTGGGGCTTGGCGACGCCGCTTATCGACTCTTCTCTGCTGCTCTTGATCGACAGCAAGTCCATGTGGCTATGTATTATCAGTTATGACAACAAGACTCAGTCTATTAGTAATAAAGTCTTACCAGCTGGATGGCAACGCGGTTGACTCTCCTCGCGGCCGGACCCTTTGAGTCAACAAGAGGTGAGAGAAGATTTGACCTGCAACAACTCCCTCAAACATTCTGTGATGGTCAGGGCGAAAGGCGGAGGAAACAAAAGAAACCGTAACCAAAAAGTCTCAGCAAGCGGTTGCTTTATAGTGCTCTCTACAAGCTTGTGACTGTCTCGCGTTTTGGTGAGGGAGAAAAGACAGACGAGGGAGAGGGGCCTGGCGAGGGGACGGATATGCTGACCCCGAGCTAGCCCTAATCGGGTAGTCCTCCTACACGTCTTATACGTCTTACACGAGTGAGTGTTTTGACCAGGAAAGATCCTTCCTTTTCACTTACGTGCTAGGATTCTTCAGCGCCAGTCACCCGTCTCTTCGATAACTAGTCTGATGCTGAAGAGATAAAATAATCGCAGATATGTATATGGGTTTCTCGGCGACTTAAAACGGATGAGTGAAAAATATTTATATTGTTCTTTGATGTGACCGATCAATCTCCTGGCATATTCTTGATCTATGCAAATACGAGACACACTATAGGTTCCAGGCTTCCGTCAGTGTATAAGAGGTACCCGATTAGGGAAAGCACCAAGCACTTATAACTAAGGGCAAATAGTAAATTTTCTCAAAGTCCTTCTTCTTTATTCTCCATCCCTCCAAGGTTGGCACAGTAGGTTCCGGACTTATACTAACGGAAGGGGCGTTGCCGAGTTCACTGCATACCGACATGTCCTCATCAGAGTCCACGACATACTCGCTGTTAAGTGGTGCTTATTTGACCTTGGTTAGCACTACCACTAGCGGACGGTCAATCTCGACCGGAGCTAAAAAACGATCATATGTCCACCCAGACGGGAGAAAGGAAAGAAGTATGGCTAATATAACTTTTTCTTCGGGCCATACCGAACCGGCCTTTTGCCCTACTCTCTATCATCCTGCTAATCACCATGTTAGTCGCCTGCTGCAATCCTGACAAGACCGGGCGGAGCGGAATTGGGATTTCGACCGGAGCCAACCCGCCGAACTGGCTACGGTCGAAAGTCCAGGCCTGATAACTTACCTCGGGCGAGTCCAACCGAGTGCGCGAGTCTTTTGAACCATATCACTAGATTAGCCACCCGTTACCCTGAATAGATTAGGCTTTCCTATCTACCTTTGGCTGTTTAGATAGAGTTGGAGCATCTCTAAGGGGTACCTTGGCTTTCTCTTTGGAAATGGAGTCCTGCACCACAAAACTAGCTAGGCTTGTTGACACCTCGTAGGACTTCGACCGGAGCGGACTTTCCAAACAGGCTCCAGTTGAAAAGCTTGAATTGAACCTACCGGAGTGGCATCGGCATTGGTGTCCGAATCATCTTCTGCCCGCTTTCGCTTAGACACCCTCGGCTTCCGTGGTTTTCTGCGGGTAACGGGCGTGAAAAGTCCCACCCGCGGATTACAACTGTCTCGGGTGTGGCCCGAAAACATGAGGCGGCTTGTTGTCTGGCCCAGCATATCCCGTAGCAGCTGGGCGGCCGCCTCCTCCAGGACCCGTTCCTCCGTGATCACCTTTACCGCCGCGGCGGCTATCGTGTCCGAGGTATTATCCAGATTCTTCATCTCCTCGCCGAAGGCGGCATTTATGAGAGGCTGTACGACATTCTGGAACTTACCCGCGATCTGCGGGATGGCTCTTTTGGCATTGTTCCATTCTAGGTATGTCTCGATGGTCTGTTGCTGGTACAATATCCACATCTTCTTCCGCAGCCTCTGCCCGACACGGTGGGCTCTAACCCCGGCCTGCCACACAGTGTTCAGGTTGCGGGTCGCCTCCACTATCACCACTCTGGCGCAGTGGTGATGGAGATTCAGGCCGCAACTTCCCATCTTGAAGGTCTTCATCAGTACCGCATCTCCGGAATCGGCCGTGGTAAAGGCTCTAGCGGCCTCTTGGCATGCACTTTCGGCCGACGTGGATTTGATACTCACAAAGGGGATCAAAAGTGCTCGAGGGCCCGGCATGAGGTCAGGACTGTGCTGGGCGTGGTAGATATATAGAGGGGGAGCGGCTTGGCCTCCTGCGCCTTGGTTGGCACCTTTTTGGACGTAACCTGCTTCCAAAAGAACGCAAGCAGCATCCAGGTATGCACAAGGTCGTACCGGTGCAGGGTCCAGTCGCTGGCGTCAATCTTGGAGTTTGGGAAAAAGGAGGGTTTCGCGATCATCAGCTGGCGCATTAACCACAGAGAGGATAGGCCATAAATTGTGTCCTTTGAGGCGTTTGCTGTACCCACGCGTGGCGCCTCTGGTTCCAGCATTACGGCTTTCACCCGGGTCTCAAAGGCCCACTCAATTATTGAGCTTCGGATGAACTTCTTCCCCTGAGCTGGGCTCGAGCACCCGAAGGAAGATTTCCGGTTCGTGATCCACTCCTCAAGGACGGGCAGCGTACGGTGATCGCTTTTCCAAAGGGCCCACACCTGGCCAATTTCAGGCATCCTGCCAGCTTCTGTGCGGAGCCTTCCAAATCCTGAAGGAACATGTCATATTGGACGCCAGTGATACCACAGGAGGTTGTAGTAGCCATGGTAGACACTAAACAGCGTAGTTAGTACAAGACCAAGGCCGACACAGGGGCTCGGCTCCGGTCGAAACGAGACATTTTCTGTGTATACGATAGTTGAGGCGCACAAGGTAGTGAAACTTGTGAATGTTGACCTGTTGGGAGAGGATATCCGTAAACGTGGAATTTCGACCGGAGCCAGAACGCAGAAGACAATAACTTTGGGTCAGCAAAGGTCGCAGGATTCGAGGATCTCCAGGCAAGGTGCCGCCTGCCTGCCTGCCTACCCGGCCACTGTCGGCGCAACTTGCAGCTACACGCCTGCCGGCTCACTTTGCCCGCCAAAAGACACAGTGAGACCGACTAAGGGACCCTCCTCCCTTGTGGTATTGTAGACAGAAAGCATGTTGGTCTGATTCCACAGAGAAGATAGCGGAGGGTCCCATGCCTCCGAAGTGTTCCTCGAGTTCCTCATCCGTCACATCTGCCGCGCCGCACAAGGCAGCAACCCGGTTAAGCACCCACTGCATGTGCAAAAGTTCGAAAGACGGCAATGGCATATTCAACGGATCGTTGGTTTTTATTGTTATCAAATGGCCGGAATCAAGCCGCTTCTCTGGCTGGCAATCCCACAGCTTACACTTGAGCGCACTCATTTTGAGATTAGCGGGAAGAACAGGGGTATTCTGAATGGGAACCATTTCGGTAGCTTTGTTGCGAGGCAGCCACCAGAATCGTATAGTGAGAGATTTCTTGTCGTTAGAAACCTCAATGGGCTCAAGTGCTAACCATGCCATTCCCCAGAGATCGTGCACTGTGCTGGATAAACATAGGAGGTTTTGGGGTACCTCCGTGCCTTTACAGCAAGCGGTTGCTTGATAGTGCTCCTTGCAAGTTTGTGACTGTCTCGCGTTTTGGTGAGGGAGAAAGACAGAAAGGAAGAGGGGGCTGGCAAGGGGAGGGAAATGTACCTAATCGGGCAGTCCTCCTACACGTCCTATACATGAGTGAATGTTTTGACTCGGAAAGATCCTCCCTTTCACTTACGTGATAGGGTTCCTCAGCGACAGTCACTAACCTCTTCGGCCTCGGACCCTTTGTCGCAGCGGCAATACCATTGACAGCGAACCGCGAGTTTCAATACTATCTCAACGCAGTCGGTGCGCGGCATCAGTTCAATCAGGACTTGTCGAATTGGCAAAATTTCACGTCTCTCAAACCCGCTTTTCGCCAGCAGCAAGAGACACAGTTGTCACCGAGAGAATGGCAAGCTTAACAGAAATCGAACAAACAGCTCAACAATTGCATCGTCGCGTGTCTGAAAGCTATACAGCCTTGATTGATGAATCACTAACTGCCCCTCTCTCATATGGGCATAGAAGATTCTGCCATATTGATTTTCGAGAAAAGAGAGCATGATGACTGGAAATCTTCTCTCCCCGCCGAAGACGCGGGATTTGCCGGGGAAGTTCCGCGCACCTTCATCACCGAGCCTCTCCATCTCTTCCACATCCGTGACGAGGGGCTGGTTTGCACGGCTGTACATTGCTTCGACCAATGGTGCCAGCTCTCCCCAGAGCATAGAGTTGTCATGGCCAGAAAAGTCCTGGGTCGTTGCAATAGTTATGTGGGGATGCATTGGTCGGTCATATTCCCAGGCGGGCTGGCGATAATTGCCTGCTCTGGAACTGCCTTCACCGGATGGGTAGAAGAAAGAGCCAGAGAAAAGAAGGAAGAAGGGATTGGGGATACTATGATATTTGAACTTTAGTATGTCAAAGTAATCGAAAGGAAAGAAGATAGCTATCTGTTCCCAGCTTACCTCATTTTGACTGGAAGAACGAGTCCTGATGTCTGAAATGCTTGGATCGCTGTACACCGGGCCCATTGGCTCACCAAGGTATACGCAATTTGCGCCCCAAGTCCGGACCCGCACAAGTAGGTCTGCTGGAACTCAGCGTTGGTATGCGTCGCATAGTCAACCAACTGGGCTGCGTCAAGGGAATCCTCCGAAGGGCGATGCTCCATAAGATGGCTCTGTTCCAGTGTGTTGAAGTAAAAACATGACATCACGCCAGCTTCGGCAGCTTCAAGTTCTAAAGGGGATACGGGTGATGTTATGGCGCGAAAGCTCTTCATCCTGTACTTCATGTCTGGTCGCGGGGTCGTCGGAAGGTCTTATCTCGTTGGTGACGAAGACCTTTCCCCAGAGTTCGTTAATACGCTCGCGTACAGCATTTCTCGGCATCTTGGCCGGTGGTGGATAAAAAAGGATGGAAGAGAGAAAAGAAGAAGTAATGGTGGTATTGGGTTGATGAAGAGAGTGCAAAGAGAACGTGGGAAGAAACCGAAATTCCTGGGGCCGTGGACTACCCAGCTTTCATCATAGCCATACAACATTGACTGAGAATCGTCAATCGCTTCCCTTGGGTGTAAAAGGTCCTCCGATGTTGATTATTGAGAAAGGATAGTATTATGACTGGAAACTCTCTCTTACCACCGAAGGCGCGGCTTTTGCCTGGGAAGTCCTGCACTCATTCATCCTCGAGTCTCTGCGTCTCTTCCTCATCTGTAATCAGAGGCTGATTCACGCGGCTGTGCATAGCTTCAATTAATGGTGCCAGTTCGTCCCAAAACATGAAATCATCATTGCCAAGATAATGGTGGCTTGTTGTTATAATGAGATGAGAATGAACTGGACGATTATTTTCCCAGGCAGGCTCTCTTCCGTACCTGGGCCATTAATCTCTCTGTGAGTGGAAACCCCATTTTATATTCTCCTTCCTAGAGAAAATGCCCTCATGTAGAGCCTCGCCTAATCCTCGATCACGAGATTCCTTCCTGCTTCGTCGAAACTGGCTTGGTACTTTGCTACAATAGCGACGGTTCAGCAGTGAGTCCTCGCGGCTCTACACTTGCAGTCATCTAGCCACAATGGTACTCTTCAAGAAGCCTTCGAATGTCGCCTTCCGTCCTTCCGTGAGGCCGCCAGGCTTGCCAATCGGCGAGTAACTATATCCCTCACCTGCCTCTCCAAACATTCGAATTTGATATAGAAGATGATTTCATTCGTGGCCAAATGTTGGCATGCTCTGTCCAGAAACCTCAGCCTAGGGAGTTCTGCTTATGCAGAGCAGCAGAGCTTTCGAGTGTTTCTTCCACCTCATCGGTATTTTCTGGGGTGATAATGCTCAATTTCTGGCAGCAATTGACATTGCTATAACATTGACCTGCGTTCTCCGGATTCCAGATGAATCTAAAGAGAGTATTAGTGCTCTCAGACAGCGGCCCAAGAACCATCTGCAGTCTGGGGGCCTTCTTGTGAGGTGTCATCAATTATTGACAGGGGCGGCATGGATGCTTGAACATTGGTTTTTGTAGGCTAAGCAAGTCTGACGGGAGCGTAGGAAATCTCATGTTGTTCTTGAGTGATTCCGATGGCCAGGATTTCAAAAGCGAAACTCTCTCTGCAGAGCTCCGACTCTACCCTCTCGAACTCTTGCAATGTTCGTAGAACGGCCTCGTAAGTCACTTCCTGTTTCTGATCAAGAAAGGTTTCCAGGGGTTCCTCAAAGAGAGTAGACAGCTGCAGCTGGATACCAGCCTCATGCTACGACCGCAAGCCCAGCAATCCCTCTCCAATCCTTGTTGCAGGTTCAAACCACACCAGTGGTGCCCAGCGGCCCGTTGTCTTTTTTTTTGACACTCTTCCGCCCTAAGTAGTCGTAGCCATCGGGACGAATTCTGCATTCGCTCTCTTAATTGCGCAAGACTTCCAAACTGTTTTCATCTGACCTTTTGCCAAGCATTGCAATTGATATCAATAAACATCGCTGCCGGCTAAGGGCGTGAGCTCTGGGATTCAGCGGGTGATTAATATCAAAGACACCAGGTTTTGGGTCTCCCTTTACGAAGACCTTCCGGCTAAATTTTGCGCTTCTTATGCCGAAGATGAGGCTTGTCGTGGCCTTTTTCTTTCTGTTCAAGTAGCCTTGGCCACCAGTGTGGCGCCGATTCAACTAGCCTGCTTCCGTGTTCGCAGATATCTTTCTGCGTCAAGATTAAAGTTCCTTTGAAGTTATGTGTGCCGTCGTCCCCAGAGCCAAATGCATCGTTTAAATTCCCTTCTACCATAAGATAGATATTCTTGTCGTTTGATGAAACACGTTTGGGAGGTTCTGGATATGAAATGAGGTGATAGTTTCCGTCGGTCTTAAGACCTAACATAAGAAGATACAATGCCAAATCGGAACGCAGCATCTGCTGGATGAAACCAAAAAACATGGTAGGTAGGGTGCCGTCTGTAGCCCTTTCGCCCACGAGCGTATGGAAGCTAGATATATGGCTTTGGACGTCTTGCCGGAACATAATGTGTCATGACTGCTCGTAGCTGCTGATCCGTGTCTATAGGGCTTCCGTATTCGGGCAAACTTTCGATCGGCGGGGTGTCGGTTCTGTAGGAGAAGTGGCTCCCGGTTGATGATTGGGGGAATACTGGGGCCCTTTCAAGCTCTTCCTCTAGGTCTGACAGCTCCAGTCCCAGTTTAGTTTCCAGCTTTATTTGCTCGTTGACCTCTTGCTTGGTTGGAATCTCTGGTTCCTGTGCCAGTTCCTGTGGCCTAGCCTGCATCCCATGGGCAAACAATGGGAATAATCCATATAGCTTCATTACTTCCGTATTTCTTTGGAGTTTGCATCTGCTCCGTATGTTCTCTGCCAGGGTTTGGCGCCGATGTACCAGTGATTGGTACAACTGGTTAAAGGACCCTAAAGTATACCTACATCGGGTGACCTGATCTCGCTGTATCCGTCCCTTATCTCATTGTCTGTTTCAAAAATGTCAATATCTGGCCTGAAGGATCGACTTTGGTTTTAAAATGACACTGTTCCCTTTGAACAGTTCTGTCGTTTTGAGAAACTCGATTGCCCTCGTTGAGGCTTTTACGTTGCTTCTCCTTGTGCTTGTATGCCTGGGGCTAGATCATCGATATATGCCCTATGTGAGTCCATATAGGGGCCTCTGTCCTACGGATATAGACAAGGTCATCTCCGCTTTGTAAGAACTCTGAGGAATTGAGTGAGGACATGGTCTATAAATTGTTGTGAGAACGTAAGAGGTGGCAGGGGAACGAGACGTAGATAACTATTGTAACCTCATTCACTTAGCAGCCATTTCTGTATAGCCCCCAGTTCACTACACGAATCCTGCTCAAATCAAGTGAATGCCAATATTCGTTCAATGTTGCGCTCTTATCACTTTGTCACCCCAATGCCTCTGCAGCCTCCCTCAGCTGAACGGAGGTCGGCTACTTCTATACGTTGCAGCGTAGTTTGTGACACGGGATTTCGGTGCCCGGAAAGATGTGTAGCTGGAATAGCCAGAAGGTCTTTCCAGCAGCATCAAGTGTCTCGAAAACAGCGATTATGGCTCGCATTAATTTAGATGACGCTCTTCCGGCATAGCACTCCGAGGTCATGGGAAAGCATAACCATAACCACGGGGCGATAGGTTTGTCAAGCTGTCTTCGTTTTGCGGCTAAGGGCTTGTGACCATGGGTCAGGGTCTATCGTGAGGTTCACTTCGAAACACGCAATGATGCAACTGTGGAACTGTTTATTTGGTTAGTGTTGAGCTCGTGGGCCTCTAAGTAATGAACTTATTAGCTTATTTCAGTTTCGATGACTACTTCTGTTCTCTACAGCTTCTTCCCACTTTCAATATGCCGAGGAACACGAGTCGCCTTTTTTTCAACTCTCTGTGGAAAGGGATCGTAGTTGATCGCAAAATCGGGATCTCCCAGGAGCAGCATCTAAATGACAACGAGCTTGGTCAAAAGGTGTCTATTGTCAGCCCTTGGAAATCGAAGCCACTGAGCATCCTACAATTCGCCTGGAACTCAAACCACCTTTTTTTTTTTCGAGCCTCTCTTGCCTCAGGTTCCCCTTGATCATCCTGTGCCAGAGAGTTCTCTCACTTGCTTCGAGTTCGTCGAGTATGGTGACAGCCCTCCAGGAATCTCGGAGTGGTCTACCTGGACTACTCGTCACGGCGTCCACACTGCCTGCGCCTACGTCAGTTTGTGGACCTTTGCCGTCCAACCGAACATACCCTCAGCCTTTGGCACCTTGACAAGCATTTCTGGGCTTGAGTTTATCTCGTAAGTGGGTTTCTTTGGCATAAGGAAAGTTGGCTGGTTTCTCTTATTAACAATCGTTTAGAATGCCTGATCCGCTCCTTTTTACTCCCGGCATGGGTGGGCCTCTTCCTAGACTCTTGAAATGGGCAAATCATGGTATGTTTCAGGAGGCTCAGGAATGGCCATCCCACTCAACCCCACGTCATCATGATGGTGAGCCATAAATATAATGGCCGGGATGGATCCATGCTTTTTGTTGAGTTAGCACCAATCATTTGTGCCATGCGGAGCCGAGTCGTTCAACCTAAAGTCGAGCGTCATGAAAAGCAAGCTTTGTTCGAGGGTGAGCCATTTGACAACAAATCTCTTGTCTTCCCAGATGAACAGCGATTCCCAGTATTGCTCACTCTTTCGTTGGTCCGCAGCATGCGAGGGTCTTCTACGGCTGTCTTAAAGAAAGTTGAGAGTCGATCATTCGTCGATCAAAGCTGTTAGATCTTACGAAACTGAATAATGCACCGGTGGAATTGCTGGCCCATTTCTTTAGAAGCCTGGTTTTTGTTGCCTAGTCAAGCGGAATATTCACTTTAAAATGTGCCCCAAGATCTTCCCAATCAGTCAAAAGCCAGGATACTCCTAGGTCAAATAGACCCGCGATTCTTCTTCTTCGCTTGCTTCCTCATTCTGGACAGTGTCTATTTCTAGACTATTTTGCTAGTTGCTCGAAGGTTTCTATTTCTTTCGCTCGTCTCCGTCCTTTCTCGGCAAACTAGACTCTCTACGCAGACCAGAGCTTGTCTAACCTAATATAAGAGAACAATGTCGATGAACCTGGCCAATCCAGCGACCCCCTATCGCCCTGCATATCCCAAAGGTAGGCAGGCTAGGGGCAATTTCTTTCGCCGTCGCCGGACCTTCCTTATTGATCACCAGGTAGGCCCCTCAGACCTACTGACGCACTACCAGCTCAGTTACTAATCCCAAAGTAGGATCCGCAAATTGTCATCTGCCCATACTGCGAGAGGAAAGGACACATTGAGAAATTCTGCCACTGGAAGAGACTCGACGAATTCCTGGTGAGTATGGTTCCTTGCTCCCTATCCAAATACCTTTCACTACATAACTATCATGTTCAATACTGACAATATATGGGCAATCTAGATGGGCGTACCATGCTATGCCGAGAAGCGTCAGCAGCAAAGGCCTCGGCGAAACAGAGGAAGAGGTAATCGTGCTCGCCAGCGCGCAGCTCAGGCGCGGCGCCGTCGCGAGAATCGCGCCAATCTCCAGCAACCACGACCCGAGGGAGGCAGCGAGAGACGTACCCGTAACAGGCACAGACAGAGGTTTCGCCGACGCTATTATCTCGCCAACACCCATCTGAGTTCATTGCCTGCGTCTACAAATTGGATGGGTGAACAGCACCGCGCTCCCCATGCTGCCCATTGAGGAGCTGAGAATGCTAAGGGGTCAGGACCGGGACAGGAAGATTGATATCTAGGGTTAGAATTAAAGTGGACTGTTTTATAGGGAAGTAACATGGTCTGAAAGGTTTCCTATGGAGTCAAGTTGCAAACTTCCCATTATATCCATGAATCAGTCGAGAATAACGAGGAGAGAAGGGAATTTATCAACATTGCAAGAGTCAGGTTTGAGATATCAAGATTCCATGCAATGACATCTCTCAGATTATCTTGGTGAATTCATCTTACCAAAACTCTCTTGTAAAGGCCAAAGTTCTGCTACCTCAGCAAGCAGAACATTCACTGTAGTGTGTGCTTCGTTGACGTCTCCCTAATTAGGTAAAGCCCAGGGCATATGTTGAAAGACCTAAGGAGGCAGGTTCCAAATAAAATCCAAATCTAAGTAGGCCGAGTCTAATCCGTAATCCAACTGCCCAGTTTCATCCCACGGCCCAAAGGGTGCCATCAGCGGATCCAAAGGTAGTGATAACCAATCATCAGAGAGTATCGGGTCAGGTAAGGGAATTTCTTGATCCCATGTACCGGGCTGTTGAGCTGGCTCATCTCCATCACGCTCTTCCTGCCGTTTCTCGTGTTGATGATCCACATTGGGAATGTCATTGTCGAGTCCGAATGTCTGGCGTACACGCGAGACATAGATCTGCAGCAGAGACGCGTAGCGCGAGATAAGGTGGATGTCATCCGGGCAGTTAGATTGCAAGGCAGCGATTGTTTTTTCCAGCATCGCTAGCGAACCATGAAGTGTTGATGCTCGGGTGCCAAGGGCAAGGGCCTTGAGGAGGAAGATCGAGCAGCTGATGACGCGGAGAAATATGCGGTTCGGCAGATATTGGATTGCTTGCTGGTCTGACAGTTGGATTATGTGGTTGAGAATTGCGCCAGCTCCATCGACAACTTCAGTCAGGAAAAAACGGTCTGTCACCGCTGTGTTGCTCGTCTGTACTTCCAAGTCCGATTGTGACAGTGTATCCTCGACGAAGGACTGCATTTCGATGGAGTTGATAAATATGCGAAGGTAGTGTGCTTCAATGAGGAGAATATCGTCAAATCGGTGATCTGCTATCTGTCAGATAAACAGGGATTATTTAGGCTCAAACGTCTTACCCTTGCAAAAAGACCTCTTATTTACCCAATTAGCCAGGATCTTCCGCCATTCGTCGATCGAGGCGATATCCCATCTTCGTGATCGCTGGTCGGACTTTGTCGGAGGAAAGTATTGTTCTGTAATCTCTTTCGTTATCCTTGTCAGCTCGACCCAAGAGGCCATAAAGCTTGCCCATTCTCGATCGCCCCTGGGTAGCAGGGAAGCTTCCGGGGTCTCTAAGAGAAGCGATTGACACCCAATTCTCGCAGCAATGAGGTTCACAAAGACGAACAGTAAAAAGGGGAGACGCTGGCGTCTACTCTCAAGCAGCTCCACATAAATATCTGCTTCAGATCCCATGATAACGTAGTCTTCCTTCGGCTTTGAAGCTCCTTGACCAAACACACCGAGCTCATGCGCTAGGGCCAACGCATTGGTGACCAGCATCCATGACATTCGATCTGATCGTCTCGTCGGCTCAACAACATCTTCCTTCCATCGATCAGACATCGGCATATCCTCGGGTGCAGAAGGAGGGTCTCGCAAGTCAGGTGTGGTGAGGATCAAGTCGGAGTCCCAACCATCGCTTTCAGGAGGAAAGTGAAGTGCCCGGGGATACCATTCTGAGATCAGAAGTAAAGCTTCAATGGACGACAGATGCCTTGTTTTGGCTTTTGACACTTTTTCTTGTCCCAATGTGATACGCAGTATGAGATGTTGACAATGCTGCCATAGTCGACCGTGAATAAAGTATCCTCGTGACGTACCACCCGCTCCAGGGAGAGTATGGTACCGGGAGGAGATCATCAATATCGTGCAGCATAACATTGGCTCTTGCGTGACAAGCCAGTAGTGATTGTGGGGTTTTGCGTAGAATCCTGATAGAATCGGGGAGAGCGGAGCCATGTTTTTGAAGAATCTAAGCGGTTCAGCTCCTGTATATCGACTGGATGATGCTGACCAACTCACAAGTCAACCAGCGTAAAGGCTTCGTAGGCTGTAAACCATCCCATTTTGACAAATCGACATGCGTCCCAGATCCTTAGTACATCCGTGCTAGGCAGGCACTGTAGAGTGTTTCTAGTTGCATGGCCCGCGTGAGAGCCATAATTCCGAGTACTTCCATGGCTTATCGGTATTGGATTCGCCTCTTGAGCCGCAGCCTGGAAGAGGATGCCCAACGCGTCGTTGCCGCTTGAGACTATTTGACTGAGACCAGCTGATAACGTGCCCTTTTCTTTGGTCGTCCCACAAAATGCTAAATAAATAAGTCCAGTGACTTACCAAACCAGCCAAGAATGACCTACCCGGAGTCGACTGTTCGTCAAGCCTTGTGTCCGTTGGTGGGAGTGAATTCTGCATGGCAGTAGCTAAGCGGTCTGTCCCACCTAGGCCCTTAATTAGCGTCACACAATTTTACGATATCGATAAAAATAACCTTTCTCCTCTCTTGTCCACGGCCTCTTTTCGTCGAACCGACAGTCCAAATCGAATTTCGCGCAACGGGAGCATGGTTGTCGGTACTCAGTCGGTTGGCACTTGACTTTCCGTCGTCTGCATGGAACACACGCTTGGTAGGTGCGTTTGTATTCATATTCAATGACAGCTCGACTGCGAGGTGGCCGACTGCTGCGATTTCTGGTTGCTGTGCCGCGAGTTGACATGGTTAAGGTCGATCGTTGAGGCAGGCGAAAGGCGGAGAAGTGGAGAAATGTCTCGGCTGCGGGGAACAAAGCCCTAATTAACCGGATCGGGAAGATCAACAACGAACGGGATGTACACCATAGACAGGTTACAACAGGTTAGATTTTGTTGTATTCATTCACCGAGGTAGTTGAAACTTGCATATACAGTCTCCTCACGGAAAGGGGAGATTAATTTCGGATGACACTGAATATACCCCGCATGTGCTGCTGCCCTTTGCCGACTATCCGAATATATATAATCATCATGAACCTGAAGCCCCTGACAGTACCTCCTCATGTAAGATAACGAAACTGAGGGTTATTGTCACCATTACGAGTCACATCCACCCTGGCCTGCTCATCCACCGTTCCATGTATCCGGTCTCGGCGCCTGTTCTCATGATTCAACTTGAAGAATAGACTAAGCGCCATGACTGCGATAGCGCCAGTCAACGCACAACCAATCGCACAACCACGAACGTAAAACGGCCTAAACCCCAGATTAGCCTTCTACCAAAGAAAATAGGATGACGAAGAAACATCTACCCCTCGGAATCCGGAAATGCAGAGCTGCTCACAAAGCTCGAACATTGCCCAAAAACAGCCAGAATCGCCATACCAGCTCCCTTCTTGGAATCACCGCCCTGGTTATTCAAAAGCCAGGTGATATTGATCGAAAGAGCAGGGAATACCCCACAGGTCGCCAGCCAAATCCCGAAGTACCTAAGCCCGGGCTTGGTTTCATCTTGCACCGCAGCTAGAATGAGATACCCGACCATCCCGACCGTGGCGCTCACCGTGATGACGATTCCTCTTCTTCCCCACTTATCGGAGATAATAGCGGCTACCACGCATAGGAGAAACGAAACAAAATAAGGCGGGGCCGAGAGACCTTGTGCATTGATTGATGTGTATCCCATCTCCTGGATGATGGTGGGTAGGAAGTTGGACAGACCGGCGAAAGAATAGTTGCAGCAGAAATGGATCAGCATATGGACATAATTCTTGTAATCCTTGAGCCCGTTGAAAACCTGATTCCATTCGAGTTTTGTTTTTGCTGTTGTATCGACGGTCTGAAGACGCTCTACTGCTTGTGTTTGTTCATTTTCGGAGAGGAATTTCGCCGTGCCTGGGGAGTCGGGGAGGTTGAAGAAGACAATGACGGAAAAGAGAACAGTTGGTGCTCCTTCTGTGAAATTTAAGTATATGTTAGCGTGGTATTTTAGACGAAAGAAAGCGCAGTAAACTTACCAATGATGAACAAATACCTCCAAGAGGCAATTGAATGTCGAATTTGGGTGATGCCATACGCAAGCGCACTAGCGAAACAATTCGCAACGGGCGACATTCCCAACAGAATCGAGACACGGAAGCCCAGTTCCTGACGCTGGTAGAAGAGAGACAGGAAGTAAGGAGCACCAGCGCCGAATGCAGCTTCGAAAATACCCAGTAGACAGCGACAGACAATAAGCTCTGCCATGTTATTGACTGCACCGCTGCACATTGCGGCCGCACCCCAACTGAGGTATGTGAGCTCTATTCATGCCTCAATAGGAGTATCTTACCATATGCAGAGTATAGCGATGTATATGTGAGCTGGAAAGATTTTCCACAAGACAGTTGTCCACTCGAACACAATGTAACAGATGTAGAATGAGTATAAGATCCACGCCCATTGTTGATCATCCAGACCGAGGTCAGTATCGAGGCCCGCTGTTTTTGCGTTTCCAATGTTTCCTAATCTGTGGACTTAGCAAGTTTGCAGACAGACTCCGCTTGTAGATTGGCGCGTTGTACCTCTATCCAGATACGACAGGACGTAGAGAATGCAGACGAGTGGTAGGACATGTCGATCGAACTATGAATGGTCCTGGTCAGCCATACCTCGAGATGCCATCCGTCCAACCTACCTTTCGCCGGATCAAAGACTGCTCGTTAGCTGGCACGAAGGAAAACTCTGCGCCTTTCTCTCCATTGTCACACTGAACATGCTCTAGATGTTGGGAGTCGGTTTCCTTTGGCTCGTTCATGGTACTCAGAGGACTTTTTCAACGCGTGAGACACAATAAATCTGATCTGCGTCGCACAGAACGTTGAGCAATATGTGCAGAGACGCCTAGTATCACGAAAGAATTTATACCTGACCTACGGAGAATTGCCCAAATGACACCCCGACATCCTTACCAATGGGGTCGCGGCAATTATCCATGCCCCGGAATCGGCTACTTGCTTCTCCGCATTTCCCGCCGATCCCCATGGGGTCGAGGTCTCGATGCAGTGAAACATCGGGGAAGTTTGCTTTCCACAAAGCTTGGCGCTGCGGATAATTTGCGTGGCGGAAGTTTGGCAACATCCGCACGTGGAAAATACCCGCGACAATGGTCCATGTCTCAGTGCCACTCAGAATGCCTATTTAAACAACAAGTCCATTATATCTGAGCACAACAGTTCTTATCGAGCAGATTACACAGCATTGTTCTCTCTTATTTAACATTTCTACAACACGGATAATCCCACCCTCACCATGTCTCAGCCTCTCAAGAGCACACCCTATCCCTTCCAATTCTCCTCCAACACCCAAGTCGAGGCACCAGTCAATGGGCAAACGACCGACATTAACGTGTCGCTCAAGAACGTGCGAGGCCGGATTCCATCCGCCCAAGCATCCCGCCTTCGCACCATGATGCTCGAAGCCCACCATGATCGCTCCAAAATCATCGCTCACGCATGCAGCTATGACGGCCTCTCTTCCCGATTGGTCGAGGAGGCCGGATTCCCAATTGTGTTTCTAGCTGGATATGCCGTTGCCAGTTCCTACGGGCTCCCAGACACAGGATACATCGCGATGGCGGAAATGTGCAGCAAGATCCAGGAGGCGGTACGCATGACCAGCGTGCCTGTGATGGCCGACGGAGACACCGGCTATGGTAGTCCCATGAACGTGAAAAACACTGTCGAGTGCTTTGCGGCGGCTGGGGCAGCGGGAGTGATGATTGAGGATCAGACGTGGCCCAAACGTAAGGCGCCTTTTTCCACGGTGGATAGCACGCAGCAATGGATCAGTACCGGCTGACTACTTACAGGATGCGGTCACACAAAGGGAAAATCGGTAGTCTCGCGCGGAGAAGCCTACGCTCGTCTACAAGCCGCCGTGGATGCACGGAACCAAGGACACGACATTTTCGTCCTGGCGCGCACAGACGCCTTGATTCACGGATGGGACGAAGCGATGACCCGGGCGAAGGAGTTCAAGAGAATTGGAGTTGACGCTGTCTTCGTTGAGGCTCTGCCCGACCGGGACTCGATGAAGCGATGCGTTGAAGAACTAGATCTCCCCGTGTTTGCCAATATCATCGAAGGTGGGAAGACCGAGAACCTGTCGGCTCTGGAGCTGGCGGACCTTGGATTTTCAGCAGTCGCGTACCCGTGGACACTTGTGGCCGCTAAATTGAAGAGTATTAGGGAGGCGTTGGAAGGTTTGAAACAAAGTATGACGACCGGGGCTCCTCCCAAGATACTTGGGTATGATGAAGTCTGCTACGGGGTTGGATTTGACAAATATTGGGTAAGTCGTCACTGTTTTGCTGCAGATCCCAGAAATGTTTACTAATGTGAAATCAACCAGAACCAAGAGGGCAGATACGAGTACAATGAAAATGGCCTGGTTCATCCCCAGAACGGCAGCGTATAAAGTTGCAAGAACGCCATATTCAATTGGAGTCGTTAGGAATTGGCGCAGGTCATAGATTCTTTCTGAACCCTAGGGGAAACATATCATAAGGCAAATAAACTTCTCCCCGAGCTCTCGACTGAACCACTTTCAGTCATTCATATTTCCGCTGTGTATTGTAGCATGACGTCCGGAATGCTTATGTCCGTGTGAATTAGTGGCTGTGAATTCCTACAGCGTAATTTCATGACCAGATCAAAATATTCAACATCCATCTGATTTGATTGCTGTCGATAAAATCATTCCGGAAGGCTGAAAAAGAGTGGATTGCAATTCTGCAGTGAGGGCAGAAATGTGGAACATGTAAAGGAAAACCAGCCAACCCTTAACCATGGGTCTTCCCATAAGGGACTACGGAACGAGATTTATTCTTATTTACACGGCAGTGTGCGATGTTGGAATCTTGGTCTTTTTAGTATTATGACAAAAATCTGTAATTTGAGGGAATCTTTTCATAAAGCATGACAGTGACATTATGCCTATCAGTGGATTAGAGTGGGCCTGGATCCAATAAAACGAGACACATTTTACCTTAGCGGGCCTTGGCTGAAAATCTGGGTTATTCACCGATGTATTATTCTGCAAAATACGAAGTCGGTTGCCTTTTGTACATATACAAGACCTCTGTAATGCGCCTTCGGCGGCGGTGGGTGCAAGTACTTTACTTGAACAAATATATTGGACTATGTTAGACCTCTATAAATGGTTATTAAAGTATAGTAGAAAAAGAGATAAAGTAGTATACTTATCTTATACTAAATTGTACTTGTTAAGCGTTTTCTTCTATTACCTTTACCCTTGTCAGTTGTTGGAGCTGGAACTTCATCAATTTTATCTTCGTATCAAAATAGTCAACTCTCCTATATATGCTGAAAAGATTACAATGGAATCTTTACGGGATTCTACCATCCAACTTGTTATATATAGTGTTATAGAAACTTGGGCTAAGCTCACCCGCTGCAAACCCAACAGCGTCCGGTAACGGCGTACTATAAAGTGGTAAATAAGCTGCGGTAAAGGTCTCTACCGGCCAACGCGGGAAAACTACGCAAAAGGCGCCTATCTGGTGACACGGGAAACTTGCGCAAAAGGCGTCCGCAGTCTACCGTGTTAAGCAGTGCTTGCCTTTCTTTTATTTAGAATAACAATTGCCGCCATCCACCCGGTATTTGGCATGCCACAGCCCACTATGACCCACCCCAAGACCTGTGCGTTCCCGTGAAGAATGCGGTGATACGCGGAATATTGATGTGGCATCTAAATTCTGATGGGAGATTGAGTTTGCGGAAATTAGTTTCCGACGTTAGTTAGCGCCTGTATATGACGCAACTTCCGGGCTGTAGGTTCAAACGAGCGTAGGGAAATATAAGGTTCATCGAAAAAACGCTGGATTGGCCCAGTGATAAGACATGCTATGATCACTGCATATATACGAAGATATAACGGGATTTCCTTCTTTTTTCCCTTGTCAAAATGTTGGACAACGCAAAGGCCAACACCCACGTCCAGTTGATTGAGAAGCCGTTTTTACTCTCCCAAAGAATGTCAGCTGGTCCAGTGACCGTGGAGGTAATGAGAACTTGCTATTGTATATGTATGAAGTGCTCTGGTTGCAATGATCGCAATTGGGGGGGCGGGGGCGGCATACCATTGGCCGGGACAATTCGCTTAGGATATTGTTGTGTTTGATGGTTTTACTTCGCCTCACTGTGTAATAGTTCCGTCGCATATGGCCATTTTCTTTGTGTTGACCGTTGAGTGGTGTTGTCTCAGGCGAGTCTTTAGTGGCTTTGGCTCCTCGCCATCCTTTGTCGTCGTCACCGATCGCCCATTTCTTCACTCTTTTTGTCTTCTCCGGTCGGGATGGATAGCTGAAAGACGACGTAGAATCGAGATAAAACATTTGGCTGCTACCAAAAGCGACAGAGACCAATAGACCGAACAAAAATGCGGATGAAGGATATTATGCTGAAGAAAGCGAAAGGCGGGAGAGACGTAAGATAACAGGTTTCAGCCGATAAGCCCAAAATCGCCATCTCGCCTAGTCACAAAGTGTTAGAACCTTGCTCAAAGCATCATCAATACGAGACGTTACTTCCAATGGTTACTTCGAACCTTGGAAGGACGTGTGGTAAGAGCCTAGATGAGCGGTGTGATGATTCAGGGTAGTCATATGAAACATTCATTGCGCCACAAAAGGAAGATGAGAGAGAGGGAGTAACTCTGAGCGCGACCTGGTATGGTGTAACGCGAAAAAAAGCTTGAGATGGTATGAAAATATGCAAAAATAGTCGGATTAAATGCCAGTGCAGGAGAAAGTTGTCTTAGTGGCCACCTGGAACAGGCAGGTCAGGAAAAATGCCGGGGGGTGGGCTGTAGGGGATTTTCAGACTTGCGGACTGTGGCACGGATGTGCTCCTATGTAGATGTCTTGTAGAAAAGATCCCATTTCTCAACATAAACAGTAGCGATACGGTATGGCCTATGAGCGTCTTTTTGGGGTAGCTATTCAGGAGCATTCCACGTACAAAGTTCCGGCAGTATATGGAATCAACCCGGTGGCTGTAAGAAAGACCTTTGACCTAACCCTGTACTAGTTATGCTTTGTTTGTATTAGTCATCACCATTCGTTATTGTTGTACCTGCCCACGGCTTTATATTGCAATTCTTAGGTATGGACGGCCCGAATCTGGTAACAGGATGGAAGATATCTATATACTTACAAGATTATTGTACTAAATCAGAAAGAATCCTTGAGAGGTGATTGAGGTTCTATAGTCTAAAATTAGAATTGTCCCTTTCATTTATACTTCTGGCACAGCATGGGACGGGATTCTTGAGAATATGGCAATCAATACTGCGCTTAGAGGGAATCTTCCAAAAGCGAACACTCCAGTCCCACCACCAAATTTCTTTCAAGGCCATATAAACAAGCGACATCAATGACTTCCTCACTGTCTCCTCGAAGTTATAAATAGTGAAGGAAAGCTCGTCCTCGCAATTCAACTTTCACAACATCACCTATATCAAGAACCATCAAGCGAGAAAATCTGTTCTGAAATGGAGGCAGCTGGAGACTTTGCCCATTATACGGAGTTCAACGCACGACAGCCCCTGGCAGGGAGAGTATTTGCGAAAGATGACCTATATATCTCCCATTACTCAAGAGTCTTAACTGAGGCTGGGGTACCAAACGTTCTGTGGGCTGAATGTTTGATGAGGTGCTATACTATTCCGACAGTTAGGTTTGTAAGTACTCGTTAACTCATAATTTAAGTAACGTGATATGACTAACCAGATACCTCTTTTTGAATAGGGCATAGATTTTATAGTACCAGATGATTTGCTACTCGAAGCTAAGAAGGCCCTCCTTCAACAAGGTTTTACGGTTTGCAATAGGAGAAAAATGTCACCTGAATCGGCAAGATGCGTCCAGTATAATTCCCGCTGAACATGTGCATTGTCCCGTGGACGCGATACGTGAGATAACAAGGACCGAAGACCCTGATTGTGAGGCGGTCGTCAAGCTACAAAAAAAGTCGCACTACCTCTGGACCTTTCCGGATATTCCACTTGGACCAGCATCAGCCGGGGATCCATATTTCATGGCGGCTGATAATGCGACCTTGCCCCAAGATACCGTAAAATGAGATAGGCCGCTTCCAAGAGGGATTGTATCCTGTTAAGATTCTCCGCCCGACCAAGTTCTACGAGGTTATAATACTCCTGTACGCCCGGGACAATTTGGATGATCCCTTTGAAGACAGGCGCTGGGCATCGATTTGGGACCATTGGAAGTGTTATATGGGTCTATACGTTCGGAAGCTTGGACTTTTGCATGATGAAGAAGTAAGTGAAGCTCTTCTACCTGTGTTTCGCTGTCGGAATAACATACAGGTGGAGGGCATCCGGAATGTGAGGCGACTCGAAAAGGAACTTCAAGAGCGTCTCATTCAAGAGAGCGCGCTTCCACCGCCTCCCAGACCTAAGGATGGACCAAACCTGAGGCATCTCAAGTGGCGTTGACGTCTTTATGCAAGATTATCGGTTCCCGCACCCAATGGCGCAGAAGATGACCATTGCTAGTTCACGTTGTTATTGTTTTATCTATTGTTTCTGTTTCCTATATGTGTCTTATGTATTATTATCGCGTTACCCATGCCAGTTCCATATTTTCCACCTGTTGCCATTACATACCTGTATTTACCTTCTTTGTCCCACTCACCAAGTACCTAGGGTCATACGAGAAAATTCATTTTCCGATTGGCGGAGGATAAGGTTTCCAATATGCTTTTGTCTTGAATCAGTTACTTCCACGGGAATTGGTGCTATAAGAAACCAAGGCTTTTGGTTGGTTTGGTTTGTCCTGGTGTGGCGCATGTGTACCTATACCATCAACTACCTATAGAAAGTTTCTTGCATGCCGTGCAGATGATATGGCGTTTTCTCAACAGGCATTATTGCATTGCCTTTTCTCCCCAAATGTGTATAAATACTTGTGTCTACCTCCTACTCCTTTTCCTCATCACCAATCTTTGTCTACTCCGTCATCTCCTGTCCTTTGAAGCTCCGAACTACTCTCAACAACCACATTCCCCCGTCGTTCACTACCATGGCCAACAACACAACCCCCTTCCACTATGCCGAGCTGAGCGCTGCAGTCGAGACGGTTATCACTGTTCTTCATCGGTATCAACGGGAGAACCGCAATACGAACATCAAAATTGCGGTAATAGGCGGACTGGCGGTCCGTCATTATCTTGGCCCTGGCCGCACGACTTTTGTAGGACAATCCTGGCATTTCTATCATTGAATTTGTGACCCCCTAATCACACAGAACCCCAGTACTGATTTATCTAAACTAGGATGCGGATATCCTTGTCGCCGGCCTTGACACGACCCATGGCATCAAGGAGCTGGTCAAAAGCAGTACGGCCATCTTCTGCTCTGACCGCGCCGAGCTTCAAGTTGCCGTTCGTGGCTCATCTAAGTCGGTTGACCTCATACCAGAAAAGGTTCTTCGGCCTTTCGCAAACATACCCCCTGGTTTCATTCCCTCTTCAACCATCCCCGTAACGGATGCTGTCACTCCTGGACAGCTTCCGTACCTCAGCGAGCTGGACCTTCTCCTCACAAAAATTGTCAGTTGTGGGGCCAGGTCAAATGATGACAAAAGCTCTTCTGACGGTGACGATGCCGACAATCTTGTGGTTCACTACCTAAACCTGCATGGGGTCACGACGATCCCATTGACATCGATTAAGGCACAAGTAGTGGAGGCCGGCTTGCCCGGTCTGGTGCAGTATTCCCGTTTCGACAGGAGGTGGTGGAGGACAACATTCGGCTTACCGTAAGCCTCTAGGAATGGGCTGGACGATCTTTTCGTCCGCTTTGGAATGGGGGTTGCTTGGACTTTCTTTCTCTCCATAACTTTCCTGTACGGTGACTTTTGTCGATCCTTTTATTTTTTCGGGCTGTTTCTTTTCTTTTCCTATCTGTCCTGTCTTGTCGGTCTGAATATTGTTAGTTCTCGGGCTTTCTTTCTTTCCTGGTTTTATCATCAATAGATGTTCTTTCTATCATATAGACTGCGTTGATTTACCAATTTGATCATCCCCTCTCTCAATTTCAATTTCGTCCATTGCGGATAACCAAAACGCCAGCATCCTTTCGTAGCACCAGCGCCAAATTACCGCAGAACGTCCAACAGATGGGGTTTGAGTATATCCTACACTATACGTTTCCTAACAGACCCTGCTCACTGTCTTTTCTCTTCATCATACAGATGGTCGCTTCAGCAACCATTCAGCACGTAAAACCTTATGCTCCGCCAATCGGAAAATGAATTTTCTCGTATGACCCTAGGTACTTGGTGAGTGGGACAAAGAAGGTAAATACAGGTATGTAATGGCAACAGGTGGAAAATATGGAACTGGCATGGGTAACGCGATAATAATACATAAGACACATATAGGAAACAGAAACAATAGATAAAACAATAACAACGTGAACTAGCAATGGTCATCTTCTGCGCCATTGGGTGCGGGAACCGATAATCTTGCATAAAGACGTCAACGCCACTTGAGATGCCTCAGGTTTGGTTTTGGCGTTCCAACTTTGGTTTGGGTAAGTCTAAAACCGATCATTCTTCCAAATTTGTCACTTACGGCTTTCTAACTCTGAAATGAATTGTAGGGAACACATTTCATCGTCCCTGATGAACTAGTATTAAAAGCATATGATGCACTTCTCAAGGTGGGATTCTTGACTTGCGTCGATGCCTCAACTTGCCCTTGGTATGATAAAGAGAGACCCCACCCCTATCCGGCCGAGCATCTTCATGCACCACCGGATTCAACATGGGAACCCAGGTCGGACAGTAAAGACGACCAAAAGAATGTCATTCTTCATCGCAAGTCACACATGATCTTCTCGTTTCCGGATATACCAATTGGCGCTCCTGCTGCGGACGATACCTACTATATGAATGCGGATAGCACAGAGATACGCGATGCGGTCCAAGAGTATCGCTTCCGTAAAGGTGTATATCCTATTAAGGTTCCTCGTGCGACGAGACTTTTTGAGGCTCTTTATTTTTTACGATCTCGTGATACTACTGGTCCCGATAGAGATAACCGTTGGGTGTACCTATGGAAAAGCTGGATCTGTTATCTCGGCCTTTATGTGAAGCAGACGGGGCTTTTCAGGGAGGATGATCTAGATGAGAGGTTTCGCCCCGTTTTCAGGTGCATGATGGACGAACCCAAAGATCACGGTGTGACAATGGCTCGTGTAAGGAAGGAGTTAAAGGCTCGCCTGGTTAGCGAGAACGCCCTGCCGCCACCGCCTAGACCGGATGTCAACATCCCCCCGGAACTCCGCTTTTAATAAACATCGCCAATCAAGACATTCACGAGGCAACGGGCATCCTGCCTTGCTTTAATCTCTTTCGTTTTGGTCTAATGTTTCTATCATCTTTTTTTTTTTTTTTTTTTTTTTTTTTGCCTGTCTCTGTTTGCGCCTCTCTTTTCTTCTCTTTCTTTCTTTTCCATTCCTGGGAAGAATGATCGCTATGTTTATTTTTGGGGCTTGGGGATGGAATTCGTTCGTATAGCACGGCCTCCATCCTTTTCGCCTGAACTCATTGTCGTCTGGTAATTGACATATCTTTTCCCTGTCAGTTTCTTGAGATCTGGTGCTTGCATCTAGTTACAACAAATGCGATTTCACTAGTAGAACACAAACGTTCGTATAGGGGTTTAGCTGGTCTTCTCCTGACCTTCTTTTCCTAATCTTTTGAACCTAGAAAATATGGATTCCCAATACTCAGATTGCAAAGTGTATTTAGCCTTTTACAATTGAAACAAGTCAGACCATACATCTCGCCCGATTATGTTTGATGGTGGACTTTTGATCCCTGAATGAGACAGATGGTACATTCACCAAGATGCACTCCTTCAGATTGAATAATTAATGTTCAGCAGGTTTTCACATATCGGGCTTGAGTAGAAGATTCTTTGTAACATAAATACTTGCCAGGCGCCCCTTCTCTCATCGATATAACAACAAGTCACCCAACTCCTTTCCCTCAAGCCAAATTGTCACTTGCCACATCATCTCAAAACTCGTTCATTCAGTTCTCTGACCACACGAATTATCCATCTCTCGTTACAAAATGGCCCACACCCGCGATATCAGCCAAAGACCTGTTCCATCTGAGTCTCAGCTGCGTCTTGCCGTGTGCTTCGTCATTTCAGCGTAGCAGACAGTCCTACCTTTTGCGAAAAGAACGATCAAAAACCCGGATACAGGAGAGGAGGTCACAATGAATGACCTGGAAAATGTACGTGTCGCCATTATTGGCGGCTTTGCCCTGAACCAGTATATTCGCGATTGCCGAGTTACCTACGTAAGGATTTGTTATCTTTTCTTTCTTTCCCCGACTTCTCGTGCTTTATGTTGAATATGCTAACACTTTGAGTACAGGACGCAGACTTGCTCGTCACTGGATTGGACATGTCGAGCGTTTGTCGAAACCTTCTGAAAGGGTCGAACTTTTTTATCTATCGACGGCAATATTCTCGACGTTGCCGTTGACGACACATTTGTGAAGGTTGACTTCGTGTCGGAGCAGGTTTTTCACCAGTATTCGGTCATTGTGCCGGATACACTCTAGCATAAACAGTCCTCAAGGATGTCGTGTTGACGATGTCGAAAGCCTTGGTTTGCATATCCAGACCTGGCCTGGTGGTGGGCTGAATGGCTGTTGCGTCGGGAACGTGAGGATCAGTATTTCCTCCACGCTGTCTGTGATTCACCGGCGTACCATGTAAAAAGAGAAGTATTTCCCTACTGATGGTTGGTAGGTAGGTCGCCCTGTGCTGACTTATATTGACGGTTATATAACAGATGTCTTACTAGCGTAGTACTAACTATTGTGCTGGTCGCTGTTTACGTAAATAGTCTATTGCGCATTGTCAAATTAAAGGTTGCCACGACCAGTATGAGTCAGAGCAACAAGATGTAAGCTGGCAGACTCATTTGTAATTGGCACGAGAAAGTTGGTCGACCAGTCAAAGGCCATACCCGTATTATGTGTAGAAATTCTAGATTATATAATATGTTGCGAAGTTATAAGACAGGGCCCCGCTCGAAAGAAAGATTGTAAAAACCATATTTTAGTAACTACATAACATGGGAGATCGCCCCCTTTTCCCCACGTCCTCATTCCATGCCGTTCCAGGAGTCACTCATGTATGTGCAGCTGGCGAAAGCCTGCCGCTACAAGACTACAAAGCCGCCCTGACAAAATATATGAATGAGAAGGCCGCGGGTCCGACAGGCCGCGAGGATCAGGCCTCATGTCTGGATGATACTCGGAAGTTAATTTCTCAAGCTTGGAATGTTCCCTACAATGACGTGGGCTTTGCGCCAAGCGTTGCTGATGGTGTATCAACTGTTCTTGAATCTCTGTCGTGGAGAGAGGGCGATAATGTCTGTGTTCATGAAGACGAGTTTCCCAGCTTAGTCGGACCGTTTGCCCTCAGGCAGCAGCAACTCCAGCAATCGCCTTCCGACGACAAAAGAAATTCCCCTGTTGTCCGCTACTATGGGAGAGATAATCTCAAAGATACAGTCAATGAGAGAACACGTCTTATTGCAGTTAGCTATGTCTCTTATCTCGATAGCACTCGTGTCGATCTGTCGGTGTTTCGAGGGCTAGCCGACTCTGTCGGAGCAATCCTGCTTGTTGATTTTACTCAAGCTGCAGGATACGCTCCTATCGATGCATCTATTGCAGATTTTGCCTTCTCTGCGTGCTATAAGTGGCTCCTTGGCACGACTGGAGTCGCGATCGCGTATTGGAATCGAAGCAGGATGCCAAATTGGAAACCCACGACGGGGGGATGGCATTCGCTATCTCTGGGGGCGGTTCGACCGAGATGGGAAACAAGCCAACTCGAGGTCCGCAATGATGCGATGTGTTTTAGCCGAGGGAACCCTGCTCATCTCCCTATTTATATTTTGCGAGAAGGTCTGGTGTTTCTCAAACAGTGGGACAGTAACGATATTCTGAGCCATGTACATGTTTTGACAACAGCGCTTCTGGAACGGTTACAGCTGGAGGGCATTCCATCCTCTACGCCATTGCAGAAAGCCCAACATGGCGCGAGTGTGACGGTTTATTGTGAAGGGGCCTCTGAAATCGTGAAACTGATGGCCAAAGCTGGTGTTTATGCGTGGAACGGTCAAGGGAGAGTACGCTTTAGCTTTCATGGTTACAACTGCCTCGAGGACGTCGATCGTATCATGGAAATATTTCCTTCTTTGTGGAAAGAGTTCAATGGGAGAAAATTCGAACTTTAGAGTACTATCATTGCTTGTCAGTCAAATCAATACAAAAATTATTGTGCCCTTACTTTCTATATCATGGTCTGGAAAAGCGCTCATTGTCTGGTGAGTGAACTGGTGGCGCTATATGATCGAACTATGGCGTGTTATGGCACCATACTTCCGATCTCGCATAGTTCCTAGGGACAATTGGGCGACAGTTGTTGAGCTGCCACTGTCATGTATTTGCATTATGTAAACCATTTTGGAGGTCTTACCAAAGACTTGGTATTTTCTGAACGGAAGGATCGTAAGTACTTACGGAATATCCAAAGTCTGGCTCCAGAAAGAAATATCCTTTCATAGTGCCATCATAAGGCCCTGTTATCCTGTAAAGTAATAGCACCCGTACTGTAACTATTCAAAACTGTTGATCTAATGTCTACAGAGTAATGAAGAAACACAAAGTAATGATGGTAGTTGCTCATAGGTGCTAGCCTCGCCTCAATTCACCGCAATAGGACTCGATGCCGCATACGACTACTCCTGAAGATGTAATTGATTACAGTGGTCATCTGCCCATAGGTTTGCTCTTACATCAGACTTGCCACATATGATTGCGCCGGAAGATATTTCCAGGAACTGTCGTTTGAAGAATAGGCGGACAAGAACAGCCTTCCAAGGACATATTCATTAATTAGGTGTAATCAAAACACTCCGTGGACAGTCTCTCTGAGCACAAATAAAACCAGAAATTCTTTCGAAGCCATTTCGGCCACATTAGATGGAGTAAAGATTAGCTTAATAACACCGAAAAAGGCGTAAAAAGGTTTGTTACACCTACCTATGGCCAATGCAGCTGTATCGAAGTCTGTTTAGTGTAAAGAAGTTTTGGGAGCGTGAAGGCGCAGTAAGGTTCAAGCCAAAACTCTGTATAATGAGATATGGCGTTGAGATAGACGTAAATTTCCAAGGAAAGCAAAAGCTTGTTGCTGACAGCCGTTCTGGAAGTTGACATGGCATCTTTGACTATTCTTGTAACAGGAGACTTCATAGAATGGATTGTCCATCATAAAATACGATAATGCCAATGGGTTAAGGGGTATTCACTCGCATCCTGAACTTCCGATTGAACCACGCTTTGCCAAAGGCTCTAACGTAAAGGTTATATAGGTCTAGAAGTATCACTCAGATGTTCCTTGCTGAATCTTTTGATATTGATGACGTGAGAGCAATGTCGTAAACAGGTAAGGCCTCCTTCAACTGTCATTAAGCGAGCCCAAAGCTGCATGATATGGATCAGTAACAAAGTTTGGGTTTCTATAAAAGCCACAGTGAGCCCCGGAGACATTGTGGGGATATACAATTTAAATACAAAGCACCGCCCGAATTTTAATGGACAGAAGAGAAAGCAATGGTCATCATCTTCTAATAAACTGCCATAACCTAGGAGCACCTCACAGGCTGTGTTTGCTTGTCAGGATGACCACAACGGTAACTGAGTGTTACTTTGACGAGACACTCGAAATTAAACCTCTGAAGGCCCCGCCTGAATTCTACTACTGGGGACAAACCGGCGCAGTAGTCAAAAAGCCTCCGTATTCCGAAACGGAATTCCAGAGCGAGCGTACAATCCTCCCAGACACCAGTCGGCAGATCTGGGAAAACGTTATCAATTCTGGATTGAGCAAGGTAAAAGAAGTATTCGATCATGTTCCGGGCGACTCCAACACCAACACGACGATAGTCAGAGAACTGAGTCTGTCTCAAGAACTGCAATCATGGCGCGAACGCGATCACCAAGCTGGCCGAAAACTCCCTCACAAAGGTAATGGGCTCCGTCAAGTTCCTGAATCCGTCATCAACCTCTTAGGCGCTGAGAACTGGGCTGCGCCCCTTCTCACCAGAGGTGCCTTCCACGGTTCCGGGTTTGCGAATATGCTGATTGGTGCGTGGGATGCTCAAACGCTTTACAGCAATTACTGCGTGGACCTGGTGTTCTACTATGAGCATGGCTATCATAAAGCATTCCCGGGGTTCGATGTCCTAGTTCGCGACGCTACTGCAAATCCTCGGGCGTGCCACAATTTAGGAGGCGCTGAGAGACGGCTAGCTGCGGGTATTATCGGGCAATATATTCGCCAGAAAGGTCACGCTGAAGAGAGGAATAAAATGCACCTCGCCAAATTGTCGGCCAAGCTCAACCGGGACGAACTCCGAAGAGTGTCCCTGTGTGAGAGCAGTATCTGCGGTCTAGCCGCCGAAGCTATCACTCGTGGATTTGACCCCGGCGCTACGGCATACCAGATGATCTTCAGTGCCCCGGGAACAGACGTGATCGATGTGGGATCGGACTTCTATTCCTCGGAATTGTTCAATAGCTTCCTGAACACGGACGACATTGCGAGCTCCGGTGTCATCTCCAATATATCACTGAGAAAGGTATATGACGCATATGCTCATATTGGGGCTACTATTTTCACGAGAGAGTGGACGGACCCGGCCGCAATTATGTGTGCGATGCTATATCCCTGGCATATATTGAATGATCGACACCACTTCTTGAGACGAGCAGTTCTGGGCTCATCTCAAGTGCGGTCTCGGTTGATCGATCAAAGGTGCGCAACTTGGGAAGAGGCGTTCGACGAGGATGGCCACACGACGGGATTTAGCCGCCCACTTGCGAATGCCTGTAATGGAAACACATACTGCGATCATTTCTAGAACTTTCTGAGCGGCACTGACCACAGAGCTGTGTTGACTGATCTTTGGTATTATTTGGTTATCGCACCTGCGGAGTATGTGACGAATGGACAGATGGATGAAACGAGACAAGCAAATCTCGTTGATGCATTGGAAATGGGTCTAACGAAAGCATATTCCAGCGGAATGATATGTGAGCTTCGTTGGCTGACTGCCCACGCCTCGCATCATGCGTGGCAAGTCAACTACCTATTCGAAGCTGCAATGTTTGGAAGCCTTCTAGATGATGGTCAGCTGGGTGGTAAATTGGACCGGTACGATTAATTTAGTCAATACTGTTTGACAGGGGGAACATGCCGCGCTGGTATAGGTACCATGTTCAACAAACTTCACGCTATATGGACTAGGCTATCGGTATCGCGCTGGCCTTCAAGTTTGTGATATCTTTCAGGAAAAGAAATGGAATATTGACGGTCAGACTAGACTATCTGCAACGTGGCTAAAGTTTATTAAAATAAAGTCTTAGTTTTTGTGTGGACTCAAAAGGATCTGATCTATTGAATAAGACGGATGAAACAAGAATTACTTCATATAGAAGCAGCTGGTTTATTGAAACGACTTTCCCGGTCCCATGTGTTTGAACCATCTCAAAGTTGTTTGCAGGAAAGAATCGGTATGGAAGGAGTCAGGTCTTCGACTCAACGGACACATAGCTAATTCCATAGCCAGTGTATTGATCGGATTATATTAACGGGACTTGAGATACTGATTGTTTTATCAGATACAGGAATGTTGACAACGGGCGATTCCGCAACACGGACTGACTTCTAGATATTGGTGGGAAGAATATCCACTGAAATGAACCTCGTATATTCCCTGTCGATCAGCTCATAACAAGCTAGCACACTCTCGCACAGGTTATATTTGGCCCTAATCAACCCTTTTTGGATCACAACCCTTCACATAAAGCAAGAAGAGAACTTTCATAGAAGCAACTCTCCGAAGCAATAGAAGAGAGTTAATATGCAGAGAGAAGTTACTGTACCTACCCCTCCAACCTCAACCCTAGAAAGCAGAGTCTTTCTAACTCTACCCTAGATTCCCATCTCAGCCGTCCCTCGCTAAACTCCATCGTCGCAGCTTGGCATTCTCAATGCACCATTCAGATTCACGTGAAACAGCGATCCCTTCGTGCCAAGAAGGGGACACTAACCGAAATGGCTTTTTCTTCTTTTCAGCCATCGCGGAGGTGGGGCCGTTCTGATGAAATCGCATCTTACTGGATCTTGGTGGTTCGGAATACGAGGCGTCGGGTTGTAGCCCCCATACGCGGGAAATGGTGCATGGAATGTGAAAGTGGTACAAAAAGGGGTCAAGTCGTTGGATTTAAATCCCATGTGGTTATCCTTTCTTCTTGCTCGTTGTTGAAAGCATCACTTAATCTCCCTTACTCGTGACACCCCGTCTCACCATGAAGCTCGCAACTGCTCTCCCTCTCACCCTCCTCTCCGCGATCACGCTCCTCCCATCCACCTCAGCATGGAAATTTACCTGGCGCGACGACGAGGGGAACGAGTCTACTGAGTCCGGAAAGGGCCCGCACGCATGCACAAAGATCCAACATGCCGAGGGAGAGGAATTCGCTTGGAATAACCAAGGGAACAAGAATATCGGCATCTATTTATACACCTCGTCGGATTGTTCGGGGAGTCTTGCCGGTTGGTCATCCAATATCTGGGAGAAGGAATCTTCGAGAGACCTTCTTAGTTTCAAGGTCGCGAATGAGGGCGCAACAACAACGGCCGATGCTACGGCTACGGAATCTCATACTAGTTCTGCCGATGCTACGAAAACAGCTACGGCTACGGCTACGGCTACGAATTTGACAAGCGGCGGGGCTTCCAATTCGACTGTGTCTGGGTCCTCGAGTGCGGTCGGATCCAAGACCAAGACGAAGACTGACACGAGCGCGACGGCTTCGAGCTCCCCTGCGTCGAGCAAAACAGCCTCGGGCTCTACTGCGGAAAGCTCGGGATCGAGTGCAACTGCGACAGGGGAGTCAGGATCGAGTACCCCGTCTTCTACCGCCTCTGCGACTGATGGGGCTTCGACGGACGAGTCTTCTGCGTCTTCGCTTTCGAAGCATAATGCTGCGATAGCTGTTACCGGGCTAGTCTTGGGTATCGCGACATATGAATGGGTGATTTAGGCCTGTGTCGACGAAGGGCAGGGCAAACGCGCGATAGGTCACAAGGCATACAATACGATCTGGATGAAGCAATCGAGCTTGAGAAACTTACTTGTCACCACTTTTCTTCATATGTTATTGAGCTTTTCTGAGCAATCACTGTTATGTCATAATTAACCAATTTAATCACTACCAATGGAAGAATTTGCATGGAAGATTTCAACATGACCCACGCTCAACCTGTCTTGCACGGCTAGAACTTGCTTTAGCCTTAGCGTATGGTCTTCTCCCATACTACCTTAGAGATACACCGATTTCCGCATAGAGTCATCCGACCCCGAGCCCTAATCCATTCCCTGGCTTGGCTGCCAATATGACACTCCCCGTTCTTCCCGGATTCCATTCGCCCGATGTCGATCTCTACCGTATCAGGAATCCCCGCAGTGGCTTTCCTTTTTAGGGTCATATATCTCAGATTAAACATGGCATTAAAGGAGCATAAAATGCGTTGTTGCTGAACCCGGGACAATGCTGTGCCGATGAACACTTGATCTTCAGATGCTTTCGTCATAATGGCTCCCGAATTGGCGCCCTGGATATCTAAATATTAGATAACGATGAGGTAGACGGGACACAACTATATATACCTTCAAGAAACCTATTGAGTAATTCCAACTCAAATGCAAGCAGGCCTATCTCTACAATGCGAACCCATATACTCTACGCCCTTCTCGCACCCGTCTCTCTCGCCCTACACACCCTCCATTCCCCAGACTTCAACATCGCCATCGACGACACCACCGGCGCCGTCCTCTCCATCTCCCACCCCAAAGACAATGCCAGCATGAACTGGATCAGCGGGCCGCGCAACGCGCCCTGGCAACCACAAGGAAGCCGCTGGGGGCTGGGATACGCGGACGTGGGCAGCCTAAAGCGGATGTACTGGAGCGAACCCACTATCTCGGGCGACGATAAAAAGGTGACGACGGTGTACCAAGCCGAGGCCTTGAAATTGGCCGTCACGAGGGAGGTCAAGGATACGGGCTCCTTCGAAGAATGTTACGCGTTCATGAACGCCGGCGACGAGGCACTTAAACTGAACGCAGCCGGCACGGACTCCTTGGCCATTTACACGCCGTTTAATGACCATTACACCAACACAACGGATGTGCTGGAGCATCGCGCGCATGCGCATATCTGGGCCTCTGGGGGCAGTTCGTCATGGGTGAAGATGACGAGGATGGGGCTGCGGGGACCGCATTTGGGTCTTGTGTTGACGGAAGGGAAGTTGGCTGGGTATAGTGTTGAAGCGAGGGATACGGTCACATCGTCGAACACGAGAGGCGTGTTTCTGTTGCATCCGGATCTTGCGGAATTGGGAGCGAAGGAGACGAGTCGTGTTTGCTGGAGTATGTTCTGGCATCGCGATTGGGAGGATTTCTTCGAGAAGGGGAGTCAAAGATCGAAACAGCTTGTGCAGGTGGAGGTTGACCCGCTTACGGCGTTTGTTGGGGAGAATGTGAATGTGACTGTTCATAAGGGGTCGTGGAGCGATGTCTCGCTTGATGGAGTCAAATTGACTCCGTCGAGGAATGGCAGCCTTTACAAGACCTCTATCCGTGCGAGTAAGGTTGGAGAGCGAAAGCTCACGCTAACTACTAGTGATGGCAATGATGAACACAACTCTACTATTGTGCTTAACACTGTTTCAAACCTCGAGACGATCATTCAGAAACGCACCGAGTTCATCGCCAAACACCAACATCTCAGCACATCCTTCTCTGACCCCCACAAGGCCGGCGCATTCGCCGTCTACGACAACCAGATGAACGCCCCGGTGACATTCGACACAGCATCGGATCGCAACACCGCGCGCGAAAGAGTCGGGATGGGCGTGCTCTTTGCCCGCTGGCTTCAAAGAACCAACGACACTCAGCTCCTCGACTCTCTGCGTATCTACTACGACTATGTCATCAACCATCTCCAAGACGAGTCCGGATACGTCTACACCCGACCTATAGGCTCCGGGACTGAGTCAAAGCGCCTCTACAACTGGCCCAACGTGATGCAGTTGCACCTGAACATGGCCAAGCTCGATAACAGCCCCGTCACGAGCCATGGAAACTACACCGCGACGCCTCACCAACGACTCCTCGACACAATCGAGAACTTCCACTCCGAAGGCGGCATCGATCTTTACGCTATCAGCCTCCCTATTTACGAGGGACTCACCTATCTCTGGTCCGTCGGCGACAAGAAAGCCTACACCCGCGTCCATAACCTCTTCAGCGCCCACGGGGCCAACATCGCCCGACTGGGCGAGAACTATCCCCCGTTCGAAGTCAACTACGAACAATCGATTGTTGCGCCAGCCGCGAACATGCTATTTGAGTTGTATCGGATCACTAACGCCACGAGGTGGCTCGATGCTGCCAAACCGCACTTCGAACGTCTCCTCGCGTTCGGCGGCCGCCAGCCGGACCACCATCTCTATGACGTCGCGATCCGACACTGGGATGGATACTGGTTCGGGAAGGACCGTATGTGGGGTGACACGTTTCCGCATTACTGGAGCACGTTGACGGCTATCGCGATGCATCATTATGCGAAGGCGACGGGGGAGAAGATGTATGAGCGGCGGGCGGAGGGGATCTTGAGGTCGAATATGGTGTTGTTTACGGATGAGGGGAGGGGTCATTGTGCTTTTGTTTATCCGACGAGCGTGAATGGGAGGAAGGGGTATTATAATGATCCGTATGCGAATGATCAGGATTGGGCGTTGTCGAATTGGTTGCAGGTGCTGGATGGGTAGGATGGTTGAGGTAGTGTACCCTCAGTTTGTCTGGCGCGATGCGACATATGCCATACATAGAGCGAGTATTGAATTTCTCATATAACTACCTCCTTCGCCATTCGGCATGTTCATAAATAGACCTATTCCAAGGTAGAAGGAAATTCTATTCGTCTGTCAAGCTATCGAGACTCCTTTCTATAGAAACCAGAAATCCGTCCACTTGTACATTCTAAGCAGAAAAACCAACATACAATCTATCCCTGAACACAAACCTCAACCCTATTCTATCCTAAGTATATACTCCAGTACACTGTACACAACCCCCTAAATCCCCGCCACAGCCCCCGCAACCTCCACGCCCGCCTCCATCATCCCCCTCGTCCCCACCATAACCACCAACGCCGACAACACAACAACATCCATAACCGGCTCCGGCAACGGCACGAAAATCTCCAACCTCTTCCCCTTCGCCTTCGCCTTCTTGGACCCGCTCAACGCCGACAACCCACTTATCACTTTGATCTTCGCCAGCTTGCGACCGGATCCGGAGTCCTCGAGCAGCTCGAGAGATGTGCCCGTGAGTTGGTTCGCTTTCCATTTGCAGGTTCCGAGGATCGGGTGCGTGAGGGTGAAGTTGCCGGATAGGGAGGAGTATTTGACGGGGAAGGGGGTGCTGGTGAGCGTGCAGTCGGTTGTGGAGGAGAAGCTGTGCATTATGGCGGTGCCGAGGGGGGGTTGTTGATTTGGGTGGGAGGAGCCGCGGAAGAGGGTGATGTGGGGTTTGCTGTATTTGTTGATTTTTGCTGTGTATTGGGGTTGGGAGTGGGGGTTTGTGTCTGGGGTGAGGATGGTTAGGGAGGAGTCGTGTGGTGAGGAGGTGATGGATAGGGTTGAGGGGGGTGTGGTTTGTTGGTAGGGTTGGGGTGATGGTGGTGGAGGAGTGTGTGAGTAGTGGATGTTGTTGTTGTGGTTGTTGTAGTGGGAGTTTTGAGGCTGTTGTGTAGGTGGGGGATAGATGTAGTTCTGAGGTGGTCCTGGCGGGTAGTTGTAGTTGTAATTTGGAGGACCGGGAGGGTGAGGATAGTTATAGTTTGGAGGATAACAGTGTGGTGGTGGCGATGGTAGAGAGTTGGAGTAGTAGGAGTTCATGTTGAGCTGTTCTTGACTAAATGAACTTATATGTCCTTAATAGGTGGGTAGAAAACAGGTAGTAGAAGTAGAAGTAGCAGTGTAGCAGTGGCACCAGTAGTAAATATAAAAAGTAGTGGTAAACACTATCTATACAATGACAAAATAGTATAAGATGTATGTTCAACCCAAAACTTGCCATCTCTCTAAACAAGGGTGCAATTCCCTTTATATACCTACCTTCCATCTATTACAGCCCCATCTGCGACATTCTGCAATCTCGCACACAGCCTTGTCGAAGATCAACCAGATCAACGACTTCGTATCCTCGGATTATCGGCGGCACATCGCGCCCAAACCGGTTAGCGGATGGCCTTGGCAGTGGCAAGATTGAGCTTAGGCTGCCTAAGGCCTCGTGTCTTCTGCAGAGCTTGAGCGGTATTCACTCCTTCTGGAAGGTCATGGCGCTGTTTCATGTTCTCGTTACCTATTTGGGCGGGGTGGAGTTCGGTTATAGTATGCATTGCAGTACCGATTCAGATACACAGTTGTATTTCATTTACATAGTGCATAGTGCATAGCGTAGTTTAACTCAACAGATGTAACGCAATGTATCCTACCTCTAAGACACCCGTACCCCTCTACTACATATAAACCCCTTCTCCGGTCCATCTCCAGAGTCTTACACACCAACTTTCCCATCCACCCTCTCCGTCCCCAACTTCCTCCTCAACCCATCAAACTTCCTCGCCAACCAAACCCCCCCAGCCAACCAATTCGCCTCACTAAAGTCCTTCTGATACTCCATCAAAATCGCCAGCGCCTGCGCCTTCTTCGTCTCATCCGTCGTCGCAGACCACGCCGACGCCAGACAAAGCGGCATATACGCCGACCCCAATGGCCTGTGTCGCGCCGCCTCAACCGCCAGGATCATCATCTCGTCAAAGATGTACGCCCCGTCCGCGGCGAGGGTTGCGTCATCGGGGTCGAATTCACTGAGGATCCGGTTCAGCATGATCCCTAGCGCCATGAGGATGCCATACGCGGCTTGGTAGCGCGTCAACTTGCGCATGGCCACGATGCCCGGGTCGGCGTCTGGCGTCGGGAACAGGGCTAAGGATGTTTCGGTTAGGAGGGAGCGCAGACGAGGCATGTCCGCGCGCATGGCTGTGTAGGTGGCTTCGATCTCGAAGACGTGTTGTTCCGGGGAACGGATGAATTGGGGCATGCTGGCGAGGTTGCGGAGCATGAGGCTGGGGAAGGGGCTCGCTTTTGTGGGCTGCGGGGGGAAGTATCTTTCGCAGATGATGGAGAACCAGGGGTAGATTTTTATGCGCGGGTTGAATGTGCTTTCGAGGAGCTGATTGTATGTCAGATCAGATCAGATCAGATGGCGGATGGCGGGATCGATGAGAAGAAGGGTGAGAAGAGGGTCATACATACCACTGGGACGGAAAAGGTAAGGAGCATTTCCTTGATGAATCCTCCCTGCCAATTCTGCGTCACGGCCATGCTCAATAAATGGGCCATCGCTTCCCCGTGACTGACATAGTTATCGTCCTGCTTGCCGAGCCAGCTCTACTTCATCCGTTAGTCTTCCCCTACATCCACATACACATACACCACACGACTCTGACAAGCGCGAACTAGGCAACTGACCTGACAAATCATAATCAAATAAATCCCACACAACGTCTCTGCCGTCCTCGTCTTCACCGGATCCTCCAACGCAAACCGCAACGTCTTCAACGCATGCACATAGCTCCCCAACGCCTCGGCCGACGGCCGATGCGTATGAATCGCCGAATAGCCATGCGTGAACGCCACGACCGACGCGTCCAGCACCGCATTACTGCCGAGTCGTCGCGGGAGATCCTTCAGGAACTCGCCGTAGTAGATGACTTCGTAGCGCACGTCGGACATGTCTAGGAGCGTCGCCATGGCTGTTGTTGCGGTTGTGATTGAGTTGTGAGGAGAGCGGGGGACGTCGATTGCCCAGCGGTTAGTACTGGGAGGGGTGGGAGGACTACTACTGGGGGTGGTGGTCGTGGTGCGTCGAGCGGACGAGTCCCGCCAGACGACCATTTGGTCTTTGAATTTGAAGCGGCGTTGCCCGCTGCCTATGCAGGGGATGTTGAGACGTGAGCATCGCGAACAGGTTGGTTTGGTTTGATCGCACTGTTCGTTTGTCAGTTCCCTGGCTCAGATTCACCTACCTAGCCTTATCTGGGTAGGGTAGTCTAGGTAATTTCACCTTCTTCTTCTGCCTGCGACAAGCCTCGCAGCCCCGACCGGATGGAACGCCAGGCATACTGCTCTTTTCTACCCAAGTCAATCCAATATATCGCGACAGCGATATGTCCAGTTTAAAAGTGAGCGATGACGCAAATTGACAGACACAAAACCGCCCCGTCGTAGCGTTCAGCCTCGTGTTTGCCCGCTTGGCAATGGGGCGCCTTACCTCATCGCTTTGGGGATAATGATTGGTGAGGGGTGTGGAAAGGGGCGAGGGTAATTGGGAGTTGGCCATTGTGAGAAGGGAGAGCCATATTTAGGTCTCATTAGTTCCAATGTTTATGGGATGACTTTATCGGGGTTTAGGTTGATTGTTACGTATTTGTGTTGTTGGGTCTGACTTTGGTATGAGATTTTTGGTGGGTTGATTGTCTTATTTAGTTTGTTCTTAATTCTATTTAGGTTTTCTGCGTTTTATAAGTCAAATATACTACCGTCTCACCACTTGTTAGCTGCCTGTCAACCCATTCTGGCCGTTCCCTTACGGTGTAGATGTACTCTAGAAGACCTGCATTCTTCCTACAAACATCAATCAATCGATCAAGTGAATATTGATCAGACCATCCGTCCCTGCAGAACGCTATATATTCTACTCCAGTCTGAACCTATCAAGCAGGAATCCATCCTATTGAAATATGAATATTAACACGAAAGAACGACTTTAGTTGATTGTGATTCAAATCTATAAAATTGATATTCTAACGTTCTTTTGTATGTTTGATAAATTGACTGTATGCTTGGGCGTATATTTCGCTCCCTGAGTCCTAGTCACACTTGCGCGACAATATTTCTAAAAAGAAAAAAAAAATACATTAGTACGTGCAACCGTAGCGGAATTTTCTCCCGCGCTGCACAATAGTTATAGAAGTCAGGAGAGGTAGTAGTTTAAACAAATCACCTCCTAGAAGCATACCGCCCTGAAGATCAACATAAGTAATATATAGCCATAGTATTTCAATCTAGATGCCAGACCACCTTATCTAAACCATCTATCTAACGTAATCGGTAAGCGAGCGCCGCATGCAAGCGAGCGCCGCAGCTCACGCGTTTTGGCTCCGGTCGAAAACCTCACTCAATTCAACTACCAGCCATGCCTCCAAAAGCGCGTCAAAAGGCTAGAAATCTAGCTGAGCAAGAAGGCAGGATCCTATTAGCGATTTCTGCTATTCAAAAGGATGAAATCCGCAGTATTCGTGAGGCAGGTCGTATCTTTAATATTCCTGAGAGAACCCTCCGTCGACGGTTTAGTGGTATCCCAACACGTCTTGAAACACGCGCCAACTCCCATAAAATGACTCAAAATGAGGAGATTTCGCTTGTACGATGGATCCTACCGCTTATTCAACGTGGAGCACCTCCCCGACCGTCTCATGTACGAGAAATGGCCAATATTCTTCTTGCTGCCCGTGATACTACACCTCTTCAATTAGTCGGACAGAAATGGGTCTACAACTTCGTCCAAAGGCATGATGAATTGAAGACATGCTTTTCTAGACGATACGACTATCGGCGTGCCCAATGTGAAGACTCTAAGGTTATTAGGGAGTGGTTTGACCGTGTACAAATCACTATAATGCAGCATGGGATTGTATCTGAAGATATCTACAACTTTGACGAGACTGGCTTTGCTATGGGCCTAGTAGCTACTGCTCGGGTAGTTACTAGAGCTGATTTCTATGGTAGAGCACGTCTTGTATAGCCAGGAAATCGGGAATGGGTTACTTACTTCTATTGAGTGTATTAGCTCTTCTGGATGGGCGCTTCCATTTTGTATAATCTTCAAGGGAAAGGTCCATATAGAAGGCTGGTATCAGAGTGATCTACCACCTGACTGGAGGATTGAAGTCAGCCCAAATGGCTGGACTAGTGATGAAATAAGCCTTCGCTGGCTTAAGAATCTCTTTATTCCTATCACTATTAGTCGTACAACTGGGAAATATCGTCTTCTAGTTCTTGATGGCCATGGCAGTCATCTGACACCTCAGTTCGACCAGATATGTAGTGAGAATAATATTATTCCTATCTGTATGCCTGCTCATTCATCACATCTACTACAACCTCTAGATGTTGGCTGCTTTTCACCACTGAAGGGTGCATACGGACATCTAGTGGAAAAACAGATGCGCCTTAGAATCAATCATATTGACAAGCTTGATTTTCTTAAGGCATTTCCTAAGGCACGTACAGAGACTTTTACTGCTAGCAATATCTGCAATGGTTTCTCTGCTACTGGGCTAGTTCCATATAATCCAGAGCGAGTGCTCAGTCAGTTGAATATTCAACTAAGGACTCCTACACCATCAGGCAGTCGGTCAACCAATTCAGTGCCTAAGACACCCTATACCACTAGGCAGCTTGAGAAGCAGGCATCTACAGTAAAAAGAAAGCTTCTTGAAAGGCGTACGCAGCAAGGAACACGCTCACAGAGTCCTACCTCTTCCTTAGAGGTACGATTGGACAAGATTATCAAATGCAGCGAATTAGCCCTAAATGAGGCAGCTCTTGCGCGTCAAGAAATTCGTGATTTACGAGCTGCAAATGAGAAGCAGCTTCAAAAGAAGAAAAAGTCTACTAAGCAACTTACTGCTTCAGAGGGTCTTTCTATTCAGGAGGGTCAGGAGCGATTTCAGCAGGAGAATCAGGTCTCTGAAGCTCAAGATACTGGACCTAGGGATCCAGGGCTTCTTGCAGTTGGGCCCCGTGTACGCGCTCCACCGCAGTGTTCTAATTGTCATATTCGGGGGCATACTAGGGTTAGATGTCCTAATCCACCTAGTAATTAGTTTGATATAGAAATGCGATTGTTTTGTTGGTAAAAAGGTGCTTAAATCTCACCTAGTCGTGGAAATCGGGTGGAGGTGCGGCGCTCGCTTGCATGCGGCGCTCGCTTACCGATTACGTTAGTAACTATGCTATTGTACTTATCATGGTATGAAATGGTATGGTATCTCGGCCGAAATACACAATCAAAAACAAAGACGACAAAAACAGAAAAACAAGCTCACTACCTTAGATGTCCCTAAGGTAGTCAGCGAAGGCTAAGCGTAGGTAATGGTTAATCCAACCCAACGCCAAACACCAAATGCGAGAATGCGAGAATGCAGGGACGGGGGTCGTGATCATCATGAGGGAAATTGGTAGAATCGATCAAGGGATTTGGTTGTATTTTCTTTTCTTTTGGTTTGTTGTTTGCGTCGACTGTCCAACTCTATAATCCCCGAAGTAGACTCCCCTGCGTAAACGGATTCTCAGGAGACATATCCAGCATCGGTTTCGTAGCGAGTCGATCACCTGTCGCAACACCATGACCAACAGGAATACCGTTATTCGTTAACGCGGCGATCTGTGCAGATCGCGTCATCAGACTGTTCGGGATGAAAGGGTCTTCGCGCTGCGTGGCGTCCGCGGGAGATGTAGCGGTTATTGGGGACGCCGGGGTAGACGAGTTGTAGTGTCGTGGTTGGGCGCTGTTGCTACGGGCCGTGTTGGAGCGGTTACGCGTGCGTGTGGTGAGTTCGGTCGACGAGGACAGGTCGAGCGGTGCGGGAGGCGGAGGAGCTGGACGGCGCCAGGTCGTGGCGGACGGAACGGCAATTCCGCCAGGGGCGTCGCGGCCGGTGGCGGCGTCGATGAGCAGCGTTCCTGGCTCGACGGCCACGCCGCGTCCCTTGCGCGCGTGCTGAGGTGGTTCTTGGTAGACTGGGGTCAGGTCAACGAGGGGTTTGTTTTTGTTGACGGATTGTGAACGCTTCAGGCCGGCTGGGTCGGGCGCGTGTGTCGAGGTCATCGTGTTCGAGCGGCTGTTGGGTCGGCTGGACGAGGGTCCGTTCGTCGGACGGCGTGTCATGGTTCCGATGAGGCCTTGCGCGGCGAACGGATCGTCAATGGCTTTCTTTTCGCGCTCTTCGCGTTCTTTCATCGCGCGGTGGCGTAGGGTGTAGCTTCGTCCGAGCAGGCCGGAGGACGTGAACGGGGAGTCGTCGGGGGAGGATGATGTCGACGGGAGCGGTGGCACGTCGGGCTCGTCAGCGAGGAGTTTGGGGAAGGATGATGGGGGAGGCGCATGCTCGCGCGTGCTCTTCTTGCGCGAGAACAGCTCTTTCGATTTCGATGACTTGGTCCGGTCCAGGGCGGTTCCCTCGCAGCCGGATGTCTCAGGGGAGTCCATGTTCATGTTCAGCAACGGCTTGAAGGGCTTCGTGGCGGGCGACACTTCATCTGGAGGAGATTCGATCTTGTCTTCCGCGCCGGCACCCAGCATGTTGACCAAGTACCAGCTGCGCCAGGCATGGACGGCGCGGTGCCAGGCGTCAGCGACCCCCTTATCGTTGGTACAGAAGAAATGAACGAAGTTCTCCGTGGAGAGAAACATGCTCGACTTCTGCTGACTCTTAATCGCCTGGCACATCTTCTTCGGGGGCTTGATGTTATTGGACAGATAGCCCGGGGTGGGCGAGTAGATGTCGAAATCCGACAGATGGCAGATATTCGTCGACTCCTGGCCATTCTCCTTCTTGGACTGAGTCACCTGGCCGTCCGAGCGCAGCGTGATGAACCGTTTATCCCACTTGCGCGGCCGTTGCGAGTAGTACATGTGCAACGTCACTTCCGCGGGCTGACCCGCCGGCACGCAGTGGGCGTCCAGCATCGTCAGCGCTTCAAGACTGGCCGCCGGCACGATGATCAGTGTGTTCTCCCGATCGTGCGCCCACGAGTTCATCACGTCGCGCACGTACTCGTACCGGCGCAGAGGTCGCTCCAGGCCCAATTCCGTAAAGGATTCCATGAGGATGAATTTCAACGGGTCAATGTCCCCGGCGAGACACTCCCCGGCCAGAAATAGGAGATCCTGCGCGGAGGTCGACGGCGTGACGGATAGCCGCATGGACGTTTTGCGATAGCGCACAACCACCTGTCGCTCGCCCGCATTGACCGCCGAAACGGGCGCGTCGAAGCCCGGGTGTCGATTGCCCACACTCGTGTCGATGGCCTGCGCCGCTTCCTCGGCCGGTCTCGCAGAGGAAACCTTGGTCGTCTCCTTCAACGAATGCCGTCGGGGCTCCTGACTCGACCGACGTCGACTGGTCGCTCTGGTCCGGCTCTCCCCATCCGTAAGATACGGTCTGTCCTCGCGATCGCGCGTCGCCGCTCTATCGCGGGTGGACGGTCGTCGTGGTGCCGCGGCGCTAGTCGCAGTCGCAGTAGTAGCAGTGTTGGTAGCCGTAGCCGTAGTCGTAGTAGTAGTCTTCTTCATCTTCTCCCCCCCAGTCAACCGATCCATCGCATTCTGCCGATGATGGTCGCGCACATCCTCATCCTCGCTATCCTCCACGTAGACCAATTTCTCCGCGCGCACCGCCGCATCCCTCTGTCTGCGTCTCTCGCTCTGCTCGCGCCCAGCCGACCCGTTCTCCCTCCCCTGCGTCGCCGACGCAGGACCCCTGTACGCCAAGCCCCGATCGGCCGGCACGGGCGGCGCACTCGCATTCGTCTCGGTCGCCCGCTGGCGACGATATCGCGACATGCTCCGTTTCACCGTCGTGGCGGACATGGTCGCAGTCGGGGTCGGGGCGATCGCTTGCTGCTGCTGCACGGAGGTATCGATGGGCGGGAGTGGAGGGTGGTGATGGTGGTGATGAGGGGATGCGACAAATTCGGGTCTCTTGGAGGCGGCTTTTCGGACGGATCGATAGCGCGAGAATTTGGCGGGCGCTGCGGCCGCGCCAGCCACGTCGGGGTTTTTTTCCATCGCCATGGTCGTGTGCTTTATGGCTAGAAGTAGATCGGACTTTGTGCGAGAGAAAGGGTAGGATAGGGAAGGGATGTGTTCTTGTTTTTTTCAATGATCAGGAATATCTTGTAAGGGCACGAGATGCATCGTATTCCCCCTTGTTGTAGGGCAGGACAGGGATAGCAAGGGAATTTTTTTCCTTCTTGTAATTTTTTTTTCTCTCTCTCTCTTTCGTTCCTGATCGCAAACGTCCAAAGGGTCTAGAAAGTCGGAATGTCGATCAAAACTGGATCCGAGTCGGGAGTTGGGCTGAGAGGAGTTAAGATCAGTTGGCCTGGTGGATTTTGCGACGGGCGGGTTTTGTTGGTGCAAGACGGACAACGGTCGAGTTGGAGATTGATAATTGATTGATTGTTGATTGAATAAGTCCTCCGGGAATTGGAAACGAAGGAAAGAAATAAAGAACGCAGGAGGGTCCAAAATATGAAAAATCTCGTCCCCCGGTTCCAGTGTGTCCTTCTCTTCTCCACCCCCTGATTGCTGCAGGTTTGTTTCACCGGCGTTTAATCACTTCATCGTCGTCGCGATGAAGAGGGGAGGTTGAAAAGGGGGCTGCATGAACAGGAGACAACGAGACCAAGAGGGAATCGCAATTGTGCGGAGAGACCCGACCAGACGGAGTAGGGAAAAATAGAATGGGGCGTTAAAAAAAAAGAAAGAAAAGGTGTAGATCGGGCGTGGCAACGGAGTATGGACTTTGGATCTCAGAAGTAAATGAAGACAAGTAAGGGGCGGAGGGGGGAAATTGGCGATAGTCGGGTTAATAATAAGGCTGGCCAGAGAGAAGTGAATCGTGGGATCTAATAAAAGGATCCGCTATAGGTCGAAGTGAATACGATATGCCATTTTAAAATTAAACACGGCGTCGCACAGTAATTTCCGGGGAAAAAAAAGGATTGTTGGAGTCTTGGAGATGGCTGGACTGCCGTTAGCGTCAAGCTACGAGGTTTAGCCAGTTTAGCGCCCTGCCAAACAGGAATTGTATGAGTCGGAAATCTTCAAATCAAGGCATGTTTTCTTGGAGTTGTGGTTATGATGATGATGATTGATATCCAGGTCTCTTGGCAGTTGACGTGCCATCCCCTACACTGTACTTCCAGTCTTCCACTCTTCTCCGCCGTCGATCTCTGGTTATATCCTCTCGACTATTGCCTATTATTGGTGCTTGCGGTTTCTTTGTTACCATATCCCTAATCCTTAATCCCTGATCCCTATCCTTATCCCTATCCCTGTCCTATTCCTATTCTTATCCCATCCTATCCAACCCCCTCCCGAGTACTCCGAAGTTGTTAGTTGACCCTGGGCACACTTATTTTTTGTATGCCCCCAAGTTCTTGCGCCTAATTATGCAACCCCTCGTTAGTCTCCAACATGTCTAGGAATAGCTCCCTCCACTAGGAGCATCTCAGATCACAATCACACTTACCACCACGCCACAAAATCCACCGTGCTCACATCGATGCCAAGATCCTGCAAGGTCTTGGTCGACAGGTGCGTATCGTAGGGTCGCTGCACACTCGCATTCGGGTCATTGCCCTGCTTGTTCCGCTTCATCCCCACCAGCGACAATCCCAGCACCTCCGCCAGCTTCTCGCAGATCTCGTACTTGGTCATGCGGTCCTCCGACGAGAACTGCAGGATGGTGGGCAGTGTTCGCTTCTGCGCCCGCTCCTTGATGCACTTGATCACCACGTCGCGACACACCCGCGCCACGTCCTCCGTGTTGGTCGGATACCGCAGCGCCCAGTCGTCCATGCCGACGTTGGCATTCTCGTCCTGCGACTTCCACACCGCGTCGACGAGCGTGTTGACCGCGCTCTCGCCGTTGTCCTTGGCCGTGCCGTAGAGCACGGGCACCCGCAGCACGATCCCCAGCGAACTCTCCTTTGTGGCCTCCAGCACCGCCAGCTCCCCGTCGCGCTTCAGCTGCCCGTACAGGTTCGGCGGGTTGGTCGCGGCATCGGCTTCGTAGGGCGCGTCGCCTTCCTTGCCCGGGAACACGTAGTCGGTGGAAATGTAGATGAGCAGGGCGCCGCTGGCTGCGGTCGCTTCGGCCAGCGTCCGGGTGGCTTCCACGTTAACGCGACGGGCCTTTTCGGGATCTTTCTCGCAGAGATCGGGCGACCGGTTGGCGGCGCCTAGAACGCAGGGAAGGATTGAGTTTTAGTGAGGGGTCAGGTAGGGAGAACGGGGTCAGTCATGGATTTTCACGCACAATGGATCACAACCTGCGGTCTGAGGGATTTTATCAATTCGCATTAGTCAATTCTTTCAAGGGTCCAGGGTCCAGGGTCAAAAAACACGTACTTAGCCTCATCCAACAATCTCTTAATATCAGCCTCGTTCTCCAAATCGGCCTTCAATATCGTCGGCGGGGCAGCTCGCGAGAAACCCTGTCCGACGACCAAACAGCCGGAGTGCTTGAAGGTGTTGAAGATCTGACGGCCCAGCAGGCCGGTGGCACCGGTAACGAGAACATTCGTCGACATGATGGTGGATGTTGTGTTGAAGGAGGACATGGTCGTGGTGGGGGGAGAAGGTGAAGGATGTGGTTGACGGCGGGGACGGAAATGACGTAAAGCGATTTGTTGTCCTGAGGATCTCGACGGTGGACCCTTTTGTTCGCCCGATGACGATGAAGATGGATGCGGTCGCCGGTGTAGATTCCTCCGGTCGGCTGGAGGTGGATTCTAGAATGCGATCGCAGCGCAGGAACAGGTTGCCTTGGTTTCTTGGCTTGGGTGGTGTTGTCTTGTTGGTTTTGTGTCGTTCAGCACACTCTTCTTTTTATGTTATGTAGGGAACAATCATAATAGATAATTAAGTATACTAAAGAGTACTATAACGTAAAAGTACCTCGATTTGGCCATTAGATGAACATATCTCTTTCAATAACTCTACTCATAGATATGACGTCTCGACCCCACAAAAATATAGATCGCAGTCGCACCGACACTTTTTGAGCAAGATTTTCTAGAAACCCGACTTTTTGGGGTCGGACTTACAAGCCCTATCAGTCTCTAGTCTCGGTATTGTAGGGGAGTATGTGTTTGTTTGAATATTTTCCCACAAGGTTTCGTGCATGAGAATTTTTTTCGTTAGCATTGACAAAACAGTTTGTTAAGCGATTGTTGTCGATCTTGGTTTTCGAGGAATTACTTACACCGCGGTCAAGTCCATGATGAATTGAAGGGCGATTTGATCAATACTGAATTGATCGATTGATTAATTGATGTAGGAAGAAACGAGGTCTTCAACGGTATTGCCTATCTAAAAAGTGCCTCGGGATAAGCAAACGGCGAAATGCTTGGCATATTGCCTCAGGCATCAAAATGCCACCACGCAAAAAGTGGATTAGGCTTTTATACATCTTAAACAGAACAACAATGGGGGCCTACGTTGTGAGAAACAAGAGATCTAGCCACGGGGATAGGCACTGCGCCGATCAAGAGCAAACCGAAAAGGTCGCTGAACTTCTGAAAAGACGTTGGGGGGAAAGGTGTTCGGGTGGAATCATGGAATGGCGAATGTCTGGGAAATGCCTCAGCCATGCACGCAACACATCAAACCGCTGTACTTATCTAGACCAACACAGCTCCACGCGGTCTTTTCTCCCGAAAAGTTCGGGTAGTAAAATAGGATAAACAGATGTATAGAGTCTCTATGTCTGTTTGTTTTATTCGGCTTCTCCGTTTCCACGCTTCCGTGCCCAGGAGCAACAACTAGGGGCTCGCAAACGTGCCCGTGCGCAAAAGGAAGATATTTCCGACGTGGACACGGCATTACCGAAGGGGCAACCAAGGGATAGGGACTCAAGAACGGGATACCACGCTAGGCTTGATGGTATTTGATGGTCTTTATATCATCTATCATTCCTCAAGTTATTCTCACAGTTTTATACCATTTGTCCGCAAATGCGAGGACATACACTCAGTAATCTTTTGATGCGTTGCGCACTCGAATCGATCCGGTTGGGAGGTGTTAGACGGTTGTGTAGATGGATATTGTGGCAAATACAAAGATGTACACGGTCAATGAAAATCACTCTTCGAAACCTCAGAAGAAGAGCTCGAACGGTAGTCGCTACTTCAACGCTCACGCTTGCTCTGTCTTTCCCTCTCGACAGATCTGTCGTCTTCTGAGCTTACCTGTTCCGGAGGAGTCTGGGGTCGACGACGTTTCAAAGCGCCCGGTCGAACCCGATTAACTGAGCCTTGGAATTGCGTCAACGACTGTTGCCTTGCTTCGGCGCTAGAGAGAAAATCAAAGAGTTGCTTTGATGTAATGAGAATCTGTCGGTCGAGACCAGCATTACCTTTATAGAGATCATCTGTTGCAAAGTCCCTCAATGATAGCTGTATCAGACCTCCCTTAACTGGAAGTTCACAGTCTGTCCGAAAGGGCTACGTATCTGTTAGCATCCAATTGTCGGATATTTTGGTTCTGAAGTAACCGTACTTGCGCCTTTACCATCGTGGTCGCCTGGAGCTTCTCCATACCATCGACTGTTATATATCCCGGTCTCCATATGATCACAGTTGCTCTCTTGGAGCTTAAATTGATATCCAAGATAATGACCGTGTTAACGCTTCTGTTAGTGTTTAAAATATACTTGTCCGCCAGATGGAATGCATGTTGGCTCTTTTGTGAATAACAAATTTCCACAATTACACCGGGATAGTGTAACTGGCGATGACCAAATGATGTTTCTGGCTCCCGTCTGGCATAGAGCTGTCTTCTATCCTCTGTGTCTTGGGGTATTAAGATTCGGGAAGTGACAAAATGCTCGATCTCGTTGGCAAAATCACCAACGGGCCTACCGATTTGTTAGAATTGCCTTGAAATTTTATCGATAACCCTTGTACAAAAAATAACATATAGAGAACTTGACATTCAGATTGCTAAGCAATAATGACAAGGATCATAGTCGTACCTAGAGACATTTATCTGAGTACGCCTGTCTCCAATGTGGCAGAACCTAGAAATACTCACCTAACTTTGTCTTCCGCATAGTTCCGAAGAGATTCGTCAGCATTTAACAGGCGCAAGACTTGCATATAATCATCCAGCTGGAGTCGACGCTCGCACCACGGCTGTGACCGATGACCTGCTCGATGGAGTTGCAAAAAGTTCACAACACTTTGAGCACTGTTCGACAGCGGCTTTTGTTGCGTAGGCGGCGGCTCAATGACACTCCCTGGTGGAGTAATTCCAGCAGCCATGGGCGTTACTCTGAGAAGTCCACGTCGAGTCGTTGTGAGGTGTTTGTTTATGCCGGGAAAGGAAGGGGGAGCTGCAGCGTCACGTGGCGTTGACGAGCTAGTCGAACATCGCGCGACACGATTGAATTTGTCACCATGCGAAGTGATGAAGCGATGCCAAAAGACTAATGGACATTTCCATGGATAATGCTGCCATCTAATGAAGGTGTCAGTAGACTCCGTCAGATAAATTGCCCGTCAAAACACGCGCTAAGAATCCCGTTCCCGTTCCCGTTAGCGTCTTGGCACGCTGTAAAATGCTCATATAATGCGGGAAGCTCACTAAGTATGAATCTCTACGGATTCACTCAGAGATAGAATCTTGTCTCAATAGCTTACTTTATCGTGGCCCATCTAACTCAATATATATGTCACCCAACAAACCACTATATTCTGGGTCACTCCCATAAACGTGCATCCGTGTGCTTATCATGGCGCGTTATTCTAGCATAAACATAGCTGCTCATCCTGTCATCCCTTCTTTTCTACCAACTATATTCCCCTAGTTTTTGACACCATATCCGCGTTCACCATGCATTTACCGCTTTTCAAAGCTTGAGTCTTTTGATTTGTCCACGCGACCAAGCTCTATCCGTTCTTATTCATCAACAGCAATGTCGCGCGGCGAACCAAAGTACAACTGGATTGATGGCGCAGAATCACTTGAAAAATACAGGGCCGGCGGCTATCATCCTGTCATGATTGGCGACATACTACACGGGCGCTACCGCATTGTAGACAAGCTGGGTTTGGTGGGTATTCCACTATTTGGCTGGCCCAGGATACTCGCTTGGAGCAGTACGTTGCTATCAAAGTCGGCATAGCAGACGCACTTCCCCATGAAACTAAGATCCTTCGGGTCCTTTCGCATTCATCCGTACATCCAGGCCGACTATCAATGCCATTCCCCTTGGATGAATTCACGCTGCATGGTCCTAATGGGACACATCCATGCTATACGATGGCTCTTGCACAGTGCAATCTCAGAGAGGTCTCTTTCAGCCGTCTGTTTCCTCTCGAAGTTGCGCGAGCCCTGTCAGGTGGTCTTATTCTGGCTACTGCGTATACCCATTCACAGGGTTATATTCATGGAGGTCTGTCATCTTAACCTTTACAGCTATACTCTCAACTAACCTTGTTTCTACTAGACATCCATCTTCGTAACGTTTTAGTCAAACTCCCATCAATTATTGATCAGCTTTCGATCGAGCAACTGTATGAGGAATATGGGGAGCCTGAGACAGTTCCTGTTACAGCACGCGATGGAAAGCCACTCCCGCCCAACGTCCCTGCGACAGCAGTGATACCACTCTACCTTGGGAAAGATGCAGAAGACTTCACCCTTCCAGACGCGTGCGTAATTCTTAGTGACTTTGGCGAAGCATTCGGCGTAGATGAGGTTCGTCGGGGCGAAGACTGCCACACCCCGCTTGCAATGCGGCCTCCCGAAGCCCGGTTCCAACCACAGGGCCCCCTTACGTATTCAGCAGATATCTGGAGCTTAGCCACCACGATCTGGGAGATTCTTGGCATGAAGGCCATATTCAGCAGCGAGTTTGCAACTGCAGATGAGGTGATATCTCAGCAGATCGATGTTCTGGGATCTATGCCTCGAGATTGGTGGAAAGGTTGGGAAGAACGGAGTCAATTCTTCGATGAGGATGGATGTCCAAAGGCGGGCCGCTATGTGTGGCCTCACATCGATCAGGCGTTTGAGGAAGGAGTGCAGATGTATCGACGAAAAGGTAGTCGAGTATGCGAGTTTGACGGGGAGGAGGCGGCAGCCATTCTAGAGTTGATTAAACGAATGCTGGCCTTTCGACCGGAAGAGCGACCAACCGCCGAAGAAGTCCTGAAATCGGACTGGATGGTGAAATGGGTAATGCCAGATTTCAACAGGAGCTTGTACTTCGAATAGAAATGTTATTTCAATGATGATATCGGTGATGTGCTATGCAAGTTCTACCATAGTCGTCCAGAGAACTGTCTGAGTACTATACATGTAGAATTTCATCTAGACGCTATTAGCCGCTGATATATAGAAATATGATTTAACTAACTAGTGCAGAGCAAATCACATTCACGACCAAACGATAAATTAAACACTGTCATGCAGACAAGTTAAGGTTGTCGAGGATGTAGAAGAAATGTTGAATTTAACGCAATAAACTTAAGCCTGGAGATCATGTATGATGAAAATCCTATGCATTGGGAATAGACTAGTCTTTAGACTCTGACAAGTAAGGTTAGTCTAAGGTTGTTTCTATTAAGGAATGACGTTGACATTGTGGCCGCCAGTTATATAGATATTGGCAGGAGTATTGTTGAAATATCACGCAGATGCCAAACCCAGCTGTTGTAGGACAGACACCAACACACCAACACACCGCTAAGCCACGCTTCTTCATCTTGCTCAATCAGACTCTCTGGTGCAACCAGAAAGGGGAAAAAAAGGAAAGCCAAAAAACATACAACAGCCGGGATTCGCTGGTGGTTACCCACCCAACTACTAACCGGCCGGCGTGAGGCTTAAGTACGGCTGAGCGGACGGGAAGCCCTGTTCTCCACACCCTGTGGTCGTATGTAGTTAATCTAACTAGTTAGTAATATATATTATAGTCTCTGATAAAGCCAGGAAAAAAGTGATCTAGCGCGAAAGTATTAGGAACGAGTAAATCTAGTGATAAGCCGAGAGGGAAAAAGTCTACATTTTCCGATTTCCATTTTTGCTAGTGCGTTCATAGCGATTTCAAGTCTCCGGCTTACATGCCTACCATGCCCGAGCAATCCAGAGAGAAGCACGATTTTCGATCTAAGGTCCGGGTGCGCTGATCCTAGCGTCTGATGTATATATCAGATCCTATCTTGGACTTCAAGGCACCATGAAGCCACCTCGTACGCCTCCAGCGGGAGCCCTTCCAACATGAATACAGCCCTTGGTGGACCTTCATCATGAGTGGCCAGCCTAGCAAGTGAGGATGTCTATCCTTTTACCCCTCAAGTTATAAGCCGGTCTGAGGCTTGACCTTGTTCAATCGCCACATGACACGACTAGAGCTTTGTATACAATCTATCAAACACCTTCTCACCGGCCTTATCAAGCACCAAGTCCACCCACAAAAAGCTCTTGAGAACAGCCCTAGTATCCGTCCATGTTCTCAGACCGAGTGTGTGCACAGTTTGTACCACCAGCGCTCGCAACCATTCCTGATCTTGTTCCTCAAGTACTGAACAGCACGTTATAAAGAGGGACCAAAGAAGGAGACTGGCCTGTTGGACTGACGGCGGGAACGTCTGCTCCAATAAACAAGTTTTGAGCTTCTCCGCAAGGTAAGTCATCTTACTACCAATTCCAGGTGTTTGGATCAGGAGCGGCCTCATAAATGCAAGCATGGATAGCCTCAATAGTTCGTGAAGAGGGGGGGTACATTGCAAAGAGAGCAGTCGGTAAGGTGCCGACCTGCTGAAATGTAGGAAAGACGTGACCACCAGCTTGGCCCCTGTGGTCGTGGCATTGTTGGCGAGTGTAGAAAATTCCCGGATATCGGCCCAAACGTTCAGGAGCCTTGGATCAGGCCGTGGATGTACCATATTCAGCTCCGGAAAAAGGGTAGTCAGTCTACCCTGAGCGATATGTGGACCCCAGGAGATGTTTTCGACGAAGCGCAACTTGCTACCAGTGCCAGCGGCTAGATAAATATCGATCCTGAGCCAGGTGTTGATGTTAGCAAGAGCAAACTACCATAACAAGTCCAATGTATGATACACTCACGTTTTCGCTTTATGCTCTATTGCCTCTCGATCGATAAGTGAGCTCCAGCCCCCGCTTAGTTCAACCATTCTATGTAGCCCGTCCATATGCTTTGCAGCTGCTTCGAGATCCCCTGCCATAACGCCTGCAAGTGCCAAAATCCCGACAATAGTCATGGTGGAACTTTTGATTGCCTCTGCCTTATCCTGCAGACTTTGCTGGAGATACTGGAGAGTCTTTGCTAAATGAAATCGAGCTACTGATCCGTATGAGACCCCCAGTGACATATCGTGAAACGCCTGTGCAGTGAATATGATGGAGTGAATCATGGCAGGAGTCTGGGAAATATCTGCGAAACAAAACATTCTGTCTGGGTGGCTATTGTCTGTGACGGTGTCTAAAGCATGCATTGCTGGTTTGATGGCGGTCAACGCTAGGACCGTCAGAAATCTGGCTGTTCTGAAAAGCAACGAGTGGGCTCAATAGCTACCTCGAAAAAGAAGATTAAACATGTAAGGCTTGATTTCGGTCCTGTAGTTGAAAAGAGACAGTTCCGATGCCACCTTCCGAGGCGTCGTGAGCACCCATTCCTTCGCATCTGCAGAAGCCCATTGTTCAGATGGCGAAACTGCTGCCGCCGCTCTCGACTTGGCCTCTGTGGCGTTCTTGACCTTACGTGTGTTCTTCCCAAGCATGACATGGCTGCGGATCAATTTCCGGGTCTGCCGGTCTGGCTTGTCGAGTGACGTGGTGATGATAAACGGGTGCATCTGTTAGGAGCCGTATGGGTTGGATAGCCTCAAGTGAAACAGGGGCCCCACGAGACCCGTTCTCAATATAAATCGCGTCTGACGTTTGCCGCCTGGGGAGGGGCGATGCATGCTGACAGACATTGCCAAGCAGCCTAAGCTGATATTGTATTCCGTTCTCGGCATAGCCGCTGGCGGGCAGGATCATCATTTACCCTATTAGGAAAACAATCCAGATATTTACAATAGACGATAACAATAAACCTGAGAGATGCTGGCTGAACAAGAACCGGGCTTTGAGATGACCGTCGCTTTTGGACAACGGAAGCTGGTGTATAAATACTCTCGCCACGCACGTCTTGTGTCCTTCTGTCAACCTGGGTCTCCCTATTCTTACCCAGATCCATATTCTGCGCAGACTTGACGCCAAAATGCCTTGCAACAACAGTCCTGCCAGCTTCAACCCCGAAACTGACATTCCTCCACTGGATGGCAGAGTGATCCTCATTACAGGAGGCACCCATGGTCTGGGCAAACAGTCTGTCCTCGAGTTTGCTCGACACAATCCTCGCGAGATCTGGCTCGCAGCCCGTAACGAGGTCCAGGCCAGAACTGTCGCCAACGAGATAGCGCAGACTGTTCCCGGGGCGACTATTCGTATCCTCGAATTAGATCTCACTTCATTTTCATCGGTCGAGAAGGCAGCGAAGACATTCCTGTCGGCCTGTGACCGGCTGGACATTCTCATGCTCAACGCCGGCATCATGGCCGTGCCACCCGGAACAACCAACGAAGGCTACGAGATCCAGTTTGGCACCAACCACATGGGCCATGCGCTTCTGACCAAGCTGTTGTTGCCAATCCTCGATAACACCATCAACACCACCCCCAGCGCAGACGTGCGCGTCGTCTCGGTTTCGTCCAATGGGCACCGTTACCTTCGGCGGGGAGGCTTCCGCTTCGACTCCCTCACCACCACGGCGGATGACATGGGTGCCTATGAACGGTACTATCAAAGCAAGCTAGCGAATGTGCTGTGGGTGAAACAAATGGCGGTACTGTATCCGCAGTTTCGGGTTGCGGCTGTTCACCCGGGCGTTGTGCAGACCCATCTGGCGGCTGGAGCGACAGCCTCTCCCATCATGCTACGGGCGTTCGCGAAGGTCGCATACAAGCTGTTTAGACCAGTGGAGGAGGGGGTCCGAAATCAACTCTGGGCCTCTGTCGCACGGGACGTCCATAGTGGGGAGTACTATGAGCCCGTTGGTGTGGGAGGTCGGACTAGTGAAGACGGAAAGGACAGGAAGCTGGCACAAGAGCTGTGGGAATGGACGGAGAGCGAACTGAACAGGTATCTTGCTAGGTCCGTTCAGTGAATAGTAGGCTTTGACAATGGCTGTTTTCCTGTCTACGGCTGATTGCATGTTTCGTGTTGAGAGGGTTTATGTGCTGTTTTGTGTTCAACAATTTTCACTAAGGTAATTTATCAGCCAGCATCAGGGGTTTGTAGCGCGATGGAAATACGAGCCCAGTAATGGGTTGGTATATCTGGTTGGGATGTTAAAGCATATAATTATGATATAATTATCAACAATATCATGTAGTTAATCATCTGCACTGACTGGAGACTATTGCAAAGTTAATATACAGTTGATGATGATGATGATAATGATAATTGCATTATATCCCAATATCTGCTCCCTGACGGGACTCCTTCCGGATAGAAACTATGTAGTTATAATATATACTGATATTGGATGCTGTTAAGAAAGTGCCAAATCGCGATCTTGCTCTTCCGATCCAAAGTCTACTTAGCAAGAGAACGAGGTTCTTCACAACAGCATGGGCGCCAGAAAGTTCCTCAAGGTTCCCATCTCTCGCCTAAGACGTCGCACAATTCAGAGCGAGTCCCCTAGAAGCGAATATGTATCATCATAATGTAGCTTGCTTTATAGAGAGAGAAAGTATCTCGATGGCCAAACCAAGAGTGGCAAGGAACATCCAATATCCTACCGGACCCGACAGCAACAGTCTCTAGTAAGAAGCTCTTAGTTGGCTTACTACTGAAGATAGAGTCATAGTGTTTAATGAGTCAACGATTCTAACAGACACGGATCGCCTACCGGAGGCTTTGCTCGAAAGTATGAAGCAACGCGCGATATATATGAGTCTAGAGGGTGGATCTTTAAGTGAGGAAAACATCTCATAGGTATAAGAGGCCTTGTCATTAAGATATTTAATGATTAGAAAGATTTCACTAAATTAGCGATATTGTTGTAAATGCGGATCCTGTCTAAACTGGATGGACTATCATAGACGGCGGTTAGACCTTTATTAGTCTCCAAGTATTTGGTGATGCTGACGAAATCGGTTGGTTTGTCGTTTAATTTGCGTGAGGATGGAGGATCGGAGGATTTCACCTCTTGAGTCCCTCCGGGCTGGGGAGAAACTTGTTGATTTTGAGGAGACGGCAGATTGGCCCCTTTGGGTTTGGTGGAATTGACTACACACAGCGCGGGGTCGTTCCAAATAGCTGTGGATGCGTACTTCCAGAGGTTGATCTGGTTATACCAGATATGTAGCGTCTATAAAATGCGGCAGTCCGCGGATTCGTAGACGAATTGGACCGATATGTTGGTACTGTTACAAATCTGATCTTGAAAATTAATATTTATATAGTGAAAAGCAAAATCAATAGTTCGATTGAGAAATTAGTTTGTGATTAATTAATATATATATCTTGCATTTTTTATGACAATCAGCAGAGTAGAATGCAGCACTGCAAGTGCCGGCTGAGGCTTGCATACGCCGGTAGATGAAACGGCCTCCAACAGCTACTGTATGTACACCGGCTTGGTAGTGCATCATTTCGAGGAAGACAGCGCAGGCCGAGGAATAGAGGCCATTGCTTAGCTGGAGACAGAAATGTTAACATATGGGAAAATCGCGTGGCTCGAATCGCTCATCTTCCCAGCCATCTACCTGTGCCCCAAGACCCTGCGAGTTGATGGGTTTGCTCGTCAGGTTGTATCCCCCCTACCGGGAAGCACTTGTCAATCACTATTTCAAAGGGTAAGAGGAAGAAATCGAGCCTTTTATAAATTTCTCAAGAATAAGAATTTCAACGACCATCAATTGACGCTATACGTAGTATGCAATTTTAGGCCAAAAGAATAGCCTGAACGCGACGGGAAGATTTAACTAGATTGCCAAAATGACATCTGTCTCTCCAAGCAGGCAAGCAACGTCCACAACGATACCGGCTCTTATGCTCTCTCCTCTATGAACGAAGGATGCAATAATTCATCTTGCTCGGCCTTACAAGAAGCGGAGAATTATCGGCTCAATCAGAGACCCATGATGCTGCAGATCATCCATTGCAGCGCTTACATGGAACAAGAAAGCTCCCGACTTGTAGGTCTCGAACTACCTTGGCAGCGAAGACGATGATTCAGCGGCTACGCGAAATCAAGGAGATGTCATGAAGGGAAAGGAGCTCACAGCGCATAGACTAGTGTGGTAGATATACGATAGGCCTGTAGCAGCCGTTGCTATACAGGCGTTGCTTTCGAATTTCCCTGATGTGTGCTCTATTTCGGGATTATAGGACACGGTTGTCTTGATACAAGGATCTCTTCTGCCCGGCGAAGCGCCTGTATAATTGATTGTTTCAGTAGATAGGCTCCACCAGATTGATTGATTTCCATTAGTCTTTCTCCTTTAGCTTTCCTCTTCCCACGACGATCGCTCGCTCCCTTGCCCTCTCTTGCCAGGGCGCGTATAAGCTCTTTGGCTCAATTCTGGCATTCGATACCCGTTAATCTTTTACGTTTAATATCCCTATACTTGTACCTGCATATCTGGCTATGCAAAGAGAGTGGGGAAAGCGACACCAATTGAATATTAGCCCGGTGCAACATCGAAACCATGCGCAGATGCCGAGAAACGGAGCGTTTCTGATGGAACAACATGATCCAATGATACTACACCCACAGTTCAGCTGTGAGTCAGTGCAGCGGTTCGTGTGACGGAGGAAATTCTCAACTGGCCTCTGACCGGTGAATCCTGGCTCCTGTGCTATTTTGTTGTTGCTAACATTGATGGGCATAGCCCTCGCCATTCAGCCCTTCATCTGGATTAGGGGAGCTGTCTTGAATTGTGAATGTGTGCTAGGTATATGATCAAACTCTATTTTTTATACCGCGTTCAAAAAGTTAAAAGAAAGTAGCTTGAAAAGAGAAACAAAATGAAGACTTTTTTTCTGTGAAAAAAGACTTTAGATAAGCACAATCAGCGAAGGGGAAGGGCGTCCCCTGGAAGGTCATCTCCCAGCAATGGAGCTTTCCATTCTTTTAACCTTTTCTCATCCCAAATAGCATAACACCATTCCCAGTCCTCATCAAGGTCTCGCATGGGGTTCACGGAGTTCTCAAGAATATCCCCCTCGTCGTGGGGTAGTAGCCATGCTTTCTTCCAACCAACAGTAGGCTGATCAAGAGGAGGCAAAGTAGACCAGAACTGTTCGAAATCCCGACACTCATGCCGATCCGCTGGAAAAATGGATGGGAACTGAATATGTCGCGAAATGTCGATCCCATATCCAATGAATGGCCCTGTCCAGTAGCCTCTGGTATTGGCGCAAATGATATTGCGTCGAGAGAGCCTATCAGTGTGTAGAACACGATATAAAAATTCAAGTCCTAATCCTGCCAGGCCTTCACAGTGTTGGTTAAAATGGACGAGGTCTATTTCTGACTGAATTTCACAACAGTCAGGTGGTCTTTGTTCTTGAGGTAGAATGTCCCAAAAGAACCTGCATGGTGTGTTCATGCTGAGTTGTCGCAAGTCATCTGCTATCTCCTGAGAAATACCGTTGAACTTCGAAACAAAGTAATTTAACACGCTACCCATTTCGCCGTGTTCCCAAAGCGTCATTGTGCCATAAAAAGCCGATATAGCTCCTCGCGAAACTGCCAAGGCTGCATTTGCTCATCTGGGCCCGGGGTTCGCCATTCTGTCCATTTGAAATCTCGGCATATGTCACAATTTACATTCAAGCACTTGATGGGGTCCCCGAACATGTTCTTTAGTATTTGTAATCGACAAGCTGCCCTTAGGAAGCGTTGTTTTTCAGAACGCGACAATTGCAAAGGCAGGAATTCGCTTTCCCATTGCGCAGGCTGAATCCGTGGCGGCCTCAATGCGTTGATTGAAAAATCATCGAGAAAGAAAGATAGCTTCTGGTGAAAATGAAGCAGGCTTATGACTTCCTCCAGAGTATCGGGCTCGTCTATTCGACTCAACGAGGTTTGACTGAGGTCACGAATCTCATCTCTGCGGAGCCATCTGTCCAGCAAGGAAATCACATTGTCCCTATGGTAGGCAAAATGTATGCCTTTTGACGGAATGGAAGTGAGCGCCTCGGCCATATCGAGAAATCCGCTATATTGCTGTCCCACAGTCTTTTCAAGCAGTGCGTGGCGCACTATAAGATATGTCTGGTGATATTCTGGCGATGAAAGCACAAGGGATCTGAGCGTATCGCTGTCCGGGACTTGAAACAGAATAATAATTTTGAGCTCGATGGGAAGGCCATCGAGAGTTGGCTCAGCCTATACGAAATTTTAACTCAATACCATTTGAATGGGTGATCTAGACTCACCATTTTTGATGAAGCTGCAGGAGAAAGACGTTGGAGGGGAGGATGATGAGGGCGTGTAGAACTGTTAATCCTGCCGAGGCTGAAGCGCCCTTACATAAGGGGGGTTCAACCATCTTAGCATGAAACAGAAAGAACAGCTACCTAGAAGATGCAATGCATAGGCGTGTGATGGGAAACCGAGCGGCTACCAACCGGACGCTATCCCCCAATCATTCGGCGGTAATCACTATTTTTTACCAATCCACGCTAAACCGTCCGCCTTCTTGATGCCTTTCGTTTTTGCTACGACGTATGTACCTAGTATTCTATATTTGGTCTATTTTGATACCCCGGCGCCTATTAGGTTTCATTCTTGTTTTATTGGACCGGGGAACAAAAACTTCGGCATCTAGACCATCTCTATCGAGGCGATGCAACGGTCACAAAAGCCTCTGATTCTGGATTGCCGCCCAAGATGCGTCAAGGTAGTATATTCTTGGACGATAACAGGGCGTCTCGCGCAATGCTCCAGGAACTGTTCGTTTCATGGCCGCTGCGGCCAAGAGATGACCATAGTCGGCGGCACCTCGTGAGATGTCTATATAATCCTCTGTGGTCCTCATCTGTCTCTGTTCATCAGCTCAGAATTGTGTGAATCATCTTTTCCTTGACTGCAAAGTTCGAATTCGTCCATATATCATTGCTACCTAGTCCCCTGTCTTGCCTTGACAATGCCGACGCGCCGAATCAATGTCAAGGACATGGCCCCATCTCGTGGCACTGAGGACGAGGCCTACGTATACAGCAACTTTGCCAATTTGTCTTTGGCGGACGAGCGTATACCGGGGAGATCCTACCGCCCCGGAGATTATTATTCGTCCTCCGAGCCCAAATATGACTCCCGAGGGTCAGGCCGCACTTATGCCCGGGGTCGCCGGTTTGGAGGTACCTACCTGACTATTGACTGCACATAAGCCACACGCCGGCCGGTTAGTAGTTGGGTGGGTGACCACCAGCGAATCCCGGCTGTTGTATGTTTTTGTTTTTGATCTATGCTCTCTTGATCATTTCGTAGACAGTTCCTGTCTGCCCTGTCGCGGTCCAGCCCGGGTGTGCGTTGGGTGAAATTATAGGAAAGCATCAACTTCGCAGATTGCTGCCCAGTAAACTATGGCGGGTCCACTCCGGAGACCCCATACGTGCAGAGACGTACCTTACTATCGGTAACTCAGAGAGTAAAGTAGGTTGAATTATTGGTGAGGAGGGCCGGAGCGCCTAGTACCAGGTGAGTAAGGCAACGGGTCAGATGGACGGCGATATTCGCATAAGTCCTTTGGTGGACCATGTTCATGTAATCTAAGGACACACTGGATCAGTAATAGCCACCCCGTATACGTAAGAAGGGTACAAGGACCGCCGTAAGAACCAACACTAAACATGCCAGACAACGAACTGAATGATCCAGAAGATAGCATTTAGCGAGCCTATTATACAAACGTATTTTATTTTAAATAGTATACAGTCCTAAGTCAGCTCTCAGCGTCTGGCCCACCTGTCTTTCCTCGGAGCCAAAACATTAATGTAATCTCCGCGCAGCGTCAGGGGCCCTGACTGTCCCCTCGTCTTTGCCCTCCGAAACACAGGTTTGTTTAACATATCAGGGGCAGTTTAGAAGTGGGAACGATAGTTTATCGAGTATTCTGCCAACTGAAAAGCGGACCCAAGTGGAGTAAGGAAAGTCGCCAACATCACTAGTACCTAGGTTTGACAACATGGGGACGGGCATCCTGGGCTAGAATACGCGCAGCAGCAGCCTCTGCAACAATCATGATGGTGCTCTGGATGTTACCGGTAGGCAGATCAGGGTGGATACTACCATCGACGACATACTGTAGGCATTGCGATTAGCTTGCATTTCGAAGAGGAGAATGAGAGAATGAAAATTTACCAGATTGTCCATGCCGTAAACCTTGGTGTTAGTATCCACAACAGAGGAGCCACCGTGAAGACCACTATCGGTACCCATCTTAGCGGTGCTTGTGTAATGAATGCCAACAGTCATGGCATCGATAATCGCCGAAGCGTTAAGGTTGGTGATCAATTGAAGACCGGTTCCGGGGGCAGTGATGTCGTTGATCATCTGCTGGACAAACGCGCGGGCCGCGACCTTGTCCTCCTGGGTCTGCAAGTAAGGAGACTGTTCAAAGACAGTCTTCTGGGTCGTGTCAATGCCCAGAACTCCGGTAGAGGTGGCGCCATGTGTCATGTAGGCGGTGATGTCAAGTTTAGAGTTAGCATTGGGAGCACAAGAACCTTGGTAGTAGCGAGTCTGTCCGTCGATTTCGTTGCTGGTGAAGAAGATCATGCGGTGCTTGCCCTGGGTCAGAAGACCGTTTCCTTGGCGGTAAAGTGCGATGTCGTTATAGTCGGTGCCATTCAGGATGCGGTCATAGTTGGGAATGCCAAAAGAGCCGTTGGTCTGGACGGAGATAGGGAAGATGGGGTGATCACGAAGGCCAACACCAACGGGCAGGTCGAGCCACTGCTCCTCTGAAGGAACGTTGATACCGCCCTTCTGGGCGTTTTCGATCTGCTTCTTAGGTCCGATTCCAGAGTTGAAGAGAAGACGAGGGGTGGAGAGAGCACCGGCAGCAAGCACGACACGGCCATTCGGAGCAAGGGGAACGATTTCAGTCTTGCCGGAAGCGAGCTGCAGTTCGACACCGGTCACCTTGCTACCATCACGCACAACACGAAGCACCTTAGCACGGAGGCGCAGCGAGAAGTTCTCGTTCTTCTGGACCAGAGGCAGGTAGGTGCGAACGGGGCCAGCACGCTTCTGGTCCTTGAGGTTCCAAGCCGGATAGCTATAGGCTTGGTACTTCTCGTTAGGCTGGGCGCTCATGTCAACAGACTTCCAACCAATGTTGCTGAAAAAGTTGGAGAGAACGGTGTAGAGGCCCTGGTCGTAACGTTTGCCATCAGCAGAAGGCAGAGTGCTACCAGGGTTGCGCTGGTAAAGCCGCTCTGCCGCAGGCTTGAGGTCGTTCCACTTCCATCCCGTAGGCCAGTTGTTGTTATCATCGAAGTCGTGCTCGGGAGGGTGCACGAAGACCATATAGTTCAGGGTTACTCCGCCACCTAAGACACAGGCGGCAGTTCCCTCGGTATCGGTGCAAATGTACTCATTCCACTGATTAGTGTTTCCAATATCCGCAGACAGGCCAGGTAAATCAATTGGCGTCAGAGCGTGATTCCAGGGCAGAGTCTCGTTCGCTCCGGTTTCAACGGTTGGACCAACACCACGTTCAAGTAGGAGGACCTTCTTGCCAGCCTCAACAAATCGCTCCGCGGTGATGATACCTGCAGGTCCTCCGCCGACAACAATGTAATCGTAGGATTGATTTCTGGAGCTGGACGCCGCAGTAAAGCCACCAAGAGTAGCAACTAGGACTGCTTGGTAGCCTGCCTGGAGAAACCGCATATTGTTGGATACAGGACTGGTCCCAGAGAAATCACAAAGTATCTTAGATCCTTCCGAGAGTTTTGGAACTTCGGGGACGGTGGGAGTTTATGTCTCCCTGTAATCATACATTCTCCACATATAGTTGCTCGGCTGATGAAACCAGGGTTCATATCTCGGTGTGATATTCCCTCATCGAATTTTCTAGCTTCATCAGATAAGTGCCTCTACACTCTGACAAGAACGCTGTTGCCGAGTCAGGTGGGGAATAAGAAAACCCCCTTAATGGATTTCACTGCATACTAAGTGGACCTCCTAAGCTCCGGGGGTCGCGGGTCGCCAATTATATGACGACACTGGTACGGATATAACAGATTTTTGCCTGACAAGACCAGCGATATGCCCAACAAGACGTCAATGACGCAGACTAGGACCTCTAGTAAAACTGATTCCAAGAATTATTGGAAAACCCACACGGAAATCCGAAGTCCCGGAAGAGGCGGGTCATCAAGATATAGAAAAACTGGTACGCGGATAGGATTTGACCGTTTGTCCCCACTGAGAAAATTCAGTTCAAAATTACTACGCAACGACATGCTTGGTAAGAAGTTAATAATGCTGGGTAAGTCTTTAGGCGTAATTAAGGCTTAGAAACCGTTATTAATATTTTACTAAAATTTCCTCTGTCCTAAGCGAACGTCGCATCTGGTATGGTAGCTTTATGAGTGTCTGTGAAGAATATTTTCCAAAGTTCAAACAATGAACCAGCCACCGAAGGGAAAAGTTATAAAGATAACTTTGAAAACCCAAAGCATATCGTCACTGTGAACCAAACAACATATGCAATGAAATTGTCATTGCAGCATGAACTACTACAAAACATGAATCTCCGGTTTTAACTTTGACCTAACATGAGTCAATTCGTCATGATCTTGCTATAGACATGTCGTAAAGCCTACTTCCGAATATATATATACCGCAGTGCCTGGCTAGGCAGGAGAAAATATCCGAATAGAATAACCGCGTGTAGTAGCCCTTGAAGAGAGGATCTCGTATAAATCAGTGAATTAGGTTGAGACGAGGAGTTGGAAACAGGTTGAAGAAGACTACATCAGCGCTTACTACTCTAGATAGTTAAATAGAGATCAGAGAGAGCGCATAAGGCTTCATAAAGAAGTGGAGGAAGTTCCTTTTTGGCGCTAGTGCGCTCGGGCCGTTAGGACCAATCGTCCTCGACACTCCGACTCTTAATTAGTTAACTATGTCAGCTGAAGAAGCGGATAGGTGATGGCCCTCGATTGATAAGTGCAATCCTCGATTCTCCACCCCTTCGATTCACATTGTCCCTTGATTCCTCTCAAGGACAGTCGCACTCTCACATTGCCAGACACCACGCCGTTGGGGTGACCAACTTCATCTTAGTACGAAGCAAATATATAGTCTCTTGATGCACGATGCTGGAACATGAGAAAGCACAATATCGGGACTTTGTTCTAAACCAAATCCACTGTGTCTTGAAAGGCGCCCTCAAAGATCATGCACCAATGTGAATTGTCGGCCACAAACCTACTATTGTCCTAAACCCGAAGGACTATCTAGCATCAATTCAGCCTTTTATCACAAGCATACAGGACTCTGTGGGTTTTTACTGCGCCGGTGCGAAGACTAGGTTTCTAGCCGCTGAAATACATTCGCGATATTCCTTTTTCGTGGTCGACATCAACAATCACGAATATAACTACGAGACAGCTCACCAAGATACTACAATCACCCCTGTCTACATTCTCCGGCTGTCAAAACAACCCAAATTTCCAAGAGACCACAAGCGGGATCAGTACCTGGCTCAGAGGCTTGCCAACATGCACCGCGGCCATGGGAACAACCCATTGCCTCTGCTCGACAACTTCACGCAGCATATCGAATATGAATCCCCGCGCGGTCTTCGGTCTTGATATCCGTCTCACGCTGACTTTGTGCTCGAGGTTGCCTTACTGTACATGCTATTGGTTAATGCAGGCCGCACTGCGTTAATAGCTTTTGGACACTGCCTCATTTCTTGTGTCGCTGTGGGGCTAGCTGCGTTTGGTTGGAATCACACGAGTGATACCCCTTGACTGCTGTTCTCGAGCGCGAATATCGTGTTATGATTGTTTATTTGACTAGCTGTCAAATGTCAAATTTACAAGCCTATCTCTATCTTATATGTGTCGGGCCCTATTTCTTGGCTATTTCCTTTCTTCTTGACGCCGAACTCTTAAGGCATTATTCTGTCCTGCTATAATTTTACTTCCTTCCTGGGAATGTCAGCAGAACTGATCATGAAGCCTTCACCGGAAAGCCCGTTATGGGAGGCTACGGTACTGGTTTGGCTGAATGTGACAATTACCTGGACGACAGGGAACATATTATTCACGACGTTGAATCTGTACTCACCTTTCCCTGGTACTCCTTTACCTTATTGAGATGGAAGGAGGCATAGTGGGGTTCAGTATCATAGAACATGCACTTGCCTGCATTGAATCTGGTTATGTTCATCGCCGATCCAGTTGGAATTATCGTCTTTAAGCAGACTCCCTGCTACCCTCTGCTTCTCCCCTCACCAGGGACGCGGAGCACAACAATGCTATAGAATACGAACAATGGACGCCGAAGCCGGGCCTACTTAAGGACTTATAGCATATTGTGCTTTATCCTAAGCTTTCTCGGTCTCGAAGCTACACTTTTCCATCCTAATCAATCAACTTCAAATCAACCGTAAACTCAAAAAAGCCAGTATACAACCGATGATGCTCGAAAGGAGGAGGGCCGCAAGATCCCGACCCAAGTCCATGATGTGCATAATCCAGGCTCAGCAGCAGATTATCACACTCTATGAGTTCATGCGGATGTCTCGCCCGATCTAGCTCCTGCGGCGTATGTCTTCTCGCTGTAAGGTTAAAAGGCCTGTGCTCCATCCTTGCTTCGAGGATCGGAGCACCGTTGATTCCGTCTTCACCCTCAAGTCGTACCCAGGATACCTCCCCGCGACTGCCGTTTTCCTGCGGGACCTCGTACGGGATTTGCAGCTCGTCTATTGTTGTACTGTAGAGCCCGATTCGTCCAGCTTCCTTCTTGTCGCAATATCCCTCGCCCGGCCCCTTGCCAAACCAGGTGATGCGGTTGTACGGCTTAGAGAGTTTAAGATCCAGCCCAATTCGCGGGAGCACATGAGGATGTGGCGAGGCAGACTCCCGACGTTCCAGATCACCCTCGACATGAACCGAAACGGCGCTGAGAGATAAGGAGAAGGTATACTCGAGCGTTGCTCGGATAGCCCAGGTCAGCGTTGGAGGGGCGACTCGCACCTCCGTCGTGACCGTAATGCCTACATCGTGCGAGGTGTCGCTTCGCTTCTTCTCCCAAGTGGCATTGACGACGCTCGAGCGAGCCCAGTCCAACATGCAGACCGTCCATTCGGCACCATTTCCACCAAACCCAAGATCGTTAGAGGTCATGGCGCGGTAGATGCTCAGCTCTGGACCATTTTCCACTGCCACGCCAGATGGTGATGTCCATTTGAAGCCACCACGAACTAGATCGAAGACAATCTGTGCGGTACTGTCTTGTGCTGAGAGGACCAGTCGCCCGGGGGTTGCGTGAATATTCGGGGACTCGTTCACTTGTGTATGCATTGGTGGTCTGGTTGGGATGCAGCTTGCTACTTTACTTGATGCTGGGACATGCATCTGGGCCCAGGCGACTTCATGTCCGGTTGGTGCCCATGCTGTCTGGTTTTTTAGGTTGAATGACAGATTCACCCAAGTGTCCTGGGTGGCGTGCACCTCAAGAAAGTCAAGACACTCCGGTGGTAGCTGCAATATGCCTGTCGAATTAGGAGCAATAGAAGGAAGCTGTAGAGATTTCGACTCGGTGGGCTCCTTGTCTCAAACAGTCACACTCCAGACACCAACAAGGTGAGACAGGTCCGAAAAGAAATAGTGACTCCTGAGTGCCACCTCGCCTGTCTCGCGATTGAAACCCTCTATGGTGACCGGCTCAATTACCTTCTTGTACTCGGCCATCCCCAGACTCGGGGTGTGATCAGATCGCAGGAGCCCATCCATGATAAAGTCAGCATCGTTCAGCTTGTCACCAAAGTCCCCCCCCCCCCACCCGTAGTACGGTGTTCCATCTCCAGTCTTGGTCAAGAGCCCATGACTTGCGAATTGCCAGATGAAGCCACCCTGCAGTGCCTTCTCGCTGCGAAAGATGTCGATATAGTCTTTCAAACCACCGGGGCCATTTCCCATGGCATGGGCATATTCGCAGAGGATCAACGGACGATCGGTATGTTTAGCTGCCCGCTCCTTCAGATCGTCTATTGTGTGATACATGGAGCTATAAAAATCGGCCGTGACAGCCTCCTGGTCTGCCTCGTAGTGGACCGGCCTTGTCGGATCACGCTTCTTTGTCCAGTGGTACATAGCTGCAAGATTCTGCCCGTAGAACGCCTCGTTACCCAGAGACCAGATGATCGTCGACGTTGAGTTTTTATATCGCTCGACAAGCTGCACCGCTCGATCCATGTACGCTTCCTTCCATTCTGGATTATCCGATGTCCATGGCCGACTCTCGACATACACCTGTTCGCGGAACTCAACTCGAGTCATCTGAACTCCCGGTGTTATCCCTGTCCCTGCCAGTCGAGCACGCTCCGGCTTATAGAAGCCATGGCATTCGAGGTCTGCTTCATTGATAATATACAGGCCGAGCTCGTCGGCAACCTCGTACATGCGTGGGTCGTTGGGGTAGTGGGATGTACGGACTGCGTTGATATTGTTCTGCTTCATGATAATTAGATCGCGCCGCATAAAATGGTATGGCACTGTGCGGCCAAGCAGGGGATGGTGTTCGTGACGGTTGACGCCATAGAATATAATGAGTTGACCATTAAGGAGTATGTTCCCGTTTCGGACTTCGACGCGTCTAATGCCGATGCGTTGTGGAATCACTTGAGTCCCACAGGATAGAAAGACGGTGTATAGGGCAGGTTGCTCAGCGGACCAAAGCTTGAGGTCTTTCCCAGAGGCCTGAATCGTTAACGCTTTATCACGGCCGGTGGTTTCACCGAGAAGATTTCCGTCCGGCGAGATAAGCTTGAAAGTGACCGGATCTGCGTTCCCATGCGTCTCAATTGTTGCAGTAACATCGGCTTGCGTGAACGTATCATCTAGACTGGTGTCAATTGTAAAGTCAGATATCCCTTCACGTGGGAAGGCGATTAAGTATACATCGCGAAAAATGCCTGAAAGCCACCATTGATCCTGATCCTCGATGTAAGTCCCATCACAGTATTTATACACGCGTACGGCAACTGTGTTGATAGCAACTCTTTCTTCTTTCAACAAGCTGGTAATGTCGAACTCAGCAGCGTTGCGACTCCCCTGGCTATATCCCACCTGAGTGCCGTTGATCCAGACATGATACGCACTGTCGACCCCTTCAAATCGCAACCTCACGTTGTGATTCTCCAAATTCCAAGAATCGGGCACGGTGAACTTTCTCCAGTACGACCCCGTCTCATTCTCTAGCGGTACATTGGGCGGATCCACAGGAAATGGATAATTCACATTCGTATACTGCGGATGTCCATACCCCTGCAACTGCCACATCCCCGGGACGGTAATATCATCCCATAACTCGGGGTTGTCTATGTCCCAGTCTGGGGCTTCGAAGGGTGAGAGCGCATAGTGGAATTTCCATGCGCCATTCAGGGTCCGGTAGAGCGCACTGTTTTCACGGTTGAACGTCAGTGCGGACGCTTCGTCGGTGTAGTTGTAGAAGTGCGCTCGGGCGGGCAGACGATTGCGCTGCAGCACAGACAGGTTGTTCCAGTCTTGTTTCTCTTTGAAGAGTGACATTTTCTCGAGAAAAGTGAAAGAGATACAGGAGAGGGATACGCGAGAGGGAGGGGGATTTTAACCCGGGGGATGACAGCTTGTCTTATGCCTTACAGTACAAAGGGACGTGGAGATTTGAAGTTGGAGATATTAATGATCAATCACCCGTCTGTACCGCTAGCTAAAGCACTCGATGAGCCCACGTTGGCGGGAATCGCTGCCCCGAAGGCCGGAGATGGCCTCCTCCCACACTTGCACAAGCGGATGACAGACTCAGATAGACTGGGGCTCGAATGCAGACCCCAGGACCTGGAGACTGGCCGACTGACTAGATTGCCCCACCCTAACCCCGCTCGCAATCTATAGAATCGACCATAAGTGAAGCTGTGGAGACATGAGACGGATCATCTAGCTCCCCTAATTTCGCCGCGGCAAAATTCCTGACTTGCCACAGACTCCAACAACTCTTCCCACAAGAGACGGAGAGCACAATATCCCGTTTCCCCGACACTTGTGGCTTTCTATGTCTTGGATGAAATTTACCTTTGGATGTTCTGAGAAACGTCTACAAAATTTGAGTAGGCCGGCGGTTTCCGTTGGAAACTCAAAGAAGAGAAGATAGTATCGATCAGTCGGCCCATGATTGAATCTACCTGCTTTGGAGGTCAGAGGCTCGGTTTCTCCTCCACCGACGCATTATCTCGGTAAGTTATTATCCGTCGCGGCATTATGGGAAGAAAACAATCACCTAAACGGGGTTGTCGGATTACGAGAGCGAGAGGAAGAAAGCAGCAGTGTCTGATGCGGTGACTCTGCGCGCTGAGGTTGATACCATCTGACCAATGTCGGTCAAAGTACTGAAACTAATACCATTGCTATAGTAATCCATAAGGCAGCCCATCTACCAGAACATCCTCTATTAATACGTATTATACTTAATACTTGTCATACTTGAAGGATTCCCTAACCGTCAGCATAACCTCTCCAATCGCTGGCGCCTCGGGCGATCCATCGTCCATCAGGGCGAACTTGTACTCTCCGGTTTCCAAAACACGCTCGTACGAACGGTTGATCACTGGAAGAAACCGATCCACCTCCAGGTCCATTGTGGCGGTCTTGGTCTGTCTAGGCTCAATGTGTAGGCGCGTAAAAGCGACAAGCTGCTTGTTGGCCGTGGTGACAGATGATCCCTCACGTCTCAGAAGATATATCTACTCGATGTGAGGAACATGTCTGCGGAGAAGCTGGTGCCTTTGAGGAGAGAGAAGGGAGGCTCACCTGGGGCACATGGGATCCAGCGACAGTACCGGTGTTCCTGACGGACACGGTGAATTTGATAGTACCGCCGTGGGCAAAAGTGCCGTTGCATTCACCTTCAATTGGCTCGGCCCCCTGCAGTTCCTGAGAGAACGTGGTATATGACAATCCGTATCCAAACGAATACTACGCTTCAGTATTAGTAGGATATACTCAGACCACGAGGCTAAAGATAGAGATCCGAAGCGGACATACTATTGCTGGCTTCGGAATATCGAGGTAATACGGTATGTGAGCGAGATCCTTCGTCGTCCGCTGGCTGTAGCGATCTCTCAGTACAGTTCTTCATGCTTTTGAAGTAACTAACTTGTAATTGACGGGAAGAGCACCCGCATCGTATGGAACGCTCATTGTAAGGCGCCCACCAGGGTTGAAGTTGCCAAACAGCACGTCTGCAATGGCCCGGCCAGATGCTTGACCAAGGAAGCCCTACAGGGGGAGACGTAGAAAACGTTAGCTAAATGGACAGGGAGTAGCAGACTGAAAGGTTGACGGACGGAACTGAGGACTGCAGCAGACTGTGCGTAAAACTCAGGAATAGCAAAGGGCCGACCTCCCTCCAAGACCAATACCACAGGTTTTCCCAAGGAGAAAATCCCCCGTGCAAGTCTTGCTGTGGTATCGTCAGCATTAGCTTTGTAATTACCACGAATTGGTGCATACTCTGATCAGGCGACAGGCCCAGATCCGCTCGATCTCCATTTTCGCCATCGCTATTCCACGCGGCCCCGACGGCCAGAACAATCACGTCGGCATGGGAGGCTACTTGCGTGGCCTGGAAAGGGTTAGCAATCTATTTAGACATGGTTCTGATGAAGAGGGGCAGCTTGACCTGGCCAACAGCATCCTTGCGGTCCACCAAATTCCACCACAACTGAACCCTTGAATGGACTCCAGCAGCGCTTGTGCGAGGCCAGTTCGGATGCACTTCACACTCCACTCGAATTTGATGTTTACAGCCAGGTCTAAAGACAAAATCACGTCCTCCTGGTGGCAGCTCGGTTCCGTGCTCCGTGCTGAACGTGTACGGCATGATCTCTCTCAGGATCGTAGTGCCACTTCCTTCCTCTGTCTGGTACACGAGCTTGCCATCAATATACAACCGGGCGAATGTCTTCGGGAGGACAGCGACACCTAGGGATCCATGTACCGGACTGCTAACCGGAACATCGAGCTGACCTTCCCATACCACGCCGAAACTGGTGGACTCGATGCCAACAGGAGGATACAGACCCCAGTCACGGTTCGGTGTTTCTACCACTTTGTATGCCTCTTTTTTGAAGTCGCTATCCTGGTAGTATGTCGCTTGAAGTCCCCCTGGAGACCCATTTGCAGACAACAGGTAACCAGGAATCGGGTACTGCGCGTTGTAAGTCCAGCTGTTGGCCCCCCACGCAGAGAAAACTTTCACATCCCCCTCTCCGCTTTGTGCCAGATGTTCAATGATACCTTGACGGATGGTACTGGCTCTATCTGTCGGGTTAGCTCCCCATGTGCCCGAGTAAGACCCGAAATTGAAGTTATCTGCGAATGGTCCAACCACGGCGATCTTCTTGATACCCTTCTCGGATAGCCGAAGTGGAAGTGTTGAGTTGCGATTCTCCAGAAGGAAAATGGACTTCTGGGCGGCTTCAAGGGCAAGTGGGATGTGATTGAGCGTGAATTCCTGGGATTCGATATCATCGTCCATGTATGGATTTTGGAAGAGGCCTAGGTCATACTTGACCTCTAGCACCTTTCTGACGCGCTCCTGGAGTGTTGCCAGGTCGACTTCTCCGTTCTTGGCGAGTTCCGCGATCGACTGTCTTGATGGTCAATGAAAGTCAGTCGCTGGGTCCGACTCACTTACGCTCACAATGATATCCGGTGTAAAGTCGTACAGGAAAATACCACCACCAGCGTTGAGCCACTGGCGAATAGCATCAATTGGCGATTTGGCAGTGAGATGACCAGTCACTTGTTCCTCGAGTCCTGTTAATCGTTAGAGCTATTGAATAATTGCGGGTAGATGATCCTATACCACACCAATCCGAGATAACAAAGCCTATACAAGAATGTTGTTAGCAATGTATCTTCTCGTAGAGAGGTATATCACACCGTCATAGCCCCATTCCTCAAGCCGATCGTACAGGAACGGGTCGAGATGCGCAGGGATGTCATCGACTGCCGTATAAGACCTATTCTCGCATTAGGAAGCAGTAATGCAGGGGTGGGAGGGACACAATAAGCACATCATACATCATGACACCTCTCACACCTCCTTCCCCTTGCTCGATCGCCGCTTTAAAGGGTGGTAGGACCTCGGTCAACAGCTCGCGGCGACCACGGCCTGACCACGCATTCGAATGCAATCCCCCCTGGGGAGCTCCGTGACCAGCGAAGTGCTTCAAAGATCAGATCCAAGCTCCTCATATGTTGTGATTGGGTTGAACTACCTTGATAACTGCAGGGGTTGCGTCGTTATCAGCTATAGCGCCATCCTTTGACAGACCCTGGGTGTATGCGACGCCCATATGGCTGACCAGAACGTAGTCTTCGCCGAATGTCTCTGTATAGACTCAGACTTAGCAACGGCAACGCCCTTCAGGTAAAAGATAAATAACACAATGGTACCCTGACTTCTCCCATAACGAGGCTCCTTTGCAATGTCAAGCACTGGCGAAAAGTTGGCATGGATCCCAATGGCCCTCGCTTCAGCTCCGAGAGCACGTCCGACACGTTTCACAAGATCCAGATCAAAGGAACTTGAAAGTGACAGAGCCTGAGGGAATACGGATTGCCGGTTTGAAAAGACGGAGTGTAGACATTCACCCATTGATATGAACGGGATCCTGAGGCGGGAGGTCGATAGGTTCAGGGCTTGGAGGGCGTTGTACTGAGATGGAGACGTGGGATACCTGGTAAAAGGACATAGTCAGGTCACACACAAGAGAAAGATGAGACTAATGAGCAGATACCAATCGCAGATGGCACCCAGTCCAGCGTCGGGGGCGAGATGTAAAAGCTTTGCTATATACTGTTAGTTTAGATTTACACTATGTAGACTGATTCTCTGAAATACCAAGCCCCTCATGGTCAGATTTCTCGCCAACAACCCAGTTGCCAGACATAAGGGGGAGCTGAAATGCTGTGATCTTCTGTTAGCAGTGGGATTATAGCGGAAATGAGTAGACGGGGAAACTTACCCAACTCTTCGACAGTCATGTGCGCCAGCAGATTGTCTAGGTATGTCTTCTTGTCTTCGAGCGAGACTGTGCTCGGCATCGGCCTGGATTCGGTCATTGTAGGTGGTGATAAGGGATATCACGCGAACTTGTATAATGGTACGAGGAATAGCCTCCGCAGGCCTCATGTAGAAGGGTGGATTTATTTATCTTCCTAGGAGGAGAGCTTTCCAGCTAGGAACCTCAAACAAAGCCAACCGTATTAGCTCGATAGCCGGTCGGAGCTTGGCAATTCGAGGCAATTATGGCGCCTGAAGATGGAGGCTCGGTCTATTTCTTATTGGAGAAGTCTAATTTCCCCGTTCTCAGGGAGTGTCTCCACAGTATTTGTTAAATCTGCGCATGGGCTGATTCATGCATTAACTATTCTTCTCCACTATTCACCACCTTCTCTGCTCACACAGCACCGGAACCGTGTCTATTGATTGCGAAGCCAACTTCTCCGACGCTCGGGAGTCTAACCTAGCAAGAATATCGACCAAAATATTCAATTGTGTCAAGGCGCGATGGCGGCCGATACTATTGTTCGAGCCCTGCGTGATTGACAGCAGAATACTACCCACAGCCCGTGTGAGTTCAACCTGTAGGGCACTGTTAGTGTGATCCATGATCTCCTCCGTACATATTTCTGTTGCCTACCTCCGGTTCCCCAAGCTCTAACAAGTAGTGTAATTCCACACTCTGGAGATTATGGATGAAATCACGGGCTATGTTGACTTGCTCCCTTGCAAGCGTCTCGTCGTCATCCCAGAGGCCAACCACTGAAGCAAATCCAAAATGTCTACACTCGTGGATGACCCTCAGCTTCGCGTAATAGTATGCGGATAGTAACCGGTATCGTTGCGAGATGTAGCACTGCCTCTCGACATCAGTGGCATTAGTGTTTCCTTGTCCGAACACTACTGGCGGCTGTAGAACATGTGGCATATCATCGAGGGATGCTGCGAACCGAGAGTACATGAGGGCGAGACTTGCGATTTGTTGCATTCCGTTGACAGTTGAGGGTCGATGTTCCTCGAGGCCCGTCCAGCAGCGCGAATTGCCCGCATCAATCGCGCCGCCAGTTCCCAGGTTCTTCGTATCTGGTGGAAGCTCTGGGAGAGGCTCTGTTCAAATGGGCCTACTGTATTCGTCTTTCCAGCACCCATCAGTGGAACCTGGTGCGTTCCTTCCAAAAGGTCCATCTCTGTATCGAACAAAGGCTCGTGGAGGACAAGACCCCGATTCTGCATACATTCTGCCGCCGCGTCAGCCATATAAAGGGACCAGAATGCATTCCGAAGCATGGCTGCTTCTAACGGGCTGTACTGGCTGACAACACTCTCACTGTGCAGTCGCATCCGCCGGGCTATGAGCCCGGCTTCACCCACAATATGCCATGCTAGACCAGTCTCTCCACTGTGTTGTTGAAAGCTCGTCGACAGCAGCATACGGATCTGCAGAGAAGTGGCATTGGGATCTCTTCTATCATCGTCTTCGTACTCGTGGAGCATACTGCGCGCGGCTACCAGAAACTTGGGGGCTATGATTGCCCCAAATGGGAGGGTGGATCTTGCATAGATGAAGGACTGAGTCGCACAAAATGCCGTTAGAACTGCAAATGCTCTCATAAGAGCAAGGAGTCCTGCATCATGATCCCCTTCGAGGCTCGGGAGTGTATCTTGGCCCTCGCGACCAAAGAAGTAGGCCGCACTTGCACTCAGGCTTGCCTCATGCAGGATCGGAAAGGAGCGTCGAAAATAGAGAGAGATGCAGTGGTGAGCTATCCTGCTCAACGAAACGCCAGGCAGCTCATTGTCGACGCTCTCTGCGAGTTTGTTTCTCAGCCTGATAATTAGGCCAAGCCCATAGTGGCGACTTTCTGCGAGGTGGAAAGAGGGTGCTGGTGCGTTTCGCTCCGAAAATGTGCCCCCGACGCCGAGTCCTTGGGCCCTTTGGGCCACGTTTCCCCACGGGGAAGTCATAGGAGCAGGTTCGGGATGAAACGCGGCAAAATGAACATGGATCCGCGGAGTCACACTGCAACAATGAGCCTCGCTCTGTCCATCGGTGGACTTTAACCCGAGACTTGACTGTACCTACCTTGATCTTTCGCTTCCGGCAGTTATCACAGGCACGCTTTTGTTCCGCAGACAGAGGCATGTCCGCCGCTTCTGAACTCAGATTCCGGGGATAGTAATTTTAAATTCTCCGCGAGAGGATTCTTTGCCCTTTTAAGTCTGCAGGGAATTTCCCCGAAATCTGGAGAAGGAAAAGAGGGCACCAATTAAAAGCGTGCCAATTCCTCCGCGGGGAAATCCACCCGACTTAGCACATAGTCCACATGCCCTTCTAGGCGCATTCCCGGGCTCGTGGTGAAATTAATTTATTCCAACAGAAGGCGACTAGTGGAAGAGGTCAACGGCTCCAAAATTACCAATCGAGTGGTACCAATCGCTAGCTGTGCAGGATGCCGTCTCCCCACGGGGTAGGTATGCCGTTGATATACGCTTCTCCGACATCAGTTGCCTTCCTCCATTATATACAAGATTCTCAATAGCCGGACAGGCTCACCCACACGGCACACGTTTCTTATATAAAATCCCCTCTAATCCGGTATCCAGTCCACACACTCAAGCATCCTACAAAGCATCCTCTACCCCCCTGAAGGTTGCTACCATCGCAATGGCTACCCCCGTAGATAGCAAGCCCAGAGTCGAGAAGTCCGTCGCCCACCAGGTGGATCACGACGTTGAGCAGACACTCAAGGGAGAAGAAGCTGCCCGCGAGGCGATGGAGCGAGGTCAGGGCAAATCCGGCCTGGAGCATCTGACTCCTTTCGAGACCATCAAGACATTCAAGTTCGCCACTGCCGTGGGTGTTATCGCTAGTTTCTGCGCTGCTACCGAAGGATACCAAGCTGTGTGAGTGCGAAAGACCCATTGATGGGGATACTTGCTATGGGCTGACAATTTCCCTCTCCATAGCATGAACGGAAGCATCATTGCCAACGCCGGCTTCGTGCACCAATTCGCCACCAAGATCAATGCGGAGGGGGAGCAGTACCTTGAGTCGCCTATTATCACCGGCTGGAGCATGGTCATGACAATCGGCCAGATGATCGGATTAGCGGGTGCTCCATTCATCTCCGGAAACTATGGCCGTAAGTGGGCCATGTACACCACCATGATCTTTCTTCTTGCCAGTGTCCTCGCCGAATCCCTGGCTCGTAATTGGGGGGTCTGGCTAGTTGGCAAGATGTTGGCAGGCTTTGGCGTAGGAGGAATCCAGGCAATCTTCCAACCATACCTGCCCGAGATTGCCCCGGTACGCATTCGCGGTGCCATCACAATGCTGTACCAGTTCTGGTGGGCGTTAGGTTCCTTCATGGGGCAGATCGCCCTACGTGAGATCAACGAGCGTACCCCATATAAGTATCTGACAGCGATTTACACCCAATGGGGCCATGTCGGTTTCATGTTTATTATCTTCCTTGTGTTGCCCGAGACTCCCTCATGGTATGCCTCCAAGGGCCGAGAGGCAGACGCAAAAAAGACCCTTAAATGGCTGTATGGCAGAGCCGAGATCTATGATGTTGACCACCAATACAACCTGCTGATGATGCTCCTCGAACACGAGCGAGCCCTGGCAATCGAGCAAAACCGCGAACACTGGTACGCCATCTTCCAGGGAATCAACGGCCGCCGGACGTTGATTGCCGGCTGGTGTCCGCTCGCAATGCAGTTGATCGGCATGAAGGTTTTTCTCACCTTCGGTACCTACTTCTTTCAACAGGCTGGAATTTCACAGCCTTTTACGGTCAAATGCATCACCAGCTCCATTCAGATCGCAGGAGTCATCTTCAATATTCTCACCATCGAGAAAGTCGGTCGTCGCCCGCTTGCTTGTATTGCCTGCACAGTGTGCTGGATCTGTTGTATTGTGGTCGGCATCCTAGGTGTAACCCCCGAAACCAACGCGACGACCTACGTCTTTGTCCTCTTCGCATGCATCTGGAGTACATTCCTTTTAAATCCCCAAGCAAATCCACTCTGACCCTGTCACTAGACTTCTGCCTAATATCCCTTGGTGCCGCGGCGGCCGGCACCGTCGGCGAGATCTCCAATGAACGCCTTCGCCCTTACACCGCGGGCTTTGCCCAGCTCATGTCATGCCTTTGCGGAATCATTATGGACGTCCTCGTTCCGTACATGACCAACGACAACAAGTGGGGGTGGGGCTACAAGACCGGCTGGTTCTATGCTGGAACGGGGGCGATCGCGACTGCTGGTGCTTGGTACCTCATTCCGGAGACCAAGGCGTAAGTGATCTTGATCATGCTCCGGGTATACTCACGCGTTACTGACGCTTTCATAGCCGGACTGCCGCCGAGTTAGACGAGCTCTTCGATAGGAAGATCCCAGCCTGGAACTTTGGCAAGACCGAGACTGCCACGCAACAACTGATCAGGTCGAAAGACGTCGTGGAGAAGTAATTGCGCCACGGAATACGTTCGTCGTCATATGCTGTTGCAGCCCTAGAGGTAGTACACCTGACAATCGCGGATGAACGATTTAAATGACCCGCTTTGTACAGATATTGATGTTGAACTTGAGGCTTAGGGTGGATGTCCGGGATCCTTGTCTCAGCAGTGAATGGTTCTGCATCCGGCTTCTATAATTCTGAGTCCTGTAGATTGCGCTTCCAGGCCATCCGTAGTCTAAGAGGCCTCAAGGCTCCAGCCGGAGACCTTGGCATGGCCAACGAAATGGCCGTTTGCCGTCTCGGCTTCTTTCTAAACAATGCAATCCACTCTCGGACTTAATAGTGCAATTCAAAACCCGATTCGCTATTCCAGCTGGCATGTAGCACGAGAATTGCAGCAAAGGTGACGAAAGTAAATTTCTGACAGAACGAAGAAGTCCCAGACGGACAGGGTGTCGATCCCATGACAAGGCTTGAATTTCGCTGCAGCATTAGACCAAGAGACCGAGCAGCAATACCAAGTTCGATGCAATCTGGGAATTGCCCTTTTCGTTCTCTCGGTTTCAATCTGTACTGGTTCCGGCACTGGGAGGGCCTTCCCTCCTTAACCCCCCTGAGAACTTTGGAAGCTGGAGGCTGCATTTTCCAATTGTCAAATCCAATGACATTCCTCAATTACTGATTCAAACTGGCAACTCAGGGGTATTCCAAGAGCCGAGCCCGAAGCTTAAAAGCATCAAGAGCTAGTTCTAGTTGAAGGATCTGAACTTCGATATATTTGTTGAGTGTGGATCTTTCGACGCCGGTGCCAGAGAACAAGACGAGGATAAATGGTCCACCTACTTCCAGTGATCCCCCATTTTGAGTTTATTTCATATCCAGCACGAATACCCTGCAAACTCATGGTATATCGAAAGACTCAACTCCGAGAAAATCTGGTGCAGCGAGTTCGCAACAATATATAAGTAACTCTAGGCTCTCTATCGATAGTGAATGGGCTGGGTTGTTGCCCGAACTAGTGCCGGTGGTCATATATCCTTTCAACCGATCCTCTTGGCGCAAAATACAAGTTGGAAACTGTTTTGGCAGACTGTTCTTGTTCTCACTAAAAGGTTGATATCATCCGTCTGTAATCGAGGAGAAATGTTGAGGAAAATGGTTTGCTATATAGATCAATAACCGCCCGACCCACTATAACTAGCAAATGGGGTGATAGCTCAGTTGGGAGAGCGCACGACTGAAGATCCACTCAGTCAATCAGATTTATCTGGTAATCGTGAGGTCACCGGTTCAATCCCGGTTCATCCCATTATCAACTTCTTTTTTAATTTTTATTGATTGACATTTTGCCATTTCAAGCAAGTAAAAACACTTCCCGGACTACAATAGACATGACCCTACTACTCCAAATCCACAGGATACCTCATTCTCAACTCCTTCCCAAACCTCCACATAACCAGCGAGACGCCCCCAAAGCCAACCGCCAAAAGACCAAGGAGCGTGTTTCCCCATCCGTAGCCGAGATGTTCGTACATCTTGGGTCCACTGAGCGGGAGCAGCCCGCCGGCTATGCCTCGGAAGAGGCCGCTTGCTGCTAGAGCGCTGGCGGCGTATATAGAGAACGCGTCGATGAGGTAGTTGTTTATGGCGTTCTGTCGTGCTACTTAGTATGTTGTGCACTCGAGATATGAATTTGGAGGGGCTTGGGGATTGACAAACGTACGAATGAGAACACTAGACCTACACCAAAGGTTCCGGTGCCAATTAGGGGGGCGATCCAGTGGGATTTGAAGTGCACTGTCCACCCGTAGATGAAGAGGCTCGCAGGGAGAGCTACTGCTGCTGGGAGGAGGAAGAACAGTCGGGATCTGAGTGGTATGGTATGTATTTGTTAGTGGAAGAATAGTACAAGTAGTTAGCAGATGGGATTGGTAGACATACTCCGGTTGATGGGCATCGTCTGTCCGTTCTTTCTTCCGTTGATAGATACGATCACTATACCTGCCCGTTATGAAGACGCCGATGAAACATCCAATTCCAAGACTGAGCGAACATAGTCCCAGTGCACCCTCTCCCCAGCCGTATACGTCTTGAAACACCAGGGGCATGGACGTGAGAAGGAGATAGGTGGTGCCGTAGACGAAGGCGAGGTAGAGAGATGCTATGATCAAGATAGGACTGGCGGCCAGCAAAATAATTGGTCGTCGGAGGGCACGTCCCAGTTTCTGGGCGAGGGGGAGCTGGTGTGTCCTGCCTCGAGCCTGGAGTTGGCTGTTGCCTGTTTCTCGGCGCAGTTGTGCTGCCTTGCGTTGTAGCAGAACAGGACTGTATGTCTCTCTCAAGACAGCGAAGCTAATAATAGTGGTCACGCCGCTCTGTTGTATGTATGTGTCAGCGTCTATGGTTGTATCTCCAACTCACTATAATGGCCATACCAAGATCGTTATCAACCAGAAAATCCACCGCCAACCCATGCTTTCGGCCAGGAAGCCGCCTGCTATCGGAGCCAGTGCTGGCGAGAGAATTAAAGCTGCTCCAAAGACGCTGTTGATTCTATCTATCCGTCAGCATTGTTCAGGTCCCCCATTACCAATGGTACATCCATACAAACCGCGTCGCTCACGGGGGATCATATCGGCAATTGTACCTCCCGCATTTGTGACTGGAATACTTCCGGATAATCCAGCCAGGAAGCGAAAAACCAGCAATGCCGAAGCGCTGGGCGAGAGCGCACAACCTACTGCGAAGCCGGTGTACGAAATATTGCCGACATGATAGATCCAGGAGCGTCCGTACGTCTCGGACAACGGGGCAAGAACTAAGGGTCCGACCGCAACACCGATAATCTAGAAAAGAATTGGCACAGAATCCTGGATGGTTGTGGTCCTGGGTTCTGCTCACATAGATTGAAACGGTGAAGGTGATTAGGGTTGGGGAAGAGTTTTCGAATTCGGCTTGGATCTGCCCCAGAGCAGGAGACATCATCGAGGAAGCGAGCATTCTGGCCAGAGATAGATGTAAGCGAGAAGAATAATCACAGGCATAAGGGCTACATACGACGTGAATCGGCATGCGGTTACCACTGCAATCATGCCGACCTTTCGGTACTTTGGCCAGTTCAAAGGCATGTCTGGGTCATTTGAGCCTGCCCAATCAACCACATTTGCATCCATTGTTGAAGTCGATGAGCTAACACCGCGTCCATTGTTCCCATCGTGATCCTTGTTTTTGGGATTGCTCAATGGGATTGAGGATATGTTTATGGTGGTCCCCGAGTCCTTTCTATCAGGTTTTATCATCATGCGGGACGAAGCAGATAATTAACAGTGTTCACTTAGAGGCAAGTGCCCAATAGACTCACTGATTCTAAAAAATGAAAGTTTAGAAGGAGTGATTGGAAGATGTTACTTGAAAATGAGATAAGGCGACAGACGATGCCGGATCACGGTCGACTATTTCCCTTGCATCGAACTATTCTTTAATAAACTGCAGGACTAATGCATAGTCAGGTCCTATGATCGTCAACAGTGTCTTCCTTATAAGGCTTACGGTGACGGACATGTCCGACACAAGAACTTATTTCCATCATTGAGCTGACAAGTCATATTCATTTTCGGTTTTCTGGAACACAAAGATAACTAAAATACAAACAAATCTTTGTGCAATTGTCTGTACACAAAAACGATGCTCTTCTCAATCTGTCGCACTAAAGCCGAAGTCTCTTCGATTTCAGAAATAGGTAATCAGGCATAGCCTCTCGCACACTTGCTTCTATCCTGCGACCGACCTCTTCTCCGAATTCTTCCCGCCATTTCACTGAACCCTTGTCCAGATCAACTTCGCCTACGGCCCTTGAGGGATCAATCTTCGTAGATTCATAGAGAGTTCCTCGAAACGCCTGCCACTCTGGAGGTTCATCGGTACATTTCGTGTCCCAAGTCAGGCGAACCCTAGAGCTGTCTAGACCAGTGATCTCGCAGAGCTTAACCAGGATTTCTGGCTGAAAGATGATGTCATCGAACTCAATAACCACAGGCCATGTTCCTTGGTCTTGTTGAGATTTGGAAAAGTGCTGCGCGTAGAAGTTGTACAGTTTGCGCACACATCGCAGAGCCATGGCCTTTTGACAGAATTTGCGGCCTTGGTCGGATTCAACAAAATCAGAACCGTGAGCCTTGACCAACGCGCGATAGAATGAAGGAACAGCTGCGCCAGGGTGCTTGATCAGGAAGACAGGTTTCCATGTCTTCAGAAAGTCGTCCGTAAACAAGGTTTCGTTGAGTTCTGAGCGACCGATGTCCGTCTGTTCCAGCTCGTCGGGCCCGCGTAAAGTCCAGGGCAATTCGTCGGTAACACTGCCATCGCCGTGAAATAAGCGTGTCTCGGAAACTGGCTCTGTAATGTAGTGCGCGTGATCTTTAAAGCAGACCATTTTCCCTTCCTGTTCGGCGTTTTCGAGATGTTGGAGCAGACGCTTGTAACCATCTTTGATACATCCAATTTGTTCTTCTTTTTGGTCCGGTGGAAGGGCCTGTACATGTGTTCCCATGTGCCCGCTCTTAAGCTTCAAAGATAGCAGGGGAACGAAGAAGCGCATTCCATTAATATCGGGCTTATCCTTGCGCTGAACATTTGGTTGATCCTCCAGTGCGAGGAGCTGGGTGAGAAGATTGGATCCAGTTCGGTGATATGTAAAAAAATACACTCGTGCAGAAGGTTTTTGGGTGTTCATTTTACTCTTTGGTGCGGAGTATGGAAGCGCAATTTCTGTCCGTAAAGTGTAGAGAGTGAGGGGGCGGATTCGGGAGAAGGGAGATTTTTGGTCGTTGCTCAGCTGCACCCGTCGGAGGTTATATAATAATTATTGGAGCTTGCAGCATTTAAAATATTGTTAAGATAATATTCATGACAGGTATGAGCAAAGCTAACCATGACGGATCCCGGCATGCTCCTAAATCCTTTGACCGCCACTTGCATTTCACTTGTAAAATTAACTCTCAATGAGTTAGCTATGCTACGAGATCTTACTTCGCGTGCTCTCGCAAGAATGACAGTAATCATCCGATTCAATTGCATATACCCACTGCATTATCGATTATTTGCAACCACGACGTGTCAAGATATAGCTGGCCGGTATATATTGTCAAGAGCCCCCTTACTGATTACGGTATTGACTACAATTGACACGTATAGGCTGAAAGTGGCAGGTGGTATGTGCCGACTCTTCCTTGCGTAGTGGGAAAAGGGGAAGCTTTGATCGACAGTATTGCTGCAGGGAATCTGAACCCATTTCTGCGATCCGTGGGTAGGATGCAGCTGAGCGGATCGCCAGTATTTTGCTTGCAGTCAGACATCACTTATTCAATCGCATCGATCATTCCCGCGCCATCTCGCAGCCTTCTGCCTACTTGCTATATTTGACACCGAAGAGACTTGAGGCTCTATGTCGTCGATTAAAAGGTCGTCATGTTTGGTCAAGTTGATAAAGCAGGAGCTTATTGTAGACAAATAGAATGAACTGTGGCTTATTTCAGGATCGAACACGAATATCCATCAATATGAGAACCCTCCAACGTGTTTTGGTACATTTTATTGCGGTGGCACAGTATCGTTATGCGACCAACAGCTATATCTCAGCTTTCAAACTAGGGGCCAGACAAGAGTGCCGAATCCCGAGCAAGATGTGTTAAGCAAAAAAGGAAAGGCCCATGGGGCAGATCTGGACTCAGGATCTAATTATTTACACCTGGTCAAAAGCAATAGCATAGCTTGAAGCAATTATATGCGGCAGGAAACCTATAATATCCATGGAAATGACAGTGATCGGTTTGATGTAACTTGCAATAGGAATTCCCGCGTGCTCCGCGAAAAGCAACGCGGCGAGATAACCAACGAGAGCCTGAGTGGATGGTAGAATATTCTGCCTAGCCCATTGAAGATCTTTTCGATGACGGAAAATCGTCAACAGATGTAGATCTAATTGGAGACGGCTGGCCAGGATTAAAGCCAGATATGTCGAAGGAGTTACAGCGAGCTCTGGGGTTTCAAGAACCTGCCGGAAACCCCATTCGAAGCAGTTGCTAGCATGTAGCAATGGAGAAACAGGCATATTATACCGGGGTGTCTTTTCAGCACCGGCGAAATAATGGAAGATAGGCTACACAAAACGGTCAGGTAATGTTCAGCGGATCGGGATTCAAGATCGCTAATGCGGAAACTTACTTCACACGCAATCTGGATCACCGGTATCAATGGATACCAGTTGCATGAGACGACCTTGACCAGAAAAAGGTACAGCCACAGATTCCCAGTTGCGGCAATGAAGCAGCGTGTCCAAGAGATATCAACCATGCTCCTTTGCTTGACAAACTCAGGCATGGAACCATGTCTGGCGCTGATGCGCCGGCCAGAGAATAGTATATGCAATCGATCCGTGATTGAAATGAAAGATGTATAAAAAAGATTATTACCCCAGAGCATAAGATCTTAGGCATTTTGTAATGTAAAGAAGTGGCAAAGAGACAGAAATCAACATTGCCAGCATCACCATTCGGAGGCTAACGAAATATTGGAATTGCTGTATAAGAAAACGGTTGAAGTTGAACACGATAGCTGTCGCGACGAGAGCATGGCCAGTGGCAGAGCTAAAAAAATATCGATATACTGTGAACGCCCGGCGCTTCCCTTAACAAAGGTGGGCTAATTAGCAGTTAATTCTTTAGTGAAATCCTGTAATTGATAGTCGGTACCTGATCGGTTTTGGTTGCAACCGACGTAGAAGCGCCTTGCTCCGTGAATAGCCCTGCAACCCAGGAGAAATACAGCAGCCAGAAGAGATAGGAACTTTGAGCACATAATATCAGGAGCCAAGAGTTTCGGATTCGCGGGTCACTTATGTCAAAACACATCAGGACATCTTTGATCGGTAGGTTTGTCATGGTACTGTGGAGTATGTCAGATCTATTACATGCGTCTATTTGGGCGGAGCCTGGGACTTTACCTTTTTCTTGGAGTCATATTGCCCATAATTTTAGCATTAGAACACCAAGCAAGTTCGAGCGTGTATTAGAATGAAGGGGCACACTGAAGATCAACAGGTAGAGGCAAGTCCATGAATATTGCCTACAGAAGGAAGAGCTAGCAGGTAAACTTCTAGACTTGATTCATATTGGGTATTTATATCGGATGTGTCAATGTTGAAATTGAACCGTGCATATTTTTACAGAAGAGTAAGTCAAAGAGATAATAATGTCGGAAACGTATATCATATTAGATCTACCGTCTAGACAAATGAACTCTAATAGATTATTACACCGCCGGTTTAAGTTCGGTCTTCGTCCCCCTTAAGTGTCTTCTCTTTAGCAAAGCTCTCTAGATAACAATACTGTCAACCTTATTCTCGGATACAATAGAAACGCAGAGATTCTAAAACCGTGACAAATAATGTTTTTAACCATCTCACTCCTTTCCATACTATTGGTAACCTACCTAGTAAGACGGCTCTGCTATCAGCGTTTCGAACAATTCGCTCCATGGCCTCAATTGAAACCCTCCCTCCTTTGGGGTCACCTAGGAAATATTCAAGATGTCGTCACAAATGGACCACTAGACATGCATATTGGTAAGTCCTTTGCTTCTGGCTGCTGGGAGTGGTTAGCTGTCCAGCTAAGATATCAAGATAGACTACATATGTCGAGAAATCTCTGAGAAGCTGGGTAACCCACCAGCTTTTGTACTGGATCTTCGTCCAGTAACCTTTCCTCTTTGTGTCATATGTAGCCACAAGCTTGCTGAGCAGGTGTCTATGAGATCAAAGAAATACCCTTATAGCTTACCTAAGAGTGCTCTGGATTCGTCCTATGCTGCTTTGCTCGGACATCGTCCTCTTCTTACCATGCAGGTTAGTGAAACATTCTCCAAGTCATTATTTCCCTGTTTCGAAGAGTCTACGTTACTCGAACGGCGATAGAAGTCATTCAGACTGGAAGATATGATGGAAATACTAATCTGCGTCAACTATATCATTCAGGGTGAAGAATGGAGAACGATGCGCCAACGACTCAACCCAGCCTTCTCTAAAAGCCACCTGACAACGCTGATTCCGTACTTTCTCGGGCATATTTCCCCCTTTCTCGAATGTTTGGACCGATATTCTAGAGACGGCGCAGATTTCCCTTTACAAGAGCCACTTGCGGCTCTTACCTTGAATATCATGGGTATGTGGATAGCTTCAGGTAATATGCGCCCATCGGGCTAATACCGGCGCTTTATAGGGACTATACTAATCGGTGCAAGCAACAATTCACCTGGAATGGATCGACAGCATGAAATTATGTTGGTCTTTAGCGAGCTACATTCTACCTATAGCTTCGATCCAAATGTCCCTTCGTGGTCCACTAATCCACTGGTCAGATGGCGGAGAAATCGATCAGAGAAGAAGCTTAACGCTCTATTGAAACAACTAATTCACAAATTCTATGAACAGATAAATACTGAATCAGATAAGGGTTCCGTCGTATACACAAACTCCCGCAGTGTTCTTGCATTGGCCTTGAAGGATGTGGAACATCTAACGACCGAGGTTATTGAGCTAGTGTGCGACCAATTCAAGATCCTACTCTTTGCCGGCTCCGACACTATCATTCATTTGCTAGCCTGGTTGTTCTACGAGCTTAGCATCACTCCACATGCGATGAAAGCCTTATGGGATGAGCTTGATTACATTTTTGGGCCGGACGCTGAACCAAATATTCTCAAAGACAAGCTTCTTTCCAACACAGCCGACCTTGTCGGCCGCATGCCATATGCCTCTGCACTGATCAAAGAGACGTTAAGAATGCATCCCCCAGGTGGTACATGTCGAACAGTGCCCTTGAGATCAGGCGATTTCCTCCGAATGCCGGATGGTAGCGACCTGTGCATGGATGGCCTATCTTTTTACAACTGTCATAGTATAATCCACCGCGATGAAGAGGTCTGGGGGGACACAAAAAATACTTTTCTTCCGGAACGCTGGCTTAGTCCACTTGACGCCAGTTCATCACTGAACCCGGAAACCGTGGAAAAGCCAGATATTTCATCTGCGCCGGGCGCACAGATACCACCAGGTGCCTTTCGTCCTTTTGAACGAGGTCCCAGGAACTGTATTGGTCAGGAATTGGCGCTCATCGTTCCATATCTTGTTCTCATTTTTGCTGTGAGGAGGTACGATTTCAGCAAAATAGGGCTCGGTCAAGTTGCTCGCAATGCAAAGAACGAACCCATCTTGAACTCATCTGGGCAATATGAAGTCAGGTCTCAACTGTATAATGTGAGTTAATACCACTATCTGTCTTGTTTTTATCAGTGGAATAGACACTAACTAGAATAGGCGAGGCGGATGGTTCCCAAGCCAGTAGACGGGATGCGAATGCGCGTCAAGCTTCACCCCAACAATTAATACACTCACCAGAGCGTGATGGCAAGTAGCCCAAATGACGTTTCATCTTTATTACTTTAGATTCCTTATCTAGGACCTTTTTGTAATTCTTAATAAAGAGATTCGAAGTGTTTTGTGCTGCGTCTTGTTTTTTCTACAACTTGATATGTAAAGCTTCATTATCCAACTGTGTATGTCGATGGATGTCACGAAGATACATGTGTCTTTTCTCTAGTTCTCTGCCTAGTGGGCATCTTTGTTATTGATATCAACCGGCACAGCCCCGGCTAAGGCGGTCTAGTACCCAAGTATTGGACGGATTAGGGTCCTTTTGGGATTATTTGGGGATCATTTATTAGAGATGATATTTTTTTCGATTTTCCCCCCTATTTTATAACCTTATCTTGTATTACAAGTAGTATTTTAGAGATGTGTCAAAATCCAGTTTTCTGCCACCTGATTGACTTCAACCCCTGCCTTAGGTAGTGATTTCTGGTCACGTGGGGTGTGTCGGTAGCCACAGGGGTGAGAGGGTTCCTAATATTAATTGGTGGATTAAAATGCTTATATAGTGTGTAATGGAGATGTTCACTTCTGAAACAAGAGCCGTAACCAGTGGGTCTCGACTCTAGACTTCATATATAGCGGCCTTCGGTCGGCACAGATTGAGAATTTCAGTAGGCGCAGTAAGTATGGTTAAAATACATTATCCAATGGTTAAGATAGCTCAATCTTGACATTATACTGTCCCTCAATCTTTGAGGAATCCGCTCAGGATACTCTGCGACAACCACTTTGCATCTCTCTGAGCAGCCCCAACGAAGAATTCATTCGCATGTTGATGTACTTCGCGTACTCGTGCATCAGTCATGTCTCCAATAATTATGCCGAACTTCTCCCAAATTACAATAAGAATGGCGATCACCCCGGCCATCTGAAAGACTAACTCTTCACTTACGTGGCCATACCCACGGATGAACGCACGCAACATAAACTCAGCGGACGGCGTATCTTCAAACTGCCATTGAATATAGAGGCACGAGACCATAGAGGCCAAGTCCTTGGTGATACAACCATACCGGCAGAGCTCCCAGTCAACAAGAGCAAGGTTGATGTCGTCCTGTTTGCTTTCCTGGTAAGGCTGCAGTAGGAGACTTCGCTCGTGAAAGGAATCAGTTAGTTGCTACAGGCAGTCAATCGGGCGAGTATGACGTACTTTCTCGTGCTGAAATCTCCGTGGACAACAGTGAGCCGGCCAGTATAATGCTGGGAAAAAGCTCGCAAGACGCTCTCTTTAGCGAGTGGATCGTCGTGGAATGCACTCATGACCATCTCAAATCCCCTTTTTGAAGCCCTCATATCGACTGTATTCTCATGTAATTTTGCCGATACTTCTTGATCAATATGGCTCCAATCTCGGGAGTGAAACTGAGAAAGCCATTCCCCAAGGCTTTCACCAATGCTCATCGCTGTTGAATGGGGAATTGCTTTGTTGGAATAGAGATGGTCCCGCAGGGTGCCGCAATTGGGAATATCCTCTATGACCCGGATATTGGTGTGTTTGTCGAAATAGAGGTGATACGGGGGACGAATCGAGACATTGGCATGCTGGAATAAACTGCCACGCATAATCGCAAGTGATGAGGCTTCCGCGGCCTAGTACTAGAGTCAGTGGTCATAGTGTTAATACTTAAAGGGGACACAGACACTTACACAGCGAGACAATGGTAAGTCAAGTTTCCCTGTCTTTTCATATGGCAGAGAATGCTTGACGATAACACTTCTTCCATTATCTGGGAGTGGCGAATAGAGACTTCCTCGAAAGGTAAAGTTGCCTAATCCGCCACTCAATTGTTCCAACGAGTGACATCTATAGGGTGTTTGAGATAGTGACTCAATAACATGAGTCTCAAGATCTGGTCTTTGCTCAATTTGTTGATCCGCCGGGACGGTATCATCTCTGATGGCCATTGTATGTATTTCTGAGGAGGCAGACACAAAATGGAAAACAGCTTTTGGAGAACTGAACAGTAATCTAGAGAAGGGATTGATCAAGCGGGGATGTAGGAGACTATATTAATTGCCTCCATACAGAAAACGCAGGTGAAAAAAAAAAAATCCTTACTCCCGCCGCATTAAGTAGCCACAAGAGCTGGCTCTTGACGTGGAAGCCTATATTATTGTGCGGGCTAGAAGCCACAGCCGTAAATTAATAGTTGAATTGGATATAATAACCCTATGAGGAAGGTGTATCATACACATCACTCCGTCCACAGCTAGTTAACTAGCTACGAAAGCAATGTGGCTAAGAAGTTATGGTAAATTATTGAATATTTCACTCCACTTCAAGCTCTGATTTAGGAATACGTAAGAAGAGATGTCGGGGGCCTGAATCCTTGCATTTTGGACCCACCCAGAGACTACCTTATTCAAGGTTAGTTGCCCGAAGTATCCAAACTATGTGAGTTGATGAATGCACAATTTTGTTTGGCACTCAATTCTTTTGAAGACCGCTGCCGATCAAATGCAATAAACCAAGACAGCTGCATGAACTATTCTAAAGCTTCTTTATATCATACCTGGATTGATATGTATGAATACCACCTGAAAGGTCTTTTCTTGCTTGTTGTTTACATACAACCACCGTACAATTTCAGATACTGCAGTGTATTACTTATTGCCAACCAGCCGATCCGATCCACCTTTCAGCTGGCGGGAATACACGCGTAGTGTTCTTCTCCGTAGAAAACAGACCAAAGTAGATAGTTTGTTATTGCATTCGCTCAATTGGGCTAATGATACTGGTCTTTCAGTTGCGAGCTCGGATTTCTCATGCCAAATACGCATATTCCTTCCTGATCTACGGAGTACTTTACTACCTACCCGTCTGTACCGCCAGAAAAAATAAAAAGCAAAAAGAACAGCCCAACGCGGGGCTCGAACCCGCAGCCTTGTGATTAAGAGTCACACGCTCTACCGATTGAGCTAGCCAGGCGCTGTTATTGAAGGAGCGTCTCAAAATAGAGGACTATGTTCCCAAACCACAATCTTAATCCTACCTTCCTACCCCTTTGTGAGTGTTGAGAAACTGATGCTGATCTTGGTGATAGCGTACATTTGAAATGATAATTTCGCCTCAACAGATGACTTGTAGTGAGCTTACACATAAGCTGCCAGGCTACATCCACATCGGAGTGGTTATATATGATGATGCTTCAATTTTAACCCTGTTTGAAAATAAGGCAGGCGTGGATGGGCAGATGTATATTTCCGCAATGCACATCCATGGCTCATTCCAACCCACTTTGATGCCTCTCGGCCGCAACCTCGATCAACTTCTTATAGCCCTTGACCGCTTTCTCAATCTCGCCTACAGTAATTGCCTCACGGCTACTATGCGGCACATAGAAGCTCCCAGGCCCATACAGATACCTCTTCACTCGTCCCCCACCCTCTCGCTCATGCACCTCCAGCGCAGGCACATCCGTACCATAATTCACCGTAATCACCTCAAACCCATCGACATCGGCATCGAGATGCTGTGGTGCAAAACCCCCCTTATAAGTTTCAAAGTCCGCGTAGACACTTCCGTCTCCACCCGTAACATCTTCCACGGCCTTCTGGATAATCTGTCTCGTGTCGTCCGGCGTCCCAGCTGCCAGACGGATCGCGATACCTGCCTCGGCGGACGCAGGGACAACATTGTTCGCGACTCCGCCGATCACCGTTCCGATGTTCAGGGTTGAGTTGCCGAGGATGTCACTGCGCAAGAGCCCACCTTCCTCGGATGGCGTGGCCTGCAGGGTATCCAGGTGCGACAAGACAGGCAGAATGGCTGATATCGCGCTCTTCCCGAGCCACGGGTACCCCGAGTGTGCGGCTTTACCGGTCGCGACAAGTCGAAATCCCAGCGCGCCTTTGTGGCCCGCTATAAGAGAGAGATTGGTCGGTTCGCCGAAGATGATAGTATGGAAGGAGGATGGGGAGGGGTTGAGATCAGAACCTGAGAACGCTTTCATGCCAGCGCCGCTGTTCTCTTCGCCGACGTCCAGGAGAAGACCGAGTGAGGTGGAAGGCTTCTCAGCGAGGGTTTCGAGCGCGGCGAAGACAATGGCCGCGACGCTGGCTTTGGCGTCGACGGAGCCGCGGCCGGCGATGAGGAGGTCTTCCCGCACGAATGATGCCGAGTCTGGGCTTGACTCTGAGTTGGTCGGTGCGTGGAGGGAGTAGGGGATGAACGGCGGCACTGTGTCGATGTGGCTGGTTAGGATGATATCGGGGTGTCGGTCCTCTCCGATGTAGGCGTAGATGTTGAAGCGCTCGGGTGTGGTGTCATACTGTGGTTCGACGATTTGTTTCTCGACGGTGAAGTTGTGCGAGGAGAGGAAGTCGATAATGAAGGAGCCTACTTTCTTCTCATTGCCACTGATAGATTCGATTTTGGTGATATCGCGATGGAAAGAGAGAAGGGGGGACGAGTCAATGATATGGGTCAGATTGTTCGACGACGGCTTCTGGATGTCAAGGTTCTTTTGAAGAGTGGTGAAGCCATTTCCACTGAGAAGCTGTTGTAGCGGAGATGGAATTGATAACGCCGTTGTGAGGGCGCCCAGGCTGAGTACTAGGTGAGGTGATTTCATCGCGGTTAGGGTTGTCGTTATCAGATCCGTAGAGTTTGGGGAAGATTGCCGAAGAACGAGGGGAAGCCTTAGTTATACAAGGATATCTTAGCCCTGGATTGCCAATCGGTTTCCTTGATGGCGTTATACAGCTTAGTCCTAATCACGTCAACCTGCTAAAAATTTCATTTTCATAGACATATCCCTACTTTACCATTCTGCCCTAAGTTTTGGGACTTGAATAAGCTAATAGTATTTTGTCTCTCTCCATCGAAAATTACACGTGAATAAATAATTACATACCATTCACATTTTTCGATATAGCACGTCTCTTAGCTAATTTAATTATTGAATGAGTTAGCCAGACATACACCCTATTTCGCCTTCAGAAAGAGTGCTGGAATGAAGAACCTTTTGGCAAAAGATTGATTGCGTCTACCTCATGAACTATCTTCTACAGACTGTGCCGATCCCTTCTCCCCGAATGCGTCCCTGCTAACGTGCAAGTACGGATGGTAACGAGGACACGTAGAGCCCCACAGATCATTTCCCGCGACCATCCATAGATGCGCATCTATGTATTTGCGCAGGTCATCTGATACATCATTGTTGGCAAGAAAATGGTCGCGGCACTGGACCAACTTCTCCTCATAACTTATGGTAAGATCCTTGACATACCACCAAGCCTTTTCTGAACTCAGCCCTTTTTCTTTCATTACCATTGCGACTGCGTTCATAAGTCGGGATCTGCCCGCAGCATGGTCTGCTGCTTCCTTGGGCCAGCTCCAGTAGTCATTCGAGAGTCCAATGCAAATCACGGAGAGAATTTGTAGTTCCTCGACTGCCTGCTTCTCATTATACCCAAGGTTTAGGTTCATTGTGTACTCGATCATCGGGGGATATGTCCTGTGCCAGATGGGAATCTCAGCTATCCACTCATAAGGGTACAATGATTGCAGTGGTGAGCTTACAGCAGACCGCAGTTGATAACACGAAAGTCGATGTACTCCTGGATTGTCTGGAAATCGTTCAACCCTTTTGAATCTACTGTTAGGAGCCAGTTGACCCACGATCGCAAAACAGGGATGCCTTTTGCGCGATCCGTAGCCAAGAGGTCACGGATGGCAGGCACTAGAACATTCTCCAAGGGCGCTTTTGGATCGTCACGACCCTCGGCGGAAAATATCTTTGCAACTTCAGGGTTGAGCTTGCCATGTGCCTGTGGGAAATGGGTTATCAGCACCTATCAGCCTTCCAGATCAACGTATGATTGGCCAGGTGAAAGAAAGCGTACCATCTCTCTGGTAAGGGCCTCTGCCTTGTCTGCCGCCGAGGGTCAGTAAGATATAGAGAACTCCATTGTGAATGTGTACGGACCATCTAGAAGGAAGAAGAAGTGGGTGAACCAGGCCGAGTACTTCAAGCGCTCGGGATCGGCTTCGGGAAGGATCAATGCGTCCCAACACCCGGAGATATTGTTTTCAATACCGTGAAAATTCTCAGTTGTGGTGTCTTTCACGGCGTCATCCCATCGCTCGACCAAGTCCCTGGCAACCTCATTCCCCACCTCGTGGTTGATGTTGCGGCGTACTGGGAAGATACCGAAACATCCGTGTGTGCGAACCTCGCTTTCACTTAGAGCGTGAGAGCTTAGGAACTCTCCTCTGGCAAATTCGAAGCCGTCACTCATTGTAAGCTCAGGAGATATGTAGAGGCGAGTCACTTCCAAAGAGTTTATGAAGAATGCTAGAAACCGTAGAACAGGGAACGACTACTTATAGAGAATCTAGACACCGAGGCAGGGGGTTTTCCCTAGAACAAAACTCTCACTTAAGACATACAAGGAGCCTATCTATTACCGAGGATAATGTTGAACTCTACTATCTTGCGTCAGGTCCCAAGCTCTCATCGATATTCTGCACATAACCATGCAGGCTAATCACACCGCTCTTTTTCACTCAGTTTAGTCTTTCTAAGTGTGGATGGCTGAAAGAGCATTTAAATGGTCATAGTACATACATGGTACATACTACCCAAGGGAAACAGCCGAGGATAATCATCGTTTCAAAAATTCTCATTCGACACAGAGAGATGTAATGCGGGGTATCTGCATGTTATGGCAACGCAACAGGCCCACATATCAGCTCGCCATTCTTTTCGTGGTCGAGCGGATCTGGTCAGGTGCGTGCATGTGAAACAGGGATGACAGGGATGACAAGTCCTCTGTCCTTATACCAAATGATCTATAGCAAATCTACGACATGAACGGTTAATCAGAAGAATATTTCCCTGCTATAGACGACACATAAGGTACAAAGAAGATATTGAAAGTGCCAGACATTCTGAGGAAGATACAGTGCTCGTGCAATTTAGACCGAGTAGGCTCTCGTGGGTCACACTAATCTAGGCTCGATCGACATATCCTAGGCTGATCTGGATTCATGGAGGTGTGGGTCTACCAACCAGCACTTGCATATTTCCTAAATCATCTTAGCCGCCTGGTCCGCAAGCTCGATTACTTGTATGCAACCTCAGGCCTACTCAATGAATAAATTCAATTAGTGTAAGCTAATACATAAACGCTACATTGATGGAGCGACAAGAGCACTTTGTGACAGCATTTTGTACCCTATTAAAAAGCCCGGGAAATAACGGAATCCTCACAGTATGTTCTCTCCTCAATCTGCAACGCCGTGCAAATAAGCTGCTCACATTTGAGTCATCCCAGAGAAATTGTGAAGATGCTGTCTGTGGAAGGATTATATGACTCGATCTTGCTGATTGGAGTATTCTCACTGACCCTTTTTGGCTTTATAATTTGCTTTCGTCTATATTTTCACCCCTTAAGCAGGTTTCCTGGTCCCCCGCTCGCCGCTGTCACGCATTGGTATCAGTTCTACTACGATATCATCAAGGGCGGCACATACTGTGCAAGAATACCAGATTTCGAGAAAATCTACAGTGAGCTTATTCTATATGACAATGTATGGTTATACTGACGACGAATATAGACTCGAATATAATTCGGATAGGTCCAAACCACCTTCACATCAACGATCCGGAGTTTTATCATGAGTACTACTACAACAGGAGCCTTTTGAAATTGGGATAAAGTGCTGATTTTATCTCAAGAGTCTTCAGACTAGGGACCCAGTACCACCGAGCACCATTCTTCTACGAAAACTTGCCCTTTCCCGACGCCCTCCCAACCACTACTAATCCACAACGGCACACGGCCGATCGGAAGGTGTTCAATCCATTATTCTCCCCAGGTGCGATTGAAAGAATTGCCCCCGGCTTAAGGAAGAATATCAATGACATGGGTGAGTTGTTGAGGGATGCAATGTTATTGAATCAACCTGTGAATCTTCAAGTGGTATTCCAAATGATTGCGGTAGGTCATACGGGTGGTTGATCGTGGCTCTGTTGCTAAAAATTTTGCACAGATTGGTACTGTTTGTGATTTAGTCTTCGGGCTACCCGAGAGCATTGCGGAAAATCGAGAGGAACTGGAGTGCATCGCACTAACTATGGCGAGGTTTTCATCTCAATCGCCGCTCTGTACGCCGTGGTCACTACATTTCCAGTTGCTATACTAGATTCTGACGATTTCGTGTAGTTCAACATGTTCCTTTCTTGGGTAAGCTAGTGCAGTTACTACCTCTCTCAGTCACTACGAGACTGGCGCCAGGATATGGAAATTTACGGAAGGTGAGTGACATGATCTCAAAAACAGTACACTGGACAAGCTAATATGTACCGTTGACTTTTAGCAATGCATCAAAAGGCTTTCTGTGCTTGATCAACACCGGAAGAACACAAGCAAGTCGGACCCCAGGAATCGAACTCTCTGCGATGTTCTTCTGGAAATGGAGCCAGACATGAATAAAACGAAGCCCAGCGAAGAATACTTGGTCAACATGGCCATTGTATTCATGTTTGCTGGTGGAGAGACCACAGCGTATGCCTTGTCTCATGCGGTGTACTACCTGCAGCGCAATCCCTCTGCATTATCAAGTCTCAAGGAGGAGTTGCGGGGCGCTGAGAACCATATCAAAGACCACGACTGGAAGTACATCCAAACTCTACCATATCTAGTACGCGGTGCAAGCACATGCATTATCTTGTACCTAGCTGACGTCTCCTCAGGACGCCGTTATCAAAGAAACACTGCGCCTACGTCCTCCAGTACCAGGATTCCTCCCAAAAGTCGTTCCGACGTCGGGGGCATCTGTGAAATCCCAGTTTATACCTCGAGGAGTATAAAGCCCTAATATTGCGTATTGATTAGTATCACGCTAACCGAGGTGTTTCAAGACATTTGTATCAATTAGCCAAAAGGCAATGAACACCAACCCGCTAATCTATGATAACCCCGAAGACTTTCAACCCGAGCGTTGGCTCGGGGATGAAGGTAAGCGCCTCAAGCAATGGGGCATTGCCTTCAGTAAGGGGCCATACAATTGTATAGGAACCAGGTCAGATGACAAAAGCTAAGGACAGAGCCATGACCATTTTTTGCTGACAGGATTTTTAGATTGGCAAACTTAGAATTATGCATGTGCCTTGCATACCTATTCTGTCGATTTGATATGGAGCTTTTCCGGACGAACGAGACCAGTGTAGAATGGAGAGACCATATTTCAGCGGCGAACCTAAGTCCAGTCCAGGTTAAAGTGCTGTGGGACAGTTGGGCATAGCTTTTATCTTCCTGTTCTAGATGGAGAGTGATCGAGTGAGGGATAATGAAATAGGAAGGAAGGCGGGCATGTTGAGCGCTACAGGATAATATTAGATGAGCTATAAGCTTTATAAAGAGTCTTATAAGCGATCTATAAGTTGAGATTTTGGCCAATCAATTATGCTTCATATTCTTTTATAAGAACTGCACACAGATCTTTTATCGTTATGGTAAGAAGACATACATTATAGAAACTTAGTTAGATAAAATATTGCAGAAGCTCTGCGGCTCCGGGTGGTCAAAGATGATAATAAGGATGCTCTGTTAAACAACACTGAGTTGTTTCATTGATCAATTGATGTAGGAAGAAGCGAGGTCTGCCACGTCTGCTTAAGATATCCAAAGAGGAGTAATCAAACAGCAGAATACTTAGCAGCTTATCAAGTTACCTCAGGCATCCAAACGCCGACACATCTTTCTATATATCGAAAAGGTGCAGAGGTAAATATTAAAGTTCGAGTATGTGCCTTGGCAATTTTACTTAAGTTTTCAGGAATTATTCTTCTTCTCAAGCATAGTTTGATATCTTTTGTTTATATCCTATAGTAATGTGATAATGTTGTCACACGTTCTGTGTCTCTAGTGCAGAGGAGTCAGAGGGAAGTGTAAAGAGAATACTGTTTGGAGATAATAATTTTCACTACATCAGTGTTTGGTATATTCAGATAAAATACAGACAATGTCACATTGCAGAGGACTGAATCTTACTACGCCTGCTTCAATCTCCACAAGGCACTAGAGTACCTGTGAATGGTAAACAAAGCACGCTTTTGCTCGGGTACCACTGCGACCCAAGCACTCCAACTCCTCTGCTCTGCGTACATGTCAGTGTTACTTGTAGTAGGTCAAGTGTTCGAGTTGATCGGCATTTACTGGTCCTAGCAACAGCTGTTACTTATCCTGGGAACCGACATACAGTCTGATTACGAACACTGCCCTAAAGCCTTCCATCTTTTCCATCTTTTATCCACGATAATGATGAGTGAAAGTAGTTCTTTAGATTATAAAGCGCTTTTTCTTGAGAAAGACCAGTTGAGATAACAGACAGAGAAACGGAAAAAACAAATAAAAAGATAAAAGAGATAATAAAAAGAATATAATTGATTAAAATCTTTTTTCAGATTTATTTAATATTGCTATAATCTCTGAAGATCATTTTCAATCTAAATATTGTCTTGTTTTACAATAAACGAAATTTTCACTTTTATTAGAAAATGATGTCCTATACGGCTACTTTTGTGAACGAACTATAAAAGTAAATAGCAAAAAAAATTACAAATATGTCTGCCGCTATCTGTAACCGATTTAAGAGGATGCACAATATTTATATATGTCACTAGTTACATTGGAAAACCACAACTGACAATTTGTATGCTGATCAATTAGCAGCAAATAGGATCTTGAGATTTACGAACGACTCGATATTAAAGATCATATACATAACATTGTCACTAAATTGTGCAAAATACTAGAAATAAGAAACCCGAAGCACAGTGAGCGAAAGAACGTAAAGATGCCTCAATCTGCCACCAGCCGGAATCGAGATTATACCGTACTTGATCACCTGACGCACGCCCCCACCTGACGCACGAAAATCGATTCTACACTGATATTTTGAACACTTTTAAACCTCAATACCTTCATCAATATGGCTTCTATTGATGATGCAATTGCAGAATTAAACTTTTTGAAGTTTGAAGATAGATCTACATTTATTTTTATTGCGAAAAAGTATGGAATTCATAAATTAATGTTATTAAGAAGATTCCGCCGCATTTAACATTCTAAAAATGAGCAATATCAGGATCAATGATTGTTTAATGATCGACAAGTGAAAATATTTATTTTTAATATTAATCGATTAAACAAGAATGGTTTTTATATATTATTTGAAATGTTGCAAAATTTAGTTTATAAAATCTTCAGAAATCGTTTCGAAAATTAATGATCGAGTTGTTTTATAAAATAATATAGTGATGATCTTATTTTTTGTTACACAATTAAGATCGATTTTTTTTTGAAAAAAGATTAATTTTGTGTTAAATTACATTTGATATTTTGAACTTTTGATTCGCAAGATTTTGAAATATGATATATAATAGAAAGATATCTATAATATGGACGAGAAAGGTTTTTTAATCGGAGTATCTAGTAAAGCGAAGAGAATCTTTTTTAAATTATTATATAAAAAGAATGAAATGAAATAATGATTTTAGAATGGAAATCGAAAATGGATTATAATGTTTGTCTATATTTGCGTAGATGGGATTTTGTTATTTTTGAATTTTATATATTAAGCTGTTTTTTTTAAGTTTTAAGATTCCTGGTTGTAAGATTTTGATTCTTTTTTTTATTTTTGTTTTTTTGCATTTTCGCTTTCAAGATGGACAAATGACGAATTGAGATACGTGTGATTATGAGATGTATTTGATCGAGAAATAAAAGTAAAGGCGAGGTGGCGTTGGAGGTTTTTTATTTTTGATGGTTGTAAATTTTATATTAATATGAAGTTTTTCGAATACTGTAAGGCAAATAAAATTCTTTTAATGATTTATTTGTTTTATTTTACACATTTATTTCAATTATTTGACGTTGGAATCTTTAGGCCTTTTTTTACAGCGTATAGCGAGAGATTAGAACGATTTTTTTTATAAATCTCAAGATTTTTGTTATGTGATTGTCAGGGTGCGGGCTGGCGGGGGTGATAGAGCTGATGGCAGGCAGGCAGGTAGGCTAATAGCTCACAGTATCTCTGAATTGCTACAGGGTCAAGCTATATACAGGCTGATAGACAAGACGTAGCTCGAAGAGCTACAACAGGATTTTCAAGCAAACAGGAAGATATGCAGATCTCGGAACGGATAATATGGCTTTCCGGGTCATAATTAAAAGATGCTTCAGACATCAAGATCTGCACCGTGACAGTACGTCTCTTTTCTATGGCCGAGCTCCGTGAGGTTGAAAGAGACCAGGTTTACCAGAATATCGGCGGTGATAGTTCTGACGATCTGTTCTGCATGTTCAAGATATTCAGCAGGCTCAGCAGTAGGGTCCATGTATTCAATCCATTTGACAACATAGATCAGGCGGCGGCCGCGGCCGCGGCGGTCTCAAAATGAATCAAAGATATCTTCGACTTCTCATTTCTCCAATTCATTGACTTCCATATGCGGTGGCGGAGGATGGTGTTGGTCAGGTAGGGATTTTGGACAAATAGAAATAAGTAGATTAACATTAAATATAGAGTGTATTTTCATGTTGGGCGGGAGTTCCAGACGATAAACGTGCGAGTTAATAACTTTTTCAATATAGTATGAGTTCAAGGTATTCCAATCCAGCTTTTTGTTAGATTGTAAAATTTTGATATGACAAATATCTAGCTATACTAATTGGTCTTTCTTGAATCTTTGGACGAAACAGTATCGTTTATCAATTTGTTCAGCGTAACGAATTTGAGTTGATAACATTTTTATACAAGCAAATTCTGTAATAACTTGCATTTGGGTAGCAAATTGTTCTGCATCTTGAACAACGGGTCGATTGCGATTACGATAATTCTCGATAAGTATTGATTCAAATCTTATACGGAAGTGGAACCCATAATTCGCAAAAAAGGGGGTTGTTTTGATAGACTCAGAATGCATGGTGTTTAGAGCAAATTCAGTCAAGGGAAGCCAGGTATTTCAATCATTTTGCAAATAATTCACATAAATTCGCAGATATTGTTTTAACATGACATTCACACGTTCAGTCTGACCGTCGGTCTCAGGATGATAGACAATTGATAATTTGTTGGTGATATTCAGATGTTTGATCAGATGTTTTTAAAATTGAACAATAAATTGAGGATCTCTATCGAACAGGATCGACTAAAATAATCCATGTAACTTCCATACATGTTGCACATACATCGCGGCTACAGCTGGGGCATTGGCAGTTGAATTGCATGGAATCAGATGTTTCATTTTAATTAAACGGTTCACAATAATTAGAATCGTGTTGTAGCTTTCGCTCTCAGACAGATGCGTGATAAAATTCATAAAAATATTTTTTCAGGCGCGTTCAGGTACAGATAAAGGTTTCAGGATATCTTGTTTTGTTTCACGGAACAGGATTATGCGGCAGTAAATATGACAGTTTATTGTTTATTGAATCACATATCTATATATGTTGGGCCAATAATAATCTCGAGACAAAAATTCATACATTTAAGTTCTTTCTGGATGTCCGGATGCAGGTTTGTTATGAATTAGACAGGTTAAATCTGCTTTTAGCTGATTATCGTCAGAGATCCATAAATGATTCTCGTAAAATAAGAGACTGCTTTTTCGCTTGCAGGCGGTCAGAGTAACTTTTGAATAATGATCTTTATTTGTAGTTAAAGTCTTTAAAATATCTCGGATCTCTTTATTTTTTTTATAGGCTTCATGTAGACGGGATTGTATCTCAGAAGGTAATTGCAGGTTTTGTTCATCTTCAAAAATAACAATTTTTCG